AGTAAGAGTAAGAATACAATAATGTAGTCCTTCCCAAAGGTAATTGTCTTGTTACTTGCAACTTCTTTTCAAATACCGCACTTTTATTTTGCACAAGCACAGATCCCCCTGCGGATCAGATCTCTAGTATACACAGACGGCATGTTCAACATCCCTACCTCAGGTACTAACTAGTCCGTCATTGTCGTATATACCCCAAACAGATTGAATCCCGGTTTCGATCAATAGAGCTGCACGGTTAAACCCGAAGCCCTTGCCCGCCCGGCCGACCGACCGTACCGACCTCTCTTCGGCCGGGAGGGAAGCTAAACCTTCCATAACCCAGAAAAGACGCAATCATGATATCAAGGGTCAGGTCTATGCAGGAGGAAACACTCGGGCCCTCTCGTGATCATTGCGTCAAGCTGCAGGCTGACATATCAATCGGCAATATATCTGGAGCTAGGTAGCCCCTGACACCGGCGGGCCCTTTCCATGGATGTGGGTAGGTTCTGAGTGGCGATCTCCGCCTTCCAGAAGCACGGCTACCTGCAGGCGAGCCCGTTTCGAATAAGCTGGTCTAGATCATCATGACCTTGATGGCGTTTGATCTTCAGATCCCGCCAGGATCTTTTGCATCAGGATTTCCCGGATGAATCATGGCAGTGCGGACCAACGCTGTCTCAGGTTGGTATTTAGCACGACTCCTATGAAACCACCGCCGCTTTTATTTTTGCAAAAATATACAAAAGATTCGGTGGCCCCTTGCGGAGAAAACCCTGAGTTTCCACTATTGTGGGACGTTTGGAATCACGGATTCATCAAGTGTAGCTTGTCACAGATAAATATTTTCATCCAAGATGGAAAGACACAGGAATGAAAAAAAGGAGCAGGGACCTTGGGGTATCTGTTAATGCATGCTTCATTAGTGTCTTGGATCAAAGATATCTGGCCATATTATCTAATAATTGGCCAGAGAGACCCGTCCCTCAAGCAGTGCTGGAAGCCTGCTTGATAGCTGAGGGTACGGAGTACTGTCGAGACAAATTTATTCCATCATTCTTTTAAGAAAGATATTGATGGTGTACTCATGTAAATGTCTGTATCAACAAGCCGACTAACCGTGATATGGAGTTTCAAACGGAAAAAAGGAGATTTGAGGCAGTAGAATTGCCCAGATAACCTGTATTACCTACGAACCGACATTGGTAAGTAATTCATATGTGAATGAAAGTTAAGGTTCTCCATGCGTACGGAGTACTTAACGTGATTGGTGGTGAATTGAACGGTACCTCCTAGTTACCCGGGTTTGCGGCTCGTACACGTAGGCAAAAACAAGTTCCTTTCCATTTCTATGATTCTAGAAGCAGGCTCTCTAAAGAACCACAGTGCTTTGAGACAAGAGGGAGGCACTGTAGACAAGGGGGTCATAATTAGGCATATAGACTACCTGATAGCAGTATATGAGGGGCGGTGCCGTATTTCAGCTTTGATTGACCATCAGTTGAACTCTGATCAGCTATGCCACGTGTGACAATAGGCTTAGTTGCTAATAGACAAGCTTGGAACTGGGTGTTACGGATGAGAGTAAAATCCTCCTATGGAGTATCGGAGCATCCGTTGGTTCAGTCAAATAAGTCGTAGTTGGATAAAAGTCTGCCATGTGTGAATGATAATAAAGCAAGCAAGTATAGAATATCACTGTCTTCCTCGGCTTCCGGGCTTTTGCTTTAAAAAAAAAATTCCCGTTGAAATAAGTATAGAGGGTATCTTCAGTGACCACACTTATTTTGGGACAGCCAGATCCGCTTTAGTCATGCAAAATGGCATTGCTAGTCTCCAAAAAGAGTGTTAATAGTGGTATATTTGTGATTCCATATTTTATCATATCTTGGGCGTAGATATCAGGCTTGGAGTGTATTTCTTCATGCCCACGTAGTTGTACCAGGTCTTTTTTAAAAAGAAAATCTTTAAGAATAACCAGAGCATCTGCTTTTCATCTTAGCTGCCAGGCAAAAGACCGAGAGCAATGTCTGTTAGTTCTCCTTTCGAAAGGCTGATATGTTGTAGAATGTCTGGAGTTGATGCCGCGGAAGTTGAAAAGTGACGTCGAAATAAAGGCGGGATGCAAACAAGACAAACACAGCTCGACCCGCGACTTTCAACCAAAAATTCTCAAAAGTTGATATCTCGACCAGACAGACAGCAGCAGAACAGACAACAGAGCGCAAGATGCTGTCCTCGCAGCTACATATACAGCGGATACCGCGGCTAATACGGCTTCGGCCTCCAAATACCATCGCTCGCTTCTCGAACCCGCGCCCGTTTACCAGCAATTCCCAGCTGCTTCTCATCACCACACCCGCAAACCGACCGCAGCTCCCCTTCCTCTACACCTCTTCAGCCGGACATCCTCTATTCACCGGCAGATCCCTGAATGTGGTGACCCTTGGCCGACATGTAACGCGCCTGATAAGTACCGAGCGGCGAAGGAAGATAACCAATGGCATCAAGATCGGTTTGACGGTTTACGCGATTATCCTGCTACTATACGTTGCGCAACAGGGACTCTACCAAGAAACTATAGAGCGGATGTTTCCTACGCCGCCTGAATGGTCGTGGAAAAGCAGATGGTATTTGCGAACAGCAAAGGCTCTGCAGTCTCCTGAGAAAATGGGACGGGTGGCCACCAGCTGGCCTGCAGTGGGAAGTTATTATAGAGAGCTGCTGCTCCGGCTGGAGGACCCTGAGATTGACGGAAAAGGATTGAAAGAGCAGATTGTCAATGCAGGGGAAGGAGAGGCCATTCTAATCGATGGAGTGGGCAGGGCAGGGTATGACATTGACGGGATGAGCGAGCCATGGAAGAAGGGCTACTTCGACTGTCTGATGGGAGCCGCTGAGACAGCCGAGAAACTCGATGGATGGCTAGAGGATACAGTGACACACATTGCTTCGCCCCCAGAATACGTTGTAGGCCCATCAAATCCACGGCCAAAGGAGGGACCTAAAGGTTCAATTGCTCCTCTTGAGGAGAACTGCGTACCGGCATACCAGAATCCATCAGTTTTTTATATGAAGATATTGACCACCAAGGGATTCCAAACCAACCAGAAGCTTGATGCTGCCCTGGCATATGCAGACTGGCTTGATTATAAGGGATTAAAGGACACTGCTGGGGAAGTCTACTGCTGGGCTATGGATATCGCCGTTGAAGGTCTCGGTGTCGACCCCCGGAAAGTTGTGGACATCAAGTCCGGCATCATAAAGGAGAGTGGAAACAAATACGTGACTGAGAATTTACTTCGAACCTCCAAGGCAATGGGAGTTCACCAAGTACGCGTGGGTGATTTATCATCAGCTCTGGCCGTTTTCCTCTCTGTGCTCAAATGCCGGCGAAGTGTGACGGCATCTGAAGACTCACTCCCGAAGGTCATCAGCCCAAAGCCGAATAAAGTAAAGACGAAAAAGGATGATATCCTGACCGCTATCACCTCGTTTATCTCCCCACCTCAATACCCCATTCCAATCCGGACAGGAAACGAGCCTCCCGTGCGTTCCCAGTCAACTGCTTGTGAAGAGGCAGGCTTGATGTTATACATCGGTGAGATTATCTACGCCTCTTCCTCCCGGGAAGCTGGCCTATCATGGACCCGGGATGCTGTTGATCAGGCCGAGATCGCCCTTCTTCAGTTCGACGAGAAACAAGATCAAAAACAGCTAGCAGCATCACCGAGTCACGGAATGCAGTATCAATCTACAGAAGAACAGTGCCAACACTGCCTCCGATCCGGCCTGAAGAACTGGAGGCAAATGATTCGCTCCCTCGTGGTCAAGGCTGAGAAGGAAGAGCTCCAGACCATGGACGAAGTGAACGACTACTGGTTCGGCCGTGGACCGAGGAAAGTGGCTGAAAAGCAAGCACAGCGTCGTCGATGGGAGGCGGAGGAGATGATACTGGATGACCGTGCAAAGAGAATCCAGCGTCTTATTGGGGACGATGGGCTTTCTGCTCTCACTTCTAGTGAGAGAATGTTCTTCGGTTGAACATGGAAATAAACGCGTGCATGCATGGTTGGCTTCTGTATGATATCATATCCTTTCTCGGAACAGTTTGGCGTTTTTTGGATGTATATACACACATATGAATGATCTTCTACAATGTTATTATTTAATGTTTGATGCATATACCTGTCAGGATTGTTCACACTGCTCCAGGGGTGTCTGTTACCCAAATCGGGGAAAGATACAGCGAGATGTTCCTTGTCATGACTCGGTCAGGATGGAATCAAGATCCCACAACCCCCTGTCGTTGCTGACTCGTATATATTTAGTTACGGGCGACAGGGTACGGGCACAGACGGAGATGAACATCACCGAGCACAAAAGGGAGATCATCTTTTGCAAGATGTTTAAGATGAACCACCCCTTGATGCACCAGCCGGGAAAGAGATATGTATCAAACCATCAGGAGACTTGTGGCAGTATACGAGCAATCCCTTGACAATGCCAAAAGCCTGTAGGGCTTCATCCCGGGGAATTTCCACATATGAAACGGACAAGAAATAGTGAAATAATGATGAGTCGTTAAATTAATATGTGAAGGAGTTGTACTTATGTATATGCATCTATACGGCGCAGTGGCTATATACATTTGGTATGATAGAGCATTATATGCAAGAAGCATAGAGAGAGGACCGTAAGCAAAGAAACCAGAAGTGAAAAGGAGGGGGTAGTCGATATCTAGAGCGTAAACAAGAGCAAGGAGATATATGTATAAAAGAATTATGAGCAGTAGAAGGGGCATATTGACAAAGAAGTAAATCGTGTCAAGAGAGATATACCGAAGGGATTTTTTTGGTATCTTTGGTCAGACAAGAGATGAGCCGATAAAAGGAATATATAAAAAAAGGACGAGAAAGCCGGAACCCAGCCCGCAAGTTCTTGAAATGCAGGCTTTATGATGCAAAAAAAATAGGAAAAGGGAAAAGCACAGCCATTATCTCGAAGGGCCGTTCGTTTTATGAATCGTCACCACTCTCACTCTTACCGCCAACAACAACTCCTTGGGCTCCCTTCTCGAAGAAGGTAATGGAAAGAGTGTCAAAGCTCAGAATGAATGTATCAGTACCATATTCAAGTTGCACCGGCCTGAAAGTGGGAAGGCCGTTCTCCAGTCCAGATGGTCGTCTGAGAGCATCCTGGATAGCGTTGTGAGCTGCATCCGCTGCGCTGAAAAGCTCGGTCTTCTCAAAGATGTAAAGGACTGCTATCCGAGCGAAGTCCAGCACGTTCTGGGATGGGTCGACCATCGTCGGCGGAGGGGTGGGAGTAGAGGTCGTTGAACTTGAAGTACTAGTAGAAGTAGGAGAGGAAGTGGAAGAAGACGATGAGCGGCGTGTAGTAGTTGAAGTTTGAGTAGGAGAGGATGTCCTGGTAGTGGTAGGCGATGGTGTCCTGGTCGGCCTGCGAGTAGGTGTTGTATGTATCGTAAAAGTCGTGGTTGGTATGAGATCCTGAGGGGCTCTGCCAGCTACATTGCCTTTTGCGGCACGGCGGCGACCCGGCAATGCATATTCAAGCATGGTTGCCTCGTTGGCAGGATCCTTGGGCATGGGCAGTCCTCTCCTTTGGCTTCTGCTATTGAAGGTAATCAAGGCATTTTCATTGGTACAAGAAACATCCTCAGTTTCAAAAAGATGTATGATCTTTGTAATATCAAGCGGTATTTCGAAGCTCGAGAGCGAGTTCTGGAGGATTCTTGGAATTGCGCTGCCAACAGTGGCATCATTGCGGAGATTGCGGTTATCCTTCAGCTCGGCGATAACGCAGTCGCGGTCAGTAAGAACGCCGCAGGTGTGGCCTCTGTAACCCTCGGGGCAGACGCAGCTGCAGGTGCCTGGAGTTCCGATGCTCATGCCTCCGTTCTTGCAAGGAGCCTGGAGCTCACAGCTGTTTTCGGGTGAGGGCGAATGGTTACGTGGTTTCCCAGCAACAGCGAGTGGAATGGTGATTATAGCAGCAAACAAGAGAACAAGTCCGATGCAGAAGACAATCAGAGCCGGCGCAGGCAAGCCACAGAACCGGCGTCTGGTCCGAGGAACGTCGACCTCATTATTCTTGCCCTTGGAGTCATCGCCAGGATGAGCAGAGTTGGTACGGGGAGTCTGGATGCCAGGTGGAGGGAATGAAGCCAGGATATCGGTGATCGAACCAGAATACCCACGGTCCTTGTTCTTAGCATCATTTGCGTTCGTCATTTCAAAGATGCCCGCTGGGCCCTTGCTGGCTGTCTTTCCACGGTCGAGGTTCGATGCCAACTTGGTGGCCCTGCGGATTAGATCTGGCAAGCTGGTCAAGCTGCTTCTGACCTCCGGCTCTTTCCCTTCGATGTTCAGCGCGGGAGGAGGTGCCAGGTCGCTAAACTGTGAAACCCTGCGCCCAGCCGAGCGTGAGCCACCTAGCTCAATGTCTCTGAACTCAGAGTCATTGGTAGGCTGCTTGTGTATTATGGGCACTTCATCGCCTTCTGGCTCCTCTTGATCATCAATCGACTCGACAGAAGAGTGAGAATTTGCGCGCAGCCGGCTTGGGCGCAGCTGGCCGCTAGGGTTGTGGAACGATGGCGGGATGTGGTGGTCAGGGATATTTGCACGCAGCGATGGGTTGATGGCTATGCCGATTGTGCCACTTGAGGTAACACTGCCGACTTCCGATGGAACACCAACAGACCGTTCGCTTATGGTACGGTTGTGCATCGATGGTGGATCGTTTTTGGTGATGTTGATCGTCCGCAGCTCGCCTTTGCCTTTCTTCCCGAGGCTGATCTGTCTCGCAAGGCTGGAGCTAGGTCTCGGGCCAGTTGGCAGCTCGACGCTGCCTTTGTTTCTGGTACGAAGAGCAGACTTAGCCTTGAGAGCCTGCGCCATCTCGTCTTCGTTGTAAGCTGACGACCCGCCATCTGTACCATGGACTGTTTCAGGCATCTCTTCGTACTTGAGATCGACAGTTTCATACGGGGCTGAACCCCAACTGGATGGAATCACTTTGCTTGACGCGAAGGATTTGACGTTTCTCTGTACAGGTGAAGGGAACTCTTCTGGAATTGGAGAGACAGTCGATCCAATTGGGTAGAAATTCCCTTGCGGGTCACGACGGCTTCCCTGGGATGGGTTGGAGTTGGAGCGTCGCGCAGGAGCCGGATGAGCAAGGAGCTGGCCATGGTGAGACCGGTCGTTGGAAGGAACTGGTAGAGCTGTGGTGTTGTAGTCTGAGCCATGAGAATACGATGGCTGCTGGGGCGAGGAAGTAGCACCGTGGTATGGGTTCGATGGAGGATAACGTCTGCCTCGGGAGTCGTTGAGAAAGGTATCGACAGCGCTAGGCTGGCGGGCAGCCCGCTGCAAGGCCGCCTGCGCTTGTGCTTGTGCCTCTGCCATTTCCTTAGCGTAGGGATTGGTATTCCGGCGCGGCCGGGTCATGGCTGCAGGGTCCTGTACAACAGAGCGTTTGGCTCCATGGCTCTGTTGACCGCCAGTAGTGACAGGCGGAGGCCGCCTCCCGTTGCTCGAGTGACTTCGCCCTGTCATCTCATGTTCTTCATCCATCTGCTGCTGGCGGGCCTTTTCTCTGGCTCGACGGACAGAGCCTTTGCTGTCAGCATTGTTAGCTCGGTTGTCATCAGCCATGGTCAATTGTTAGACCGCTGGCTATGGGTCAGCACAGCAATATACCGGGAGGGTTTCCTGTCCGTGGATAGAAAACAACGAAATAAAAGTCGGTCACGTCTTTAGATCGTAGTTATTTTTTTTTTGGAGCGGTGGGGGGTTATTGGATACCGGCCACAGGCCAGACAAACTATACCCTAGTCCCCAATGGAGAGGTAAGCAAAGTAATAATAAAACGCTGGATAGCGGCCGGGATACCAGCAAGATTGGCCCAGTGGTGAAGGAGCAAAGGAATAGGATTGCAAGTTGCCCTGCCAGCGCGAGTAGAGGAGCCAGTCAAAGCAATTCAACCACAGGTTGCTATGCGCGAACAAACACGCAGTCCCGAATCTCCGGAGGAGCCGCTGGCCCGTAACTGGAGAAGAGAGAGAAAGAAAGCTGAGCAGGTGAAGAAAAAAAAAAGAGGAGAAGAGAATTCTACCTCAAGCAGAGGACGAGGTGGTTAAGAAGAAGGAGGAAGGGAGAAAGAGAAGAGAGAAGAAGAACTCTTCTGAAGCAAGCGGTCGGTTTGAAGGGGAAAATGATTGACCATGACCATGTTAGCCATGTTAGCCGGCCTTTGCCTGGGGTACCTGGGCAAGTGTCCTAGGGCGTCTCAAGTCCCGTCAGGGCATGACATCGATATCATCGAGAAGGCCTAATTTGGTTCTGAAACAGCAGCCGACCAGGGCTGAGGAACGGGCAAGGACGGGGGATGCACCGCCGAATTCAACCCTCCCTCGGGCTGCATCCACTCGATCCATCCAACATCCAACCCTCTGCACCCATGTTTAAGCCGCGGCACCACGCGGTAAGGGAGGAGAAGGTGGGTGTAACGAATGTTCCAACCCGAAGTCGTCTGTGGATGGAATAATGAATGCGAGGATGCGAGATCGAAGCCGGTCCTGTCCTGTGTAAGTTCGGTTCCCGAGCTGCCATGGAAAAGAGCCCAAGGAAAAAGGAATATATATCAAATGGCAAAAATGCAAAAAGAAAGCAGGCAGAAGCAACAGCAGAAGACGAGGATGAGGACGATCTCCACTGCTTCGATGCCTCAAAGTTTGCTCGAATACGGACCAACGCCGACTCCACCGAAACAAGGATGCATACGGAGTATGTATCTTTTTCTGCAGACTTCCTGCGTCCAAGGGCAGGCAGTTGGAGGACTTAGTAGTATCACCCTGTACCGTGCTAGCCGGGGGAGGCTAGGTAAGTATGTGTGTTTAAATAGCAGCCGTCGAACGCATTTTGCAATCAGATCTGTCGATTCCTCATGAACTCGTCGAACAGCCGGAAGAACGAGACATGAACCATCCATGAACCCTGGCGGCCCTCTGGCTCGTCCTGGCCCTCCCAAGCTCGGCCTTATATTCTGGCGTGTAAGGTTATAATCCGGGGGGTCGGGTCGTTGCCAGGTAAACAACGAGGAGCTGCTGCCGTAGCGACGACGTTGGAGAACAGGGCGAGGGAGCCCGGAAAAAGGGGAGCTCCTCAACTCGAATATATTAATGACCAAAAAAACCGGAAATACCATCATCTCCGATGTATATTTGTCCTAGACAGTAACAGTAGCAGAGCTGTTACACGTCCCAAGGCCCCAACTATCAGCGCATTATACGCAGCTAAGCTCCCGTTGCCTAGGGAGCTGGATAGTGGATTAAGACACTAAAGGGCCGCCATCACCAGTTCTTTTTTCGTCTCTTCTCCTTTCTTCCTCTCTTTGAGGGACACCTTTTGAGTATATCTTCGATGGCAAACTCGTTCCATTCCTTTTTTCCTTTTCTCTCTTCTTCTTCTTCCCTTTCTTTCTCTTTCTTTGCTGTTTAGACCATCGTTTTGCCTGCTCTCGTTTTATTATTATTGCCGAATCTCCGCGAAACCACCAGAGAACCCATCTCCAAAAACGCTGTACACACGCACATTCATTCTTCGTTTCCGCTCTCATCATTTGTCTCCAGTCGTTGTTTCTTTTGCATATTTGCTGGTTGGGAAAAAAGCGAGTGTCTTGCTCCGGTAGCAGGCACGCCCCCAAAGGCTTCCCCCCCCCCCCCCCCCCCCGCCGGCCTATCCATCCTCAGTCCAGCGTCCAAAAGAAAAATAATCCTTTTGTTTGATACTTTTTTTTTTGTCTGTCCTCCATACATAGATACCGTCGTTAAAGCCGTTTCAGAGCCGTTCAGAAAAGCCGTCGGTCAAAAAGAAAACTGTTCATCCTTGGGGTCCGGAAGAGTCGGCCGTGGTGGTTTGTTGATATAACTAAATAAACCGAATGTACAAACCTCCCCTATATTCTGGGCCATCGAGAACATAGGCTTGGATTGAACCATTGGACGAAGAAGCATTATCCATGCACGAGCCAGCGATCCCGTCGATGTCCAGCAAACTTCAGACAGCTCCGAAGCGTACCCAGTCAACCATGAACGGTTCGCAGGCGGTCCACGGTAAAGGTACATTGTGAACCAAACTTCCCATCCCTTCCTGTCAAACCATGTCCACACGCCGGCTGTGCTTCACGGCCGAGATGGAGCCAACCAGGTCTCTCGTTCGTTGTGTTGTCCATGTGAAAGATATGTATGTATATGCAGCAGGCAGCTGACTGGTAGATATATCCACCGAGCAGAGCGCTGGGGGACCTGGTCGCATCCCAAGCGGGCTCGAAAGCAGATCCCCACGTTCGCACAGCGTACGCCGTCCTCGAGCCAGCGCGAGCCAGCATCGTCGGCCCTGAGACGGGTGTTTGAGCCGCCATCCACCGCTGCCGCTGCCGCTGCCGCTGCTACTGCCAGCTCGAAGCCGCCGCCGCTCCGCGAGAGCCAGCAGCAACGCCAGAACAAGTCGGCCTCTGCGCCGCGGCCTCGCACTGCCAGGGCTCCCATCCCGCATTTCCGTACCTATAGTCACACGCAGAGCAGCGCGGCGAAGTCGAAGGCGGCCGTGGCCCCGGAGCCAGAGGACGAGGATGCCCTGGCGATAGCGCGCATCCACGCCTGGCTGGACAAGGTCGACGACGAGCAGATTGCGGCCGAGGTGGAGGCAGAGCGACGAGCCAAAGCCCGCCGGGTCTGCGAAGAGCGGCCAGCAGAGCAGTCGGCCAGGGAGGCTGCAGCTGAAGCCGTCCAAAGTGCGCCTGGAGTTGGTGAAGTTGCGGTTGACGTCGAGGCCGACGTTGAAGTTCCGAGTAAGTCACGACATCACGACATCTACACTACAACTATACTACGACTACAACACTATATCTCTAAGTACATCCACGTTATATACTGTATAGAATGCTAACAGACGGCTAGAAACTCCCAAGGCTCCCAAGACGCCCAAGACGCCCACGAGAACCCGCCGCCTGGACCTGGATGCCGACGTCCCCCGTGTCGACGGCGGCTGGGGCGCCGCAAGCCCTGCGAGCATCGGCATGGCCTTCATGACGCCGCGGACGATTCCTCGCATCGAAGAAGACGACGCCGTCTGGGAGATGCTCAGCCCGAATGTGACGCCGTTCCGCAAGGGCAGAGGCCCGAAACGCACCCGCCGGCGCAGCTACTACGACGAAGACATCTGGCCGAGTGCCTACAACTCGCCGCGGTCTCTCGCTCAGCCAGTCCATTGAGACTGCTGCTCTACTCGCTACTGCTTTGATACCTGATACTCGATATCCCTAACATTCTTGCTCTGTTTCTTTTGTTCTGCATACCCGTTTGTTCGGCTCGTTTTTGGCATCGTTCTTTATACCAGCACTTGTTGCACTTTTGCATCTATCAAATTCCCCATTCTTTCTTGACCATTTCGTTACTCTTCTGCTTATTTGGCTTGCTATTCTTTTTATTACTCGGTTTTACCCCTTTGCATCAAACATAAAACACTCGCAAGCATTGATTGCTTGACGGTTAGGCATCTTTATATCCTCCCACCCCCATATGCCTTTTTATAATTCTAATGGCCCGCCAGCGCGGAGCTTCTTACCCCCAGCTTTGTTCTCCTTAGCTTGGATACTAGTTTTGTTAGACATAGAATTCCAGTCACCTGGTTAGACAAGATGTTGATTCATCGAGTGCTGAAGTCATCTACATAGATCCGCCTGTCACGGACGAAAGGGGGAAAATGTAAACAAACGCTCAGGCAACGATCTCTGACGTATCATTTGGCTATTTTATGCGGAGCAGCCCGTCGCAAACCTTCAACCTTGTGCTCGACCTCTCTCATCTCACTGACAACACCCGCTAGTGCTGGAATCGGGCCAGCCACAGCACCCACGAAAGCCTCCTGGGCGTTTCTCAGCGGAGGAGGCACCAGAATCCCGAACCAGTGCAGCGGGTTGGACATCTTACTCTTTGTCCTTGCCTCCTTTGTCTCCTCCGTCTCTGTGGGTGTCTGCGCATGGTCCTCGTCCTCGTCCTCGTCCTCGTCCACGTCCTCGCCTTCGTCTTCAGACGGCTTGTCTGTGCCTTCTTTGGCGTCTTTGTCTCTGCTAGAGTCGGGCTTCGTTTCGATAGTCACTGTCTTGAACGCGGGGGCGGGCTCGGCCAGGGACGCATGCAACCCGTCTGCGGGAGCGGTCATTGTAATTTCTCTAGTGCCGTCTTGTCAACCTTGATGTCTTCATCAAACAGACTGGCTTGTCTTCGTGTGGTCCAACATACACCTGTCTGGTTGCTTTCATCCGTTCGTCGTAGTAGTCTTCCCCATAGCGCCGGCCGGGAGGACATGCATGGTTCGCTCGAGCAAGAGAGAAAAAGCCCTAACCGGGTCAGTCGATACACTAGCCAGTAAAACCAAGCAAAGAAAATAGACCCCCTCGTACGCTTGCAAACTGCTTGCCTATGGCTTCCTGGAGCTTCTGCTGCTCGTCCAGCAGATGGAGGTATCGCTCCAGCAGCGCGTCAATCGTCTGGACGACCTCAGCTTCCGAGCCAGCCTCTCGGCCGTCAGCCGGAGTCGCGGGTGGTGTCGGCAGCGTCTCTTCCATCGTCCCCTATCCCACCGACAAACCCAGTCTTTCTTTCTCCGGTATCCGTATATCAGCAGTAACTTGACTGAATGTTGTTGTTTTTTCTGCGTCTTCCTCACTCTTCAACTCCATCTTCAACTTCGAGATCTTACGTAAGCACCAGCAACGCCCCCAAACTCGACGAGCTTCAACTTTTTCAACCTTTTTCTCGGCTTCAATCAAGAAGAAGACGTCTCTGGCAGCATCTCGGCTTTTTCAACTGCTCGCCGTCGCCCGGCCCTGTATATAGCGACTACCAGCTCGCCCTCAGCCAATCCAGCGACGACACTGCGCCCGCCGCTCGATACCCTCCCCCTTGTCGCTGCCGCTCTCGCCCAGCAACGCCGCGGACCAAGCTTATCTCCGATGCCCGTTTTGACTTCTTCCGTGTCTTCGTAAACGATTCTTCGTTCATGCGGCTCGGCGGGTTCTGCTGCTTCAAAAGATATTGCATCCGATAGCAAGTCGCAGTCAAAGAGGGAACACGATAGATACTGCTTGCCAGCGCCCGTCTTTGCTGTTGCTGTCGCTGCTTTCACCCCCCCCCGGAGCAGCCTTTCTTTGGCCGGGAGCTTTTCACCGCAGCAGGCAGACAGATACCAGGCCGCATCCAGGCCTTTCGACATCAAAACAGCTCTTGTAGACATATATTCAGCATGTCTGTACAGTCAGTGAGCAGCAACTCTGCCTTTCAGGCGCGATCACTCGTATGTTGGCTCATCCTGTGCCGTTATGCAACTATGTGACTCAGGTGCATATTGCTAACAAGAAGCCTTAAACTGTACAGTTCCGGTCTCTCCTCCGTCAAGCAAACCAATTCTCTGCCTACAACTTCCGGGAGTACGCACGAAGACGCACCGTCGATGCGTTCAGAGAGCACCAGCATGAGACCGAGGAGCGCAAGATACAAGAGTTGATGCAGAAGGGGTTGGCCAATCTGCAGATGATGAAGGTAGCTACCTACCTCTTTTTGCTGGCTTTCATTTAGTCTATCAAAGCACCGGAACACTGGCTAATGCTATATGCTTTACAGAGGCAAACAGTAATAAGCCAGTTCTACCAGCTCGACAGGCTAGTTGTAGAAGGACAGAAGACGGTACGTTGAAGACTTGGGGTCAATGTCTACCAGTTACAATTGAACTTAACATCCTCTAGGGCAAGGAAACCGGAGACCACGGCAGCATAGTCAGACAGAATGATTCCGGGTAGGTCGTTCTTGATAGCCGGATATCCATGCCGTTAGAGCTACTGCTGACTCCCTTCTCCCAGATCAAACTAGGTATCAATAGCTAGGGAAATTGACTAGGATTGTTACGGAGGCTTTCTCAGGGACGGATACTCTCTTTTACCCACTGGGGCATCATGTAGAATATAGATTTAATGCTGCGTCTCTGTCCGTTTCTTGCTTGTCTTTTCGTCTTCCGCTCTTTTCGGCCGCCCATGAAAATATTGTCTTAGTAAGCTGATGACTAAGCATTTCGACTTCATCGCAAACTTGACGCTGAAAACCGAATTTCCAGCTGCGAATCTCGGTCTTTTGGCAGAAGAACTCACCAGCGCAAGCGACAGAAGCAGGATGGGCCTTGTAAGTGTTCCCACACCCCTATAAACACACTGCGTTACCGTCCAGTTGTCCCGGTTACGGCGGTTTGGCGGGTGGCTGGCGGCAAAATCCCTGGCGCGTCAAGCCTGCATCGCGCAATCTGTATTTCATGCGCGCGCAATTCTATTATTCGCCATCTAGCAATGGATTGTTTGCTTGTCTTTATACTGATTATTATATAGAATCGATCATCTCGCCCCCATCGATCGGGCCCAATCGACCACGATGTCTTCGAGGGACTGCCTGTCCGCCGCTGGGCCCGCCAGCTCACCACCGTCTCGCAGGAGCCGAAGTCGACAGAACAAGACACAAGCATAGTAGACTCTCAGAGTCTGCCGGAACTGCCAATGCCTAGGGACAGCCACCTGTTGACTCCCGTCAGTCGAGCGCTTCTTCGCGCTGCTAGAGCTGGGTGCACGTACATACGACCTGTCCGCAAGGATCCCGAGCCCGAAGAACTTGAACAAAAGGATGATGATGATACCGTTGTAGAGCCGACGGTTGACGAGCGGACATTTGCAGCTATGAAGTGGACCGCCTTACCTAGGACAGTCGAGCTTCCAGAGGTGGAATTCTTAGCTCCCAGGAGAGCTGGGCTGCCGTCCCTGTATGGAGCTGGAGCCCAGTCAAACGCAGCCACGGCGGGCGGCTCGTCGATTCCAATGCGCAAGACAAAATTCAAGAAGATAGATCCTACAACTGGCGTCATATCAATATACGAAGCTTGGGTGCCGGAGGGGTACCAGGTCGAAGGAGAGATCATCCAAGAAGCCCAGGTCATAGCCGAGAACCCAGACGCAAAGGTCGTCAATGTTGAACCAGCTCCCGGAACTGTCGTTGCGGATATCGGTGTAGTGAACCAGGATGGTGTCGTTGTTGCCACCGCCGAAGGCAGTGCAGTTATACCAAAAGCGAACAAGGGGAAGCGGAAACTAAAGGCCGGTAAAGCAAAGAGCAGGAAGAAGGTCATGTTTGCTTCCGGCAATGGGACTGGACAGCCAGAGGCCCCGGGAGCTGAAGGCCCTGCCAATCCATCTGTTTCAGAAAATGGGGGCGCTACACCTTCTGGAACAGTATCTGTGCCAGAAGACGAGGAGGAAGACGAGGAAGAAGGCGATGAGAGCGACGAGGAGGATGACACTGCAACTGGTTCCAAACCTACCCCAACGGCTGACGGCCCTGTTGATGAGAATAACATGACACCAGCTGGTGACGTCCCGTCAGAACCGCAGGACATACCGCAACAACCGCCTACTACTGAGAAGGAATCTGTAGAACCGACACCTTCAGAACCTCCTCGAACCACCTCAAAATTCCCAGAACTGCCTATCATCACAAATTCTACCTCTGAACAGCCCTCGAAGTCGCCCGCTGAGGAACCAAAGGAGTCTACTGCTTCCACTGAACCTTCAAAGGAAGCTGGACCTCCCGCCGAAGCGCAGCAAGCAGACTCCGAGACCGTTGAGCAACCTAAAATTAGCCCTCCCCCAGTGTCTGCAGCGGAAGATGCAAAGGCTGCGTCCCCCGTAGCGCCTCTCCCGGAAAGCCTTGACGACAAGATGGACACAGCTGAGGATGCAGCACATCATCAACCTACTCCTGAAAAGGCAGCGAGCCCCCCGGCACCAGCCAAGGAAGAGCAAGTTTCACCACCGACTATCCCGCCGAGCACCACTGAAGCAGAATCCAAACCCCAAACTCCTCCTGATGCACACACATCAAATCCACTTCCCGAGACTATACCCGCATCTACACCCACTACAGGCCCCAGTGAACCTGCAGCCGAGGAGCCGGCAGGCCCCAGCTCCCCTCCTCCACCCCCTGAAACAACCGCAGATAGCAAGCCAGAGCCTACGTCGAGCGGACCTGTTCGATTCGAAGACGGCGAAGTTGATCTGCTGGGAAGCCTGGAGGCAAGCCTGGGCAAGGATCCAAATACTAAAGTTCAAGATCAACCGGAAGATACGTCAGAAACGGCTGCCGCTACTATAGAAAAGAAGGAAGATGATACCGGTACCAAGCCTGAAGCATCCGCTGCTAAAGAGGAAGAAAGCAAAGAAGATGATAAGGACAAGGACGTTGAGATGACTGGTTAATGTACTCTATTTTGGATTGGCGTCATTCTTTGCTTCTCTCTTAAATTCTTGGTTGGGGTTTGAACTCCCCTTGGAGTGGCCATCGTTATCCGTAGAGCACGTTTATTCGTCTAGTGTTCGTTGATATGGCTTTGGTCCGACCGGATTGGCGTTTTATTGATTTCATGCAGCGTACTCTACGGAGTGAACAATATATCCCATTTGCGCTCAAAGTTCAATGTTTAGCAGGCCTTTCCAATTGAAGTACCAAGATTGCCCTGGCTTGAATAATAGTACACATGTTGAATTATTTCTAAGATCAATAACGCTCATAAACTAGCTGAAAACAAATTATGAGTATGGCAAAAGTTGGCCAAAACGGAACCGCTAATTGACAGCGGTAACAGGAAAATTAGAGAACGCCAAAGCACGCTACAAATCATTCATTCATCAGGACCTGGCAGATGTTCTACGTCCACCTCTACCCTTTAGGACAGTTTGAACAGCCGTCTTTGCAAGCCTAGCCCGCGACCTAGATGGCATCCGAAGTTTGGTGCTTGATGCGGCTTGTCTGCTGGTCCTTGAAGAACGGGAAACAGATTTGAATGAGACATCCGCAGCAGCCGTAGTCCTAGTCCTTGCAGATTTATTGAATTGGACGCCCACTCTCTTCTTGGGTACCCTTATCGACTTAGCCTGGGACTTTATGCCTTGGGAGGCCTTAGAAGCCACTCGCTTCAGACCAGCTTTGACAGAGGACTGCTTGGCGGTTTTCTGTTTCTTAGAAGCTTGCGAGTTGGTGACTCCCTGTGACTTGCGCTTGGTTCCAGTACTAGCCGGTTTGACGGTAGATTTCTCCTTGGAGTCTTTCCCTTTTGGTCTTGGTCCCAGAACACCACGGCAAGATGGTGTGCCGCAGCGGCATTCTTGGACATTTTTATTGGAGTAAGGGCTTGGATTTCAAGTTAGCTAAGACAATTCTAACAGGAGAGGAGAAGACAATCATACTCAAAGTTGTAGTCATAGGTCAACTCTTCGCCGGTCATGATACCATTATCACCGGCAAAAAGGGCAATCCTGGGCTTGCCAGCAACAATCCATTTCTCCATTTTGCAATTGGGTTCACACGAGTGGTTAACAAAGCGGGCAATCGATCCCCGTGTGGCATCAATGATCATATCTTGGTCAAAGTCCATCAAATAAAAGCACTATTGATAGGAATTAGTCAATATTTCCAAAAAGAATACCGGAGTTAGCGAGGGTTAGACAAACCTCATTTTTCTTATATATCGTTTTCATTCGGCGCTGGGCCTCAATCTGAGTGAGTATCTCTCCAGTATACTCAACAATAATCTGATTGGGTTCAAAAGTTCTATTGCTGCGGACACCATATCCGCGGCTTTCTGTCTTTATTACTTCAACTCCAATGTTATATTTACCTCCAGTTTTGATCCGTTTGCGCAGCTCAGAGAAATTGCGGTTCCTGCAGAGGTCTTCCCCTAGTTTGCAGTTATTCTCATCACACTCATAGAACATATGGCGGTTCTGACAGTTCTCTTCGCACCCCATTTCAGGGGTACAGAGACAAGTGGATTGTTCAGTCGGCATGGTAGCTTTCCAGATACCAGCGGCATCTCCAATAAATATATCTATTATCCATTAGTTTAGTAGTCGCCATTTAGAGGTAGGTTGCAGTGCTTACTTTTGTTTATCTTGCGCCATTCATCTGGCTTCGGCTGGCCGCGAGGTAAGGGGGAGAATATATCATACGGCAGTCGAAATGGCCTGCCCTTTTCCAGTAATAAGGCTCCAGAGTACTTGGGCATAGGAAATAAGACACGCTCACGAGGGGCCTGTCTGGTCCCCTTTCGCTTGCTTTGGGGCCCAGGTAGTTCGAGTTTAGCAAATGCATTGGGTCCAGCGTAGAGGCCATGCGTGAGCCATTTCTTCCTCTTTGGCGCCGTCTGGACAGGCGCAGATGAAGGTGGTAGGTCTGCTTTCTTTTCTTTCTTCGGAGGAGTAGAGACATCCTCGGATACGCGTCTCTTCTTGGTAGCAGACTCCTCCTGGGTTTCCTTGCGCACAACTGTCCGCGAACGTAGACTGGATCTTCTATCCTCGACCTTGGACTTGGACTTGGACTTGGACTTCACGTCCTCCTTGTCATCTCGTTGTCTTTTGCCCAGAATGGAAGAAACCTGGTTCAAAACTGTCTTGGTTTTCTCCAGAAGTGTCAGTCGACCAGACCGTCTCCTGGGTTGCGCCGCGTCAGCCTTTGTTGACGATTGTGGCCTCGATCCAGTTTCTTCCTTTATAGGCTCATCTCCAGTGCTACTCCCGGTATTTTCCAGCTGTATCTCTGCCGTAGTCTCTTCTTCACATGGTTCCAATGCTCTCGCCGATAAACCACGACGCCCCCTGAGTGAACGCCGTTCAGGTCTTCGGCTTGGTTCATGCTTAACAACAGTTCCCCCCTCAGAAACAGACGCGGATATGTCCTCTCTCAATGCATCTTCATGTTTATTTCCGTTATGCTCGGTGTCGTTGTCTATTCCGCCCCTGGTAAATGCTCGAGTTACGCGACGCGTTTGTGGCGGCTTGGTCTGAGAAACGGGCTCCGTAACCGGAACGTCGACATTGCTTGAGGTCTCTGAGATGCTTGTTGCCGGTGTTAGAGTGTGTCCGGTCGATTCAAGAAGAGTTGAGTCGCTGTCTGGCGTTATAGATGTTGATGTTGTTGACTCCCTGGCGACACGCGACATGGCTGCATATAAACGGACGCCGCGCCAAACAGCCACCGAACGAGAGCTTCTAGATCAGTTCGAAAGGTATCTTGTGTGAATAACTAGAACAGAGCAGAGTCGATAGTAAACCACGGTTGTTTCTTGAGGAATAGTCGAGTTCTGCGCCGGAAGCGAAGGGTGAAAGGGCCCTAGAGAAGTTTGATAGGACAAAAGGCGCGACGCGGGTGCTGGAAAGCCTTTTTTCAGGGACCAGGGGAGAGAGAGAGTAAACAATACACGGAGTGAGAGATGCGGCTGGGGCCAGTTCGCATTATAAACAGTAGCGGACTCTCAAGGGGACGCAGCTATATAATCGCAGTGCATGGTCCAATTCATTACCTATAAGTACAGGGCGGAGACGATGTCCAAGTTTGGCGGTTTCAGCAGGACAAGAAATGCGCCACTGGTGAATTTTATATTGAAGTCAATGCTTACTGGAAAAGGGGGTTGAGACTCAGGACAGGAAGAACTATGAGTTAGACATTAGATATTCGGATTCTAGCTTAATTCTCTTATGATAAATATGTCACAACTTTTGTCGGTAGCAGGTGGGATTCTGTAAGACATTGTTGGATCAAGGACGCTGCCAGAGTCGTCCCAGAGACAGGACGGGTACAGGTCTATCTAGCAAAAAGACAAGCAAACAGACAGCAAACGCAGAATAGCGCGAGTACGGCCCGCAAAGAAAGGAAATTCCCACAGTCAAAATGAGCATAAGGGGGGGGGGGGGGGGGGGGGGTATTAGAAACATAAATCAGTCAGGAGATAGATCAAATGGTAGGGCCAAAATATACACAAGAAGCAGAGGCTGGAGGAGGAGACCGAGCGAAATAAATCCATGAAAGGGTGCTGAGAACAGGGCTGACAGTAGAATACACACTTGGACACTGGTTTCGGGGTATCGGAAGTAATTTGGGCATTACGCCCATTTTGCTCGCTTAGGAGGGTGGCGGTGCTGCTCCGTTGGTCGGGTGTCCGTTACCGACCTGCTGCATCTCAAGGCCGCCATTCTGTGCCTCGATGTCGTTTCGTCGCTTGTTCACCTTGAATGTTGCAAATCGCTGGTCACCTTCGACATGAGAGTTCTTAAATTGGAGGTAACTGGGAGTTCGAGGCTTCCCAAGGACAGCAACCAGGTTCCTGAAAGCACCTCCTTGGGTGAAAGGGCGGTGTCTGTCTTCCTTCTTAAACTTGCGGGAGTTCAGGTATTCTCGTGTTGTCTCACTTCGGCTCATCAGGAAGATATGGTAGACTGCTAGAGCGGCAGGATACGTAGCTGCAAGGCCACCATACACGACCATGGCAAAAGGAAGACGCCACTTATCGATGGCTTCGCCGAAAGTGACACCTTCCATCTTCATGTAGCCAAGGACATGAGCAAGACTAGCAGCAAAGAGGAAGAGAGCGAGTATGGTGCATGTAGCAACGAAGGAGAAGAAATAACGGTAATTTCGGCGTCCAACACAATTGTTGAGCCAGACACAGTGATGGTCCAGGGTTTCAACGCAGTTGTTGCATACTCGGCAGTGATAGCAACGCGGTGGACGCCAGATGCTGCAGGTCTTGCAGTACTTTACTGGCACATCCATGGCAGCAACTTCAGATGTAGCTAGTTTGATCATAACCCAGTCACTTGTAGGAGGGCCAAGGGCTAGAGGATCAGCATCAGGGTCAGATGGGGGTATAATATGAAGATTTCGGGGAAGAATCTATCAATTGGCTGTCAGTTAGGAATGTAAATAGTAATGGGACGAGCAGGAACATTACTCACTCCAGGATCAACTAAGGACGCATGAAGGAAAGACGAGACGCAAAGGTAAAAGAGGTATCCAAAGACAATAGGTATTGCTTTTGACATGTTAGTCCACAGCCAAGGTGCCCTGGAGATAGATGTTAGTAGGGTCAATTCTGAGTATCCGGAGGGAAGTGTGGAACTCACGAAGAAGCAAAAAAGAGAATTGTAGGTAGGACGATCAAGAATCCAGTAACAACGTTAATCGGTCTATCACGGGTATTCTGGAACCTGCCACCACCGAAAAATGCTGTGTTCCCAGTAAAATATTGATAGTTCTTCCCCCTTTCCACGGCCGGTTTCACCTCAACCTTTTCAGGCTCAGGCTCAGGGATAGACGTTGCATTAGAGGCGAGTCTTGTGTGACTTCTCTGGTCACAACGGCGTATGGTAGCCTCAGATGCATTCCCGCCTAGAAGTCCAGATGGAAATGAGATAGGGGACTTGGAAGGCGGCTCGTGTGACGCGGTTGGGTTGGTATAGTTCTCCCCCAAGTTCACCTGGACCGGAGTAGATGATCTCTGAGACCTATCCTGTAGCAGCCTGACGTTGTCTCCCAGGCTGCGAATCGTCGTATGTCCTGAGGGACTGGTGTTGGTCGTCAACCTGTCAGGCAGTACTGGATCTGTAAACTCGGTTCCTCTTGTTGGTGGTCGGATATCATTATCTAGATGTGCCGTCGTGTTTGATACCATACTCCTGCGCGCCTGGCTGGCCACATCACTCTGGTTGTCTTCAAATCCAGTGGTACTGGTTGCCGTCGTTGCAGGTCTCCCACCACGCTGTGCCTGTAGTCTCTGCGAGCTCATGGGTCGGAAGAAGGCCTGAGAGGTAAGAGAGGAAACGTGGGTTTTGCTCATCTTGCTCTGCGCGCTGGGCGGCCGGGCACCCAGAATTGGGCTCCGCGTGGGTGGAGGCCCTCGATGAGACGGCGTCGGGCCAGACTGTGACCATGATGCCGAATGCTGAGTCCGCTGCCCGTCTTCAGACACGGGTCCGATGATTGGGGAGGGTATGTTGACTGCAGATTGAGCAGCATTCTGGGGTGCAGAACCCGGGGCACGGGAGCTCGAATCTTCAGGATTCGTTTCAGAAGGAGTCATTGTCGCGATTGATCCGTGCTATTTTATCCAGAATCAATAGTATCAATGCATTATCGCGTCGATATATTAATATATGTAGCAGGTTTCAAGCTCCCATCTATTTGTTTGTTGACTGGGGAAAAAGGCTGGAGCTTTTTTGGTGTCGAGCAGGCCGTCAGGGCAGGAACCAGATGAAGCAGCGGTCTAGAGTCACAGCAGGGCGTCTGACACGGCCGGAGTCAGTCTCGTCTTCGCTTCCTCCTCGTCCTCTCTCCGTCGTCGTCTCGCTGTCTCGCTCGTTTGTTGTCGTCAAACCGTCGACTCTCCTGCGCTCTCTTTTTTATTTTTTGGCTTCTCCTTTAATTTCAAGATGCATCATGTGATCTTTGCTGACTCATCTTCCACGTGACCGACTTAAACAAACCGTCGGAAGCGGAAAAGAACAACCAAAAGTCGAAGTTCGTGAACGACATTCGAGATATATCAAAAGACGCAAGCCCGCCGAAGACGACCGAGACTCGCCCAGATCAAGGCAATTGACAGCAGCATTGGTCAAGTTTCCTCTCACCATGTCCTCTCTCTCCGCCATCATGGCCCGCCGGGCCTTCCTGCGCCAGCAGCCTGTCCGAAGACTCGTCACGCCACAGCCAATCCGACGACATGCCTCCTCCAAGGCCGCTGAGGCCGGCCTCGACAAGGGCGCCAAAAGGGATCCCGAGCTCTATGTACGTCGACAAGCGTGTGGGGACTGCAATTGATGCAGTCCTTGCCCTGAACTCCCTTTTTATGCGATATATGAAGCTGATCGGTGGTGATGTTGCACGAAATTATTAGGTCCTTCTCACTGTTATGGCCGGTGCTTTTGGAATTGTCGGCTGGTACCTAGGCAGCTCTCCTACCAGCGTTAGCTCCGAGAGCAACGTCCGTGTTGGCGAGAGCGGCGCTATGCCATGGGAGACCGACGAGAAGGATTCCGAGAGCAAGGGCAACTTCAAGTACAGGTACCACCCTCACGGAGACAAGAGCAAGCCCCTCAAGGAGGCCCCCAGTGCTTTGAACGAGGTCATCATTCCAAACGTGACCCTCCCAGCTGTATGTGCATGGTCATACCCCGCTACGATACTTGTTTTTAATACTGACTTATCGGATAGGACCTCCACGAACGATTCAACAAGTATGGAAAGGATCTCTAAATCAAATTCCAGGCTCTGTGCCTGCACCGTCAAGGGTGGATTTGATACCATGCTAGGAATTAACCGCAGCATCGAGACTCCTGTACATATTCCTACAATTGTAACATCTTGTCTCCTTTACTACCTCCCTCTTGTCGCTGCTGCCCAAGCAGCATCATCGCATCATTCCTTGTATCAACTCCTGGCCTTTCCTTGATATGTTTGGTTAGTCTCTCACAATTACCCTCTAGATCTCAATTGTGTAAAATCCAGTTTAATTCAATCATTGGTTTCATATGTTCATCACTGCTACGGGGTATATATATATCGTACGACATTAGCAAGTAACTAGCTTACTGTGGGCCAATTGAGGCAATGATATTACCAATAATATTTCGAGCGCCTAAGGTAAAACGGCTAGATCCTTGGGGACAACACCATTGTATTGACATCCACAGCTGGCATTCTAGTTATTTATTCTAATTCTCTTTTTTGGCGAAGCAATGAACTAAATAACACCTGAAAGACATAATCTTCGCAACAAGCAGGCCATAACGGGATAATAACTAATATAATACAGGAAAAAGACAGTGAACAAGAATGAAAACCCATTAGATATCGTAGAGAGTCAATTAGTTTGTAGCAGCCTTAGCCTCGCTGGCGGGCTTTGGCTTATTTTCTTTCTTTTTGGGGGACTCGTTCTCTCCCTTGACCTCAGCTGGCTTGTTAGCTGGAGCCTTTGGTTCGTCCTTAGCAACGGTTTCTGGGTTAGCGCCCTGCACGTCTGGGTGTTCAGGGGCGATAATAGCTTCCTTGGGGAGTTCTCGGCCTTCGGTATCGATTACTCTAGTGCGAGTCTCATATCGGGTTTCAAAGGAGATTTCTCCCTGTTCCTGGAGGACTTTGACTTGTTCCTCGCTGAGGATGTTGCCCTCTGAATCGCGGTACTCGACTTCACGAACTTTACGAAGCTCTGGGTCCACTGCCGGCGGCTGCTGTGGTGATTCGGGCTGGACAGGAACTTGGTTCTCCTGCTGTTCAGGTTGCTGCTCCTGCTCTTGCTCTCCCGGTTGCTGTTGCTGCTGCTGCTGTACGGGTGGGGCTGCGATGGAAGTATGAGCGGCTTCCGAGGTGTTGACAACTTCGGGAATAGCATATTGGGATAGCTGACTCCAAGTCAGTAACTCAATTCAACCACGACCGCGTTGGGGAGCTTTCCATGTTGGAACACTTACGTCATTATGGAAAAGGTTGCAGTCAAAGTCCCAGGTAGGGATCAACTTGGTCCTCTGGCACATGTCTTTAGTCCAAGGGTTGCCGTATGCAAGTGGTGAAAGGATACAGAAGGCAGCAACGCTGAGAGACAAGAATGCAACGGTGAACAGCTTGCCAAAGATGGATGGCTTGTTAAATCTGTTAGCCACAAAGTCGTAGATCTGACAGAATGCCAGGATTGCAAAGTACAAGGCTGGGAGATAGTGGTGGAGGAAAAGCTGGCGGGCCATAAGGTAGAATGGGAAGTAGTGAAGAGCCCAGCCGAGAAGAGTCTGGCCAATCTCGTAATCAAAGCGCTTGAAGTGGACATAGTTGTAGTCCTTGAAGCCGCGCTGCCATCGAAGAACGGCAATACCCTTGAAGAGGACCCAGATGACAAGTGCAGCGGTAGAAGTCCACCAGATGACTGGGTTGCCAATGAGGTAAACGTGGCGGTGGTGTCTGCCCCAGAAGTTGATACCACGGGACAAGATGGGCCAGGATGGTGGACGTGAGTCCCAAGCATGAGAGTTGACGAGGCCAGCGTTTGTCCTCCACATAACCTTGTGAAGCTCCCAGAATTTGGCAAAGAAGTTAGGAATCTTGTAGTTCACTTTCTCAACGTCATCAGGGAGAGCGGGCTGGCTGTTCTGTTCAATGTACCAGATGCTGTTGGGCAGGGAACCACCCTTGGCACAGGTAACCTCTTGTTGGTCGAAGCCCCATTCTGGCAGTTTCACTTTATGGGAGAACAAAACACAACCAGTCATAACGTGCACAAGCTTGAACTTCGTCTGGATCGTCCTTAGCCTCTTCTTTGCCTCTGCTCCATCAGACATGGAAGGGACAATTTCCACGCGGAAGAGGTCATTGGCGTCTCCCTCAAATCCTTCGTAGCCATAGGCGGAAACTTCCTGCTGCCAATCGGCTTCGGTAACCGGAGGACGAACATCATGAGAGTGGAGGCGTCTGTCAGTAGTCATGTGGTAGAGTCTGATAGTGCTGCCGTCTATGATGTGTTCGGTAGTGATGTTATCCCAGGCCCGTGGTCCAGGGACCTGGCCATATGGTCCGAGAGGCTGAGTCTGGTTCTCGAGGATGAAGATGTTGTTGTCGTCCTTGTGGGGGTAAAGGGTGATTTGTTGCTGCTTGCTTCCGCCGGGGTACATGTGGCTGTGCGAGTGGAGGTAGCCTCCCTGAGTATTGTGGTGTCTGATAGATACCCTAGAGCCAAAGACAACATCGACGGGAGTATCACTCATGCCCTTTGAGTTGAGAGTTGCTTGGAATTCGGATGACATGAAGCCATCACCTTCACCGGGGTTTCGGAGACAGAGGAAGTGAATTCCGAACATGGCCATGTAGAGGCCAACAGGGATGACAATCAGGCAGAGGGCACGAGCAAAGAAGTGTTTAAACCAGAGGTGCTAGAAGAATATTAGTATGCGTTAAAATATGTTTGGTTAACGTCGAAGGCATAGCTTACTGGAGTAACAGTCTTTGAATCACCGAGAAGAACCCAGAGTTGGACGAGAGTCAATGATCCAACCCACGCAATCGTGAAGAGGCCAACCCATTTCACACTAGCAGTTGCTCCAAGGAAGAGTCCGGATGCCACTAGCCAGAACCACCAAGAGCATCCAAAGGCCTTTGGTGGGCCTTGTTCGTGCTGGTTGGAGAACGAGACGAAAGAGAGGACGGTCAAGGCAGTGAAGATGATCAGAGGAGAGTCCAAAAGAATGAAGCGCGATTGGGTGACGAGTGCATTTTCTAGTAGCTGTTAGACTTGGAATTTCCATTTGTTCGAGGTAGGGGTGTCAAAAACTCACCAAAGGTGACTAGGAGAGCACCGAACGAGGCGGTTGAAGTCCGACAGCCGGTTGCTTTCAGAGTAAGAAACATGGTAGGGACGGTCATTATACCCATGATAGCGGGGAGCATGCGCATGGCAACGTAGGGAACACCAGGTTCTAGATAATCCTTGCCAATTTCCTTGAAGTCAAAATCTCCCTTGAACCCAGCGAGGTGACCAGCGAGGGTGATAAGCAGTTTAGCTAGCGGCGGGTGGACGTCCATGAAGAATTTGCCCTTGATATACTTGGTAGCGAAGCCTCCGAAGCTACAGACATCCCATTAGCCATCCCATTAGCCTTCCAATTGCTTCGGTATCAGCTATGGCAGGGGAGGCGGCGGAACTTACTGGACCTCGTCAAAGACGACGCTGGACGGCTGGTAGATCCTGAACAGCCGCACCACCGTTGCAATTGCAGTGATAACGAGCATTATCTTGTAGTCTGAGACGGGCAGGTTGAGGACATCATAGTCCTTGACGCCATCGGAGCGGTAATCGTGGGTTTTCGACTGCCTGGAGGCGCCCTTGGGGCCAGGGGATCTGCTCTTCGAACGGCTCTTCGAGCGGCTTTTGCTGGGCGTCTTTGCCTCCAGACCGGCATTCGAGGCCTTGGACGCCATTATCACGGATTAAAGTATATAACGAAGCAGAATAAAGAGCGAGCGAGGAGCTGCGTGCGGTCGAAGAAGAGTGTTGGACGAGCTGCTAAACGGGCCACATTGATTAAAAAGAGACGATAAGTAGACGCCAAGGGAGGCTGAAGTAGAAGTAGATAACGCAAGCGAGGGTCAAGAAGCAGAAGAAAAGGGTCGACACAGTCAAAAACGAAGAAGAGAAGGGAAGAAGTCCACGCAGCCGTCTCGAAGGAGCAGAACGACAGCGAGAAGTCTGTGAAGGGGCTGAGGCTGCAGACGGAGTCGAGATGAAGTTGGATGGTGTTCTTTTTTTTCCTGCTTTGCGGTCGGCGGGAAGAAGAAAGGGGGTGCTTAGGTAAGCAGCGACGTTGGAATCGAAAGCTATCAAAAATTAAAAAAAAGCTGGAGAACCGACGACGACCTCAAGCTGCGGAAGAGCGACAGCCAAACTGCAGACGAGACCAGGAAGGCCGACACGCAGGCGGCAGAGAACGGGATTACGGGATCTCTAGAGGCAGAAGAGCGAGATGGCGCCGTCGGCTGTGAACGAGGCTGCTGGCACGCCGTCAGAGCTGCCGGACGAGGTGAACAAGCCGCCAGAGGGCGTTATCTTGCCACCAAAGGACATCAAAGGTAGGCTGAAAGAGGAGCCATTCTACAGAAGATGCAGATGCTGACCGTGGGGATAGTCATTGTCGAGAAGACCGCGGGCTTCGTTGCGCGTAACGGACATGTTTTCGAAGGTAGGGCGGCATCATGATGTAGCTACACTGGGATTGAGATACTAATGCTTGATAGACCGAGTGAGGGAGAAAGAGAAGAACAACACCAAGTTCTGCTTCCTAAACCCGAACGACGCTTATGCCCCGTTTTACGCATGGAGACTGAGTGAGATCAAGGCCGGTAGAGGGACGGATGTGTCTGCCGGGCGCGTTGGAGAGGCTGCGCCAGCTAAGAAGGAGGAAGAGTCTAACGCCCCCAAACCGCCGCCGGAATTCCAGTTCTCGGCCCGGATGCCCAATATCAACGCGCTGGATCTGGAGGTAGTCAAGCTGACGGCACTTTTTGTTGCAAAGAGAGGGAAATCATTCATGACATCTCTATCCCAGCGCGAGACGAGAAATTTCCAGTTCGACTTTCTTCGGCCGCAGCACAGCTTATATCAGTTTTTCACCAGGCTAGTTGATCAGTACCGGGAGCTGCTGCAGGTCGAGGGACGTGAGAGCGCCGTCACAGAAGAACAGCGGCTGGCAGACCTGCGGGAGAATGTGACGAACAAATACAACGTTCTTGGGCGCGCAAAGCAGCGGGCAGAGTGGGTGAAGTACCAGGAGATGCAGAAGCTGCAAAAAGAAGAGGAGGAGGAGGAAGAGAAGGTGGCCTACGCGCAGATCGACTGGCATGATTTCGTGGTGGTTGAGACGGTGCTGTTCACAGAGGCAGACGACCAGAGCGAGCTACCGCCGCCTACATCGCTGAACGACCTACAAACTGCGTCCCTGGAGCAGAAGGCGATGATATCCCTACAGCCGCACGACAGACGAATAGAAGAAGCCATGCCCACCGAAGACGACTCGACGACATACTACAACGCAACATCAGACATATCTCATCAACCCTCTCTCCCTGTTCTACAACCACAACGTCCCGTATCCACCGGCCCCATACAACCGCAAGCACCATCTCCGTCACCCTTCCCTTCAACAGCAGTAACTTCTGCCTCCCTCTCACCCGCTCCCATGCCAGCAACCGCATCTCCCACTCCCACCGCACCCCCAGCAGCGCCAGTCCCGGCAGCAGCAATGCCCGATCAACATCCCGCTCGGGACCGGGTCCGCGCCAATCCCTCACCCTCGCCAGTACCCGGCCAACCGCCCATGCGCATTCGATCAGACTACGTCCCTCGCGCGCAGGCCAAACATCTCTCCAGCGCCAACCAGCCTACATCCATATGTCCCAATTGCAGACAGCAAATCCCCATCGCAGAAATGGAGCAGCATATGCGCATTGAGCTACAGGATCCTCGCTGGAAGGAACAGCGCGCGAAGGCTGAAGCCCGATTCGCTAGCACTAACCTTTCGACCGTCGATGTAGCTAATAACCTTAAGCGTCTGGCCAGTCAACGAAGCGACGTATTTGATCCGATGTTGTCTGGCGTCGCAGGGTCGTCTACCGCTACAAACGAAGAGGACGAAGAAGGCAGACGCAAAAGGGTGGCTGTTGGACCGAACGGGGTGCCCGTGAATATGAACGTGCCTGTTCAGCAGCGCTCGTTCTCGCAGCCTATGCCTACGCATCCTCAACCGCAAATGCATACCCATGCACCGGGCACAGTACCTGGCCTACCCCCTGGGGCACCAGGGACAATTCCGCTACCCCCAGGCGTAGCACCTCCTGGGGTGGCATCTGCACCCACACCCGCGCCGGGCGTGAGCGTGGGCGCTGGCATTTCCAGACCAAGCAGCACTAGCACCGGCGCCAGCGCCAACAAGCCTCCCGCCATGCGCGAGCTGCCTCAACCGCCTATCCAGAAGCCACCGCCTGTGCAGCCACAGGCAGCCCCCGAGGAAGCCAAACCAGACACGCCGCCGGTGAACATTAACGAGCAAATAAGGAAGATTCACGAGAAGATGGGGCGGTAACGACGTGGTATGTCGTATTTTTACGTATATGTATTATCAACTATCTATCTAGCGGCGTTTAGGAATGAATAAATTGGAGCAACATAGGTACCTCAGCTCTCGTTTCATTGATATCTGCTTGCTACCTACGTAGGGTAACTAAAATGACAGCTCCAGCTTCATTTCCAAGCTGAGGTTCATCCGTCTATTTGCAGTATTAAACCTTTCCGACCAATCGTCCACCCATCCAACCGACCAACCAATTAACCACGAACTGACCCCTTCTATGTAAGTGAATAAAAAGCAACTAAATAACGAAACGTAACGTACACTCTCCCGAATTGAAAAGAAAAAAAAGATGAACAAGAAGATGAAGTAAGTCCGCGAAGGGAGGAGAAGAAAGTAAGCATGTAGGGGAGCCGCAGCTGTGCGTGGTATGGTGGTGGCTGACGGGCAGTATGCTAAGTAGTGTATGAGAGAAAGGAAATAATGGTTGATAGTGAGCGAGGTCGAGCCCAGACGGGCCGGTATGAAGCATTAAGAATAGCAGTAAGGATCAAAGGCAATGAATCAGAATCGAATTGAATGCAGTGCAATAGAATGCAATAGAATGGAATGGCGTGGTCTCAAGTGGTTGGTAAGAAGGTCGGTAGGGGGTATCATCAATTTCTTCCAAAACGAATGCTCAGCTTCTTCTAGTGTAGAAAAACGGTCTTTCGTCTTGCTTTTGTTTATGTTCATTCGCTTTTTAGGAACAGAACGCTGTACGTAGTATGGATGTTATGTGGTGTATGTGGTGAACTGGTCATGACGTAGTGATGTGCTAATTATCATGCAAAAAAGCAGCGGGGATCTTCACTTTGAGCTTGCCTTCTGCTGGTGCTGGTGCTGGGCCGGACGTGGACGGAGTAGATGTAGTAGATGTGCCGTTGGCCAGACTTGCACGGAGAGAGACAGGCATGACCTTGGGAAACTTGGTATCCGGTGAAGTCACTGTGGATGGGGATTGAGGAGTTGAAGAAGGAGGTGGTACAGATCTCAGACGGCGTAGGACTGTTCTTGGAGCCTGGGAGGTAGAGGTGGTTGTGGGTGGTATTGCGGTTGCTGGTCTTGTAGATGGAGCTGGCTTGGGAGAGGGAGATGGAGAGCGAGATCTGTACCGTGATGGAGAGAGGGAGAGACTGCGAGTGGTAGTAGTAGTTGTTGACGCTGAGAGTGTAGACGTGGATGGAGTATCTGCTGGTGCTGTTGATGGTTCTGCTTCAGCAGCGGGTGCCGGAGTGGGCGTTGGAGTGGGCGTGGAGATACTTGAAGCCAACTGTTCTGTAGTCTCTGTTTCCGCCTCCGGTTTCGTTGGTGTTGATACAGGTGTCTGCTTAGCATCCACTGGAGAAGTAACAGTGATATCCTTGATGACAAGCGGCGCATCATCAGACTGTTCAATCTTCCCCTTCTCCTTCTCGCTGTCGTCTTCTGCCTTCTTACCAGAGATAAAAGCCGGGACGACACCGCCGCCGATCCTAGCCCAGAAGATCCTCTCTCTTAACCGTACAGTTTCCTCCCAAGCCTCCCTCTCCCGCTCCTTGATCTCTGCCTCTCCATCCCCGCCGGTTCGAACATGTCCGTCGACAACCAATCTTAGATATCCCACAAACTCACAGCAAGCCCGCATCTTCTCCAAGCATAACAAGCACAAAGCATGTTTGGGGGCCGAGTCAGAGCTCGAGGTACGAAAGCGGTGGGTGCGTGGATTGACTGTCGTCCGTCTATCACCACATAGGGCGCAGGGGGTGGACGTACTCGACATACTCGAGGGTGTTGATGGGGGAGAAGGCAAGTCTGTAGCCGAATTGGCTGATGAGGTGTTAGAAGGGATGGGTTCGATGATGAGTTCACCCTCGACGAGACTGCTCATGACGGAGCGGCGAGTGAGCCAGGATATGCCTGGTGCCATGTCGAGACGGAGCGTGGGCTCGATGTCTTCTGCGAGAATGCGTTTGTAGAAGCGTGTTTCCTTGAGCTGCATCGAGGAAGTGATGTTCTCTCGTGGAGAGGAAGAGATGCCGCCGTGAGACGTGGAAGGGGACGAAGCAACGGACGAGCTTGCTGCTGCCGGACTGCCGGTGTTGACATTGCTGCTGTTGCTGCCGTTGTGGTTGGTGTCCTGGGAGTTTGTGGGGGTGTGGGTGGTGGATTTAGGACGGGAAGATGTAAGGTTAGCTAGGTTCATGACGTTGAGGCCGCTGTAGGAGCCGCTGCCGACGCGGCTGGGCGGTCGCGAGCGAGAGAGCTGCAGGAGGGTGTTAAAGTCTTCGTAGGCGAGGATGTCTGTTCGACAGACGGGTTTGAGCAGGTGGGAGAAGCTTGTTGGAGGAGCAGGGGGGATATCGTCTGAACCAGGTGTGACGGGAGAGAGGTTCATGGCTTCGAAGAGACGGTTGATGTTGTGGTTGTTGCCATTGCCATTGTTGGGGGTAGGCTGGTCAGGAAAGGGATCTGAGGGTGAGCTGATGGAGGTGGCTGTTGTAGCGGTGTCCTGGTCGTCGTGTCTGCTGTTCATCTGCTCGATGACGGACTTGAGCTCGGCCAGCTGTTCCTGGTGCGAGGCCAGCAGCAACTCTGTATCTTTGATCTGGGCTCGTAGCTGTTCGTTCTTCCGCTCGACTGCTTCTCTCTCTTGCTTTGCAGCCGCTACCATCTATACAAGACGTCAGCATTGACCAGAAACCGAAAAGAAAGTTGGATATTCTAAACAGTCCTACCTTGTTAGCTTCTTCAAACAAGGCAGCAGTGAGCGTCTCGAGTTCAGTCTCGATGCCCTTCTTCTCCTTCTCGACGGTGCTGCGACGCCTCCGCTCCTCCTCGAGCTCCTGACGGGCCACTGCGAGGCTGTCATCGAGTAAGGTCTGGTGGTTGATGGCCTGGATGAGCTTGTCACTGAGATTGGCTACCTCGTTGCTGAGGTCCGGGTGGTGTGAGGCGGTCGACGCGGACCTGGTACGAGACAGGTCTGAGGTGCTGGCTACTCGAGGGTCTCGCAGGGTTGACAATGAGTTTTCTGGCTTCTCTCGGTCTCGGTCTCTCTCTCTGTCTCTGTCCTTGGGTCGACGGACAGAGGAAGGGCCCTGGGCAACAGCGGCAGCCATCTCGGCGAGGGCATTTGAAGATTTTGCGCGCGAGACGAGCTTCTTCGAGGACCGGTCCGGGTACAGCCCGTAAGCAATGAATCTGCTGTTTTTGTTTGGTTGTCAGTCAATGATGAATGGATGCCAGAGAACCATTGGAGAAGCAGGTGAGAAGATAAGAGAGCGAATGAGACGGTTGAGAGAGGGCTGGAAGGACGTACTCTGCCATGGCGGTTGGGCTGCTGCCGGCCTGCGGACTGGCGGCTCGTATCGTGGGCGAGCAGGGGCTGTCGGGTGGGCGCTAGTGGTGAGCAGGATCGAAGATGGCCTGCTAGACACGCAACATGGCGGCAAGGCGGCGCCAGCAACCCGGTATCCAGTCTGTTCAATCTCGCAGCCCGGAGAGTAATGGTGCCAGAGCTGCCCGTCGGATGGCAGGACAAGCGCGAGAAGCAGCTGGTAAACAACAGCAGCAGCTAACTAGAGCTCGAGCTGCTGAGCCACGGCGGAGAAGTTGACGTATGGTCGAAGGCTGGGGAGATCCACCACGCCGGCGGGCCAGGGAGTCCGCCGTCTCAGGACGTCGCTAATAACTAGTATCTGCCCTCGTCTATAGCAGCGTAGCTAATGTCTGTTTATCTCCTGGCCTTTCTGCTGGCTGGCTGGCTCGCGGCTCGACTTGGGTTGCTGGCGGGAGGGAAGAACCTGAAGTTGGAGAAGTTTGAAGTTGAAGTCGAAGAAGAAGAAAAGAAGAAAAGAAGACAGTTTTTGACAGGTCACGTGGAGGCAAGAGGCAAAGATGATGAAGTTAACAGTAAGATATGAGACTAGATGTTATTATAGTGTTATTAGATGATGATATAGTTGTTGTAAGCAGAAGATGTCATAGATGTCATAGATGTCATGGATGTTATGGATGTTGTAGAGATGTGAAGTGGTGATGGAAGACAGCGAGGAGGAGACATAGACATAGGGATATATATATGTAGAGAGAGAGAGACAGTGTACTTTGCATCTACAGCAATGATTATTACTTTGAATGATTACTTCTACTATATCTATGCTTTGTCTCTTTGTCTCAGGTTGAACATCTTCCTGTCATTGATTATTGCTTATAGCTATCTTGTACCTGGTGGTCTACTGTCTCTTATCAGCCCTTTAGTTGACATTTCTCATGCATAGATACTCAATTAAACAAGAGAGATAGCCTGTGAGAAGCTTCTTCTGTCTGTCTCTGCTTGTATCTGCCTGTATCTGCCTGTCTTGCCTGTCTGTAGATACTCGGTGTTGGTGGTGGATTTTGGTAGAGATGAAACTCCTGTATATTTAAGCTTCAGCAGCAAAAGATATCAAATATTCCGCTGCAGCAGACAGACAGCTTGATAACCTCGATAAACCACGCAAGGGGGCCTCGATAAGAAGACTCAAAGGGATTCTCTACTTAATACTTCTACTTAACGTCTGAAGACCCGGCTTTACTCGCTGGTTAAACCCGATATCGACCTCTCACTGCTCCCCCGCCATCCCACCAAGTCCACGCCCACAACACAACCATGGCAGACGCAGAGCTCGAAGAGGTCAGTTATCTTGCTGTTGCTTGTCTATCAGATACTAACTAGCTGTCTCAGATCAGAAAAGCCCGTCTGGCCCAGCTCCAGCAGCAGGGTGGTCCCTCCGGCGACGACGACCAGCGGTAGGTAGTCTCCCCTACACAATACGCCCGCACATTCACAGCATTATATTATACGGAGGCTAACTTCACTAGAAACAAAGAGACTGAAGCCCGCCAGTCCATCCTCAGCCAGATCCTCACCCCCGAAGCCGCAGACAGGCTCGGCCGCATCAGGCTCGTCAAGGAGTCCCGCGCCACAGACATAGAGAACAGGCTCATCATGCTCGCCAGGTCGGGCCAGCTGCGCCAGAAAGTAACAGAAGACCAGCTCAAGGACCTCCTCAACGCCGTGGCCGAGAACGAAGAGAAGAAGAAGATAGTCATCAACCGGCGTGGCGGCTGGGACGACGACGACGACGACCTACTGGACCTATAATACACACCACACATTTCATTTCCTACTTCTCTTTCTTTAAGCCAGTTTATTCTATTGTACAGCCTGCTCCTTCTTCTTCTTCTCTTTATCCCGCTTTCTCTGCTGCCGCCTTATCTCCCTCAGATCAGGCGGCACCTCTATGCCCAACTCGGCCCGTATCTCACCCACATCCCGCTCCAGCATCTCCTCCCAATAAACGCATATAAGCTCCTTACTCTTTGCTCCGCTCCTCACAGCCCACGGCAGATGAATATCCCAGAACCTCTCCCTCTCGGCTCCCTTCAACCGCACCACAGCAGCAGCAGCCAGGCCCGTCATCGGAAGACCCGTGTTCATGAACTCGAATATCTTCAGCGCCAGCTCTCCCTCAACCACGATAGGAAGGTCGGTCACAGCATGGTAGAAATCATGGCACTCGCGGTATCGTTGCATCACATATGCGCATTCTGCGTTGTCAATGTACCGCACGCTGCTGCGGGTGTCGGGCGTGACGCCCTCGCGGTCCAGCCAGGATGCGTACGTGTAGCCCAGGCTGTTGGGCGGGAGGGAGCGTAGATAGGGTAATGAGAGGGTCTGCGAGGTTATGCGTGGTCGGTCCCGGAGGATGCGCCGGCCGGTTGCGTCGGAGAGCATGGCGTCTCGCAGCCGGTAGATGAAGTACGGTGTTGCTGTTGTTTCGCCTAGCGTGGCTATTAAATCTATTCCCTTGTTAGTATTTATTTACCTTCTTTATATCGTAGTATATATCAGTGGAAATTCAAGTATCTACCATGTCGTCGAGGGTTGAGTAGTGAGCCGATGGCTGACCCGATGGCCATCGAGCACCGTTCAACGGTCGTCAGGGGAACATGGCCGGGGTAGTTTGGTGCTGGACGGCTCAGCACTGAGAATTGCCGCCGGCCTCGATCCAATTGACGGGGTATCTTCAGTGTCCTTATTCGTGGTGGCATTTTATCTGTCCTATATAATAATATTTTATCTGCTTCTTCCTTGAAGCTTTCGATAGTTTAAAGTCGACGGAGCTATCATGCCACTGCTGACTAAGCATAACTATACATAGATACCGAGAGTGCATTGATAGATCTAGAGGCATCGAGAGAAGATATCGAGACATTAATTGATAGATAGATAGACTGTGTGGCTATAGCTTCGACAGGTCAAATGGGACCTCTTCGTTTCTCTGTCTCCCCGCAATCCTCGACTTGGCCTGCGCAAGCTGCACAACCATGTAGTTCAACGCACACCGCACCCCTACTTCCTCCCCTCTACGCACAATATACCCGTTCATATACTCGATCTCGCTCTCCTTCCCCATCCTCGCATCCTGCAGCATAGAGCTAGTGTTCTCGCCCGTCTTACCCGCCACACCCACAGCAATTGTTCGTAGTCGTTCAGGTGAAAAGCGGGATTGTAGACCTGGAACCCCCTGCAGTTCCGGCAGAGCGCATATCACGGCACTTATCTCGATAAGCAGTAGTCGTTGGACACGCGTCAAGTTGTAGTGGTATAGTAGTTCGCCATTCTTGCAGTCCATGAGTAAGGTGAGTGGGTTGATGATGCAGTTTATTGCCAGTTTTTCCAGCTGCAGTAGGAACAGGTCTGTTGCATTGGTGGATATGCATGCCAGCTCGGGAGTTTGCGTAAGCGTCTTCAGCAGGAAATTCGTGGACGGTGCAAAGGTAGTTGAACTGCCATCGGCAGTATACTCCATATCATCTCTCGGAGACTGCCGTACAACGCCTATCGTAGTAGCTCCCACCCCAGCATGCGTGGTTTCAAAGAGTCCTGACTTAAACAGCCCATGACTCGTGACGCCAAACAGATAATTCGGCCGCTCACTCTCATCAGGCCATATCTTCTCATTCACTTCCTCCAGCACCCCCAGCCCATTCGTAAGGAAAAGCACAGATGACTCTGGCGTCAGTCGGTGCCGAACAGACTTCATCGCCCTTTCAATCTGCGTCGTCTTCACTGTAACAATCAAGTGTTCAATCCATTCCTCGTCCGCAGGGGTAAGATTGCCGTCGCTATCAGGCTCCTCCCCCTGACGTAGAGAAAATTCTTCCTCAACCAGATCGTCTGGTGCTCCCTCGATTTCGGACGGATAATACCATTCGTGGTCCTGCAGGACGTTGATGCAGAAGCCTGATCGTTGCTCGGGTATCCCGTGACGTTTCACAGCAACGACCCGCCCGAACCGGTTCCAGTCCTTGTAGAAGGCTGGGTGGTGGAAGAGAAGCGTTATGCAGGCTCGTTCGGAGACAGGGCGGGCGGCGAGTGAGTGTGCTACGAACGAGCCTATGTTGCCCACGCCCATGATGTGTATTTTCTTGTGCATGTTGTTTTTACTGTTGCTTGGGCTGTGTTGAAGTGGTCGTCCAGTGGAGAAAAAGTGTATTGAGCCCGTCTTCGTCTGCCATGTGTGGGTATGGGTATATACGCGTGGACATGCTTCATTAATAGATGAGAAGCTCCGGAGCCTCGCCCATAGCCTCTTGGAGGTGTTCATCTCAGTCCGTTCCAGCCAATTATGTTATTTCTAGTTCTGTAGATGTACAAAAGGAGTTGCACAAATCGAAGGTATATGCTAAACAGTACAACCAGTGAGATCCAGCTCAACTGCAGGTCAACGTCGATTGATATTTAACAATGCTCGAGCTTGTAGAAGGAAAAAGTCGAAGTCGCGAATTTGATATCACGTGAATTAACTCTGGAGATAAGGTTTGCTAGTAATCTAATATTATGTAATCATAAATTTCATTTTGGAGAAAAGAAATAAAAGAAAAGACAAGAAGCTGACGATTTTATACATCCAAAAGATATCACAGCAGACCATGGCTACGGAGGCTTCAGATTTGACGCCGCTGTTGGAGCAGCTGGAAGATAGCATTGATGATATAGAAGAAGTCCTGGAGCCGCTGCTGGAGCGGGGACTCACCGCGACGGCACAGAAGCTGCCTCTGCTGGACAAGGCAAAGCTCCATGTTCTGCTCTCATACTCCATTGAATCCCTAATATTCTGTATGCAGCTGCGCCCTTTTGATATATGCCCTTGATTATCAGCTAACTTTCTTCTTCCAGCATACCTAAGATTGAATGATGTAGATGCAAAAGAACACCCGGTATTCAGGGAACTGAACCGCGTGAGACAGTATCATGAAAAGATTAAGACCCTAGAGGCCCCTCCAGAGAAACGAACGATGACACTGGACACACAGGCTGCAGGGAGATTCATAAAGCACGGACTTGTACGTCTCCTTTTTTTTTTCACTGTTGTATCTGTGTTGCCAACGTCTAACGGATACAGGCCGGAAACGACAAGTATGACCTCGAGCGCGCCGAAAGAGAAGCAAAAGAGAAAGCATTGGCTCAACTAAGGGCTGCGCAGCTAGCCAAGATGAAGGCGAAGGTAGCTGCTACAGTACCGCAAAAACGCTCCGTTGAAGAATCAGAAATGTCGGGACGTGATAGTACCGCAGTGTCGACCCCAGAACCAAAGAAGAGTAGAACAACAGACCCGGAAGATGATGATGAGGATGACGAAGAGGAGGAGGAGGAAGGGGAAGAAGATGGTGAAATTGAAGAAGAAGAAAGTACCGAAGATGATAAGCAAGGTGGTGAGGTGAAGGAGGAGGCGTTTATCAAGCTGCCTGCCGTCGAGACCTCGAAGAAGAACAAGAAAAAGCTGAGCAAGGCCGAGAGAAAGGCCATGCACGGGAAGAATGGAAATAACGCTGCGAAGAAGAGGCATAAGCGGAAGAACAAGAAGGACAAGAAAGCTGGTGCTGCTCAGCCCCCAAATAACGGTTGAGAGGTGGATGTGTATATGCTTATGCATACACTTCATCAGTATCTCAATGAGTCTTGCATATACTGTTATACATACAGTACATTTGACGCTCTATCCGCTGTCCGACGCAGCATTTGGATCTTGATATCATTATGAGCTACCACCCATCGTCCACAGTAGAGACGAGTCCCGGCCAAGCTCTCAACTAGATATCAACTTATCTCCCACCCTATCTCTACCACTACGACTACTATAAGTACTCTATAGACCACTACTATTACTCCTAACTCTTCTACTCTCTTCTATCTACTTCTCTTCCTCATGCGAGATCGACTGGCAATCGCGCTCTGCAGTTCTCGACCAATCGGAGTTAAGCCTTTTAATTTCGTACACGGCCCGACTTATCTCCGTCTCCAACGTCGCTCCCCGTATTTTTCTTCATCTTCATCGTCAACTTTCCTTCAGTCAACAACGCCGACTCTGCCAGCCCAGATATCCCACGAAACAACCCTCTTTGAACCGCCGTATCAATCTCCCATACACACATCCACAATGGCCCGTCAACGTCGTTCCGCTGCCCCCGCTCGCAGCGCCCCTACCAGACCTACCGCTGCCCCAGCTAGACCAGCTGCTCCTCAGATGCAGCAGCAGAGACCATCCTCTACCGCCGCTGCTCCCGTTCAGACCCAGCAAGCTCCCGCTCAGTCTAGCGGCGGATCCAGCTTGTTCGGCCAGATGGCTGCCACCGCCGGGTAAGTCGCATTTCCGAGCCGAGCGAAGATATATACGTATCAAAATCACGCAGACAGGCACCTATATTCAGCAACGTGAGACTAACGGGGTTATTTCCTGTATAGTGGTGTTGCTGTCGGTTCCTCCATCGGCCATGCTGTTGGCAGCTTCTTCACCGGTGGCTCTTCCAGCGCTGCCCCAGCCGAGACCCAGCAGGCTGCTGCCGCTCAACCCATGGACAACTCACTATACCAGGCCAACTCCACCAGCGGATGGGCTGGGGATGCCCCCTGTGCCGCTGATGCCCAAAGCTTCAGGAAGTGCATGGATGACAACCGAGGTGACCTCACCATCTGCGGATGGTACATGGACCAGCTGGTACGTTTTAACAACCTAAGCGTATATATATCTTTTGGGAAAATATAACTGACCTCTCTATAGAAAGCCTGCCAGCAGGCTGCTAAGCCTTACTAGGGTGGTACGAGGATGTAATTCCGTCTTCTTACTTACGTCCTGTTTACGTCCTGTCTCCCAGCTCTAGACTAGAACGATCTCATGTCTTTGTAATAATATAGAATCCAAACATGCATCAGCGTGGCCTATGACAATCCTCATCCATTGGTTTTGTTATAGAATCCATAGCGAAAATACATTTTGTTAAATAGAAATATTCCTTGCTGGAAGGGTGCAAGTGGTAATTAAATGGTGGAGTCGAAAAGTAAAATAAAAATAAAGATATGCAATGCAAAATGCAAGATAGAGTCATTAGTTATCGTCATCCTTTTTTCGAGGCTCAAAGTTCAACTATCAAGGGTTAGGGCTAGACAAATGTTATATTTGACAGTGTAGACATACCTGATTGCCGTTATAAAACTGGTGGTCATTTTTGCCCGAGTTGGCATCATGCAGAGTTCGAACCCGGTTGCGTGTAGATGTTCTGGGAGATGTAGTAGATGTCTCTTCGGTGGCTTCAGTCTGTGTTGACGCACCGCGCCCAACGGCAGCTGGGTTCTGTCCAATTCCCAAAGCAGACCCTACAATGCCTGCTACAGCGTTGACCGTGCCAGCAACAAGGCTGTATCCCCCGGAGAGAACTCGATATGGCAGTGATGCACCTGAGTCTGTATATGCATCTGTATATGTTCTTACTGGCACCATGACCAGTGTTGCCGTGGGACCAACACCCAGCTCCTGGAGAGACTGGTCCTCTTCCGAGAGTGAGATAGTCTTGTTCTCAAGTGGCGTTAGTATATGCTTCAGGGTATACGGTGCATCGCCATCAGAGCGTTCCCTATCCAGCCATGACCGGACAGCGGTGCCTATGGTCTGGTTGGGAGAGAAGGTGTTTCTAATCGAGCTTCCGTCAAACAGACGGACCTGAAGGCGGTACTTTTGTGTAGTAGGGGGTGGTGTGCGTGAAGCCTCATGCTTTTCAGCAGCAGCAGCCCTCTGTCTCTCCGCTTTCGCCTTTCGTTCTTCATTGTCCCGTCTTATTCGTTCAAGAACCCGCTCTCGTTCTTCTCGTTCCTGTTGGTGTCTTCTCTTCTGTTTGCCCTTCCACTCTGCTTGTTCTTTCTTTTCGTTATCTGGCTCCGCTGGGCGCTTACCCTCTCGGATACTGTCTCGTCTCTGTTGGTCGTTGGTAGGAGTATCACTGGGCGGATCGACGACGTTGCTGGGTGGTGTCGGTGTGGCTGGAGGGGGGGAGGGAGCTGGAGGAGTAGCAATGGCAGTTCCAGAAGCTGCGGGGGCAGCAGGAACAGTTGTTGGAGACACCGACGAGCTGCCTGTTTGGCTCGCCATTCTTTGTGCCTGTGCCTGTGCCTGTGCCTGCGCCTGCGCCATAGCTTCCCGCATCCTCCTCGGCGGCTTGTTGTCCTCCAGAGCAGCTATCAGCCTCCGCTTGAACATGGGCTCTTCCGTCCTTGCCGCAATGTACTCTCGAACGATGCCATTTCTACAGAGTACCTTCTGTCAGCGCCACACAACATCAACCACAGTAGTTCACCCAGATTCACAGACTGCTTCAACTCACTTTATAACGATAAGCGTAGGCGACTCATTCACAGGACAGAAGGTCGCGAGGAACTCTGCCTCCTGCGAGCCCTCGATCAGCCGCAGCGCTACCGCATTCGTCGTTATCAACCGAACGATCTAGCAGCCAGATTAGCCCGCCTGTACGCCCAACTGGCACCAATGAACCATGGACGCACCCTCTCGTCCCTGAGATAGTTGTTCTCCCACAGGTTGCTGAGCTGGCCGTCGTCTAAACCGCAGTCAGCAGTCGGTCCGTGGCGTCACCAAGAGGCCAGTGGAGATGAAGATCTAGATAGCTAGCCGGCGCCGGCTGCAATACGGACCTGTGATGAAGCAAACAACCTGCTTGACCTCCCGAACCGCCTCGTTGATCCCGCTCTGCAAGTCTCCTCGGTAGAACATGGCGATGTCTCGATGCGTTTCTCGTCGACAAGCTCTGTCTCTGCGCTTTTCCGGCCGTCGTTCTTCGTATAAATAGCCTGTATCGTCCTTTGCCGTCTCGCCGTCTTCTTTTCTTCTTCCTGCGTCGTTGCGATTAAATACGAGGAAGAAAAGGCGAGAGTTTTGGGGGATGGGTTGTGCACGGGCCAATCAGAGAGACATCAAAAGGGAAAAAAAGACATTAAAATCCGAAGAATCCGACGAAGTTTTTGGTTTCTTTTCTTCTGCAGCGATCGAAGCGAGACGAGACAAGACGAGGACGCAGACGGGAAGGCTGGACGATATCAATTCGATTATATTGGACTGGGAGCGGGCTGGAAGTTGGAAGCTTTCGCCGCCGGGTGTCATAACCTACCGACCAGCAGCAGCAACAAGCAACAACAACAACAACCCTTGAGATGGCAGCACCATTCACTCTACTACGACGGTGCTCGCCCTCGTCGCTGGGCATCAGGACGGTGTTTCGGTCTGCGGGTACTGGCAGAGGTACAGGCCGGATACAGGGTCTGCAGTGCGGGCGGACTCAGCTTCGACAAGCTCACACGCCGGCCGAGGACCCCAATTGGACATCGATCGTGGACAACCCTGCCCAGCTGGTTCGGACAGGAGGGAAGCATGGCTACGGGTTGATCATACTAGGTACGGAGCATATCTGAGACTTCTTGCTTTTCTTTTCTTTTTTACTCTTTATGTGGTTATATGGCCCGTGGTTTGTGGTTTGTATAGCTAACATGTACAAATCTAGCTATCATTCCGGTCACAGCATTCGCCCTGGGGACATGGCAGGTCCAGCGCCTCGAGTGGAAATCAAACCTGATAGCGAAGTTCGAAGACCGTCTCATCAAGCCGCCGCTGCCTCTTCCCCCGGTCGTCGACCCTGATTCCGTCGAAGACTTTGAATATCGACGGGTCTATGCAAAAGGCCGTTTACGACACGACAAAGAGATGTTGATTGGGCCCCGCATGCATGAAGGAAAGGATGGCTATCTCGTCGTGACGCCACTGGAAAGAGGGGAGGGTGAAAGCACAATCCTTGTCAATCGCGGCTGGATTGCAAAGTCGCTGGAGCGGCAGTCGGAGCGGAGGGAAGGGCTGCCGCAGGAAGAAGTCGTGGTCGAGGGGCTGCTGCGGTCACCGTGGAAGAAGAACATGTTTACGCCCGATAACAAGCCAGAGGAGGGCAAATTCTACTTCCCGGACGTCAAGCAGATGGCCGAGCTGACCGGCAGCCAGCCGGTCTGGATAGAAGAAACGATGGGTAAGTCTGCCTCGTAACCTGTAACCCCCCCCCCCCATATCCCGCAGTTTTCGCAATCCTGGCTGCAAGTCTTTGTCCGTGTGACAGTTCTGGCTGACAAGTCAACAGTGCAGGACATCTTGTCCATGTACACAAGAGAGGACAAGGGTATACCAATTGGTCGTGCAGCGGAAGTCAACCTCCGCAACAACCATGCTCAGTACATCTTCACCTGGTACGTTAGAGTGAAAGCACCCCGGACACATGCATGGGAGTTTGAGCTAACGCAGTAGATCTAGGTACGGGCTCTCCCTGGCCACCGCTATCATGTTGTGGATGGTTGTCAAGAAACGGCCGAATGAAGCAGTTCGACGGGTCCGTCAGAACAAGAGCTGGTAATATAATAATCCCAGCTACAAACCTCATTCGGATACTGCAGCTTGCCACACAACTCAATCAACCCTTGGGCAAACGTATGTCCTGCAGAAGCTCCTTGGGAAGATGCTTTTGCGCGAGAGCAAACACCGACGCATTCCTACCCACATGTCGTTGTCTTTTATTTCCAGGTGTTAGCTCCGGGTTCGTGCATAATTCGACTGACACAAGCTTACCTTCTCATGAGAGCGATGACATCCGTCTCGTCAATTGTTTTACGCCCGGAGTGTTTGGAGTACGTGGACAAATCCCCGCTCGCTTGCTCAAAGAACCAGTCTGTGGCCTGCTGGATGGCAGCCATGGTGTCCTTGGTGATTCTCGTTTTCTTATTCCCGGACCTAGCAAATCGCATTGCCAGCTTCTTTACCACTCCTGCTGGCAGGCTTGGGACCGGGATACCATGTTTAGAGACCTTTTGCTTCTTCTGTGGTGGTTCAGGCTGGTCTTCCTGTTCCATTTCCACCTCTTCCGCCTCTTGTTCTATGGGTTCTGGTGTCCCTTTGTTAGATGGTACGTCATCCATGGCCGGTTCAAACCCACCCGTCCCGAAATCACTTCCTGATGACGGACTATTTGGACCCCCGAATTCTGGCGGCACACTTTCTAACTCGAATGTGTCCTGTTCATTTTCATTCTCAATTGGCATAGCATGAGGCGCTTCTGGAGTTGGGAAAGCAAAATCGAAATTAAAACGACCCAGATCCTCAGTTTCTCCCCTACAATGTAACATTAGAACGTGCAGAAGTTGTATGATTAGAATATAATGCGAACACTCACCCAGCATCTAGCATTGGCTGTCCAGTCGTATTATCAAGATCCTCGTCGAAGTCGTCTTCCTGGCCAACACGAAAATCCAACCCATCCTCAGGGTCTTCAATGTTTGTTGTGTCTCCGTAATGGTCACTGAACCGGTTACTGGCGAAGCTTACTCTCGATAACCTAGCCAAATCGCGACCTGACCGCTCTCTTCTAGGCAACTCAATCGATCCCCTAGTAACATCTTCATCGTCAGGGAGAACTGATAACCTAGGCGGAGGCATCGGAGGGCTGTTATCATCCTGATCCACGGCCATTTCGTTGAGTGGTAATGAAAGCCGAGGGGGTGGGATAGGAGGCTCCTTGTCTAGCTCGGCGATCTCGTCCACCGGTGGCTCTGACTGCGGTTCTGGCTCAGTCGGTGGAGAAGAAGATACCGTCTTGGATACTGGTGCGAGAACTGCATTGTAGGGGTCAGCATCAATTGTATTGATCTGGTACTGGCAGCAGTGACCGACCTTTTCCCAAGTTCTTTAGTATATCCATTGGTGTCTCCCTCTTGAAGCGCTGGCTCTTCCGCCTATCTCGACCGGGAGTATATGTAGCTGCACGCCTTTGTAATGCCCGGATCGCATGGGGGGTTACTGGAATGCGTTCGCCTCCCCTAGCTCTGGACGGTGTTATCCCAGATTTCCGCCGGCCAGTCCGGGGAGCCGACGGTAGATTCGAGTTGAAAGAGGTAGCATTCTGCTCGGCCGGAGTCGAAGGAGCTCCAACTAATCTTGATAACTTAAACAGCTATGCCAGAATGTTAGGTCGAAGCTGTAATATTCACGGTTAAAGGGGGCATCATACTGCATTGTAAGGTGTTTTGGCAGGACTGGAGCTTGGTCCCGCCGAGTTTAGCGGAGTCTCCCCCTTGCCACGACCGTTTGATGTCGGCATACCGGGCAGACCTATCGTTCCGAGTGCTCCTGAGCTCCAGCAGCAAACAGATTCTAGGATAGACCAAAAGTCGAGATGCTGTTGACTTTGTTTCTTCGGCCGTTTTGATTCTTCAAAAGTCGCGACGCGGAAAGTTGCGATAACAAGCTGACTAAGCACGATAAGAGCCGCAACTTTTTTTTTCTTATCGCAAGGAAATTTCGATGGACGAAGAAACGGAAGACGAAAACGCAGGATAGGACGATTGACGGGTGACGCAGGGAGATATCTTACAATGGCGGCATCAGTAACTTCACAGGATATGCCCGCGGGCTCGAATAAGCGAAAACGTGTCGAGGAGGAAGATGGCGCAGAAAACACATCCAGAGCAGCTCCCGTACAACAGCCCAGCAAGAAGAAAAAGAAGAAACGGTCGAAGGGTGCGAAAGGTGGGGATGAATACGATGCGAATAAGGTCATGGGCAAAGACGGAGGCATTGACGAGTCCATTGGGAAGATGGATGGGAAGCTGCTGGGAGATTACTTTGTCCAAAGAGTCAAGAGGCATAACAAGAACTTGACTGCTGTGGAATTGGACGATTTCTACATCCCAGGTAGGTTGAAGTCTTGTAGTATCAGGCTATTCTGATGTACTGTATCTAACTTTTGCATAGAACATGCGTTTCTCGATACCTCATCCTGGGAATCCTCTCGGGAACTCGATAATATGCCATCCTTCTTAAAAGCGTTCAGTCCAGAGAAAGGCGAATCACTTTCTAAGGCCTCCGAGGTCAAAGGATCCCCACATACCCTGGTCGTCACTCTGGCCGGTCTCAGAGCAGCAGAGATAACGAGGTAGGAATACCAAGATTGCTTGGCCTGAGGATATGATGCTAACATACATCAAGGGCATTACGGCAATTCCAGAACCAAGACTGTGCAGTTGCTAAGCTGTTTGCCAAACACATAAAGCTAAGAGAAGCTCAGGAAACAGTGGAAAAGACAAGGTATGTCACTTTGACCAATTTGCGATCAAGTCATTTATTTTCTGACTCCGAATAGAATAGGTATAGGTATTGGAACACCGGTCAGGTTAAACGATCTTGTGAAGTCAGGTAAGATGAGTAATTACACTTGCTTCAAAATATATGATTAACAGGCGGTTGTAGGATCACTGAAGCTTGATTCGCTGAAGCGTATCGTCGTTGACGGGTCTTATGTTGACCAAAAGAAGCGTGGCATATTTGATATGAAGGAGCTTCATTTTCCTCTTATGGAGTTTCTCAACCGGGCTGAACTAAGGGAGCGATATCAGTCTAGGAAAAGCGATAAAGTCCAAATTATTGTATATTGATACCCTCAGAGTAGCACGTCACTACTATCCAGTATTTTTGTTGATACAGACCCTGAGCTATGGCATTAAATATTTTCCAAAGCGTTTCTAGAAGCAATTGTACTCAATTCCCCTATACACAGTAGCTACATGCCGTTCTTGCCACCATAACATTTAATGAAACTTCTATACAATGTGTTCTCAATTAATGCTAAAAGCTACACCGGGACTCTATGTCCATCCTGTAACCTTCGCTCACTTTCTCTTTACCCAAAGTACATAACCTACATTTTACAAGTATACTGGAGGCTTAAACAATATATATCAGTTAATACTCCTTCAAAATCCTTTCTCAATGCCTTTTTCTTCTATATAGAAAACCTTTGGATCTTTATGATGACATAATCAATTCCTTACTAATCAAACTAGGTTCTAACCTTAATTCCCTCACCGCCTTTAATTCCTCGGCCGGCAGAATTTTGGATCCACAAGAATTTTTTTTTTTTTTTTCTGGATTTTAAAGGAAAAGAAGAAGCAAAAGATTCAGTCGTGTTGATGCGATCTATTTTGGATAATCAGTGGGTGTGAAGACGTGTGTTGTCTCTGGACCACAGCATTCCAGAACCGGTGAACGTAATTGTTTGGCTGAAATTTCTATACCCCGCCGAGAAGACGAGATATCAGTGCCACGATCATGGGCGATAAGCGAAAACGCGACGAAGCTGCCGTCGACGAGAACGATGGAGCGGTGGTTGACCTCGGGAAGTCGTCTAAGAAGATAAAAAGCGGCGACAAGGAGAAGGTGAAGAAGGAAAGGAAGACCAAGAAGGATAAGAAGGAAAAGAAGGAGAAGAAGAAGCTAGAGAAGGAATTGAAAAAGAAGGCCAGAGAAGAAGCCAATAATGCCGCCGGCGAGGACAAGATGGAGGTGGATGGGGAGCCGAATGGGGTCCAGAAGGCTGAGAAGAGCAAGAAGGTGAAGAGAGAGGACAAGTATAAGAGAGCAAAACAGGAGAGGATGGAGAAGAGAGCGAAGCTCGCGGAAGAGAACAAGACCGAGCAGGATGAGAAGAAGGAGAAGAAGGAGAAAAAAGAGAAGAAGAAAGAGAAGAAAGAGAAGAAGGAAAAGAAGCTGAAGGATGAAGAAAAGGAAGAGAAGCAGGAAGAGAATGGTGTCAATGGCGCAGATGTAGAAGAGGAACAATCTACACCAGCTGCTCCAGCTGATACAGAGACACCCGCCGAGAACGGAACCGAAGAGGCTGCTGAAGGCGCAGTAGGAGATGCTGAGATGGAAGAAGCGCGGAAGAGCCAGAGATTCATAGTCTTCATCAGTATGTTTACCTTTACTCGATGTCTTTCTTGGGTTACCATTGCTAACGTCTGCAGGCAATCTACCGTTCACCGCCACGCAAGAGTCCGTCACGAAACACTTTGAAAAGCTCCAACCAACCTCCGTCCGTGTCCCGCTAGAGCGAGGGGGGAAGAAAGGCCGTGGATTCGCCTTTGTTGAATTCGCTGGCTTCGACCGCATGAAGACCTGTTTAAAGCAGTACCACGGCACCATGTTTGAAGACGGTGATAAACCGGCCCGCAAGATCAAGGTGGAACTAACGTGAGTCTATGTACCCCCTTTTGACCCGCAAGCTTACCCTGTCAGATAAGACGTTCTAACGTACCCCCATACAGTGCCGGAGGAGGCGGCTCGAAGTCTGAAGCGAGGAAGATGAAGATCCTGGAGAAGAACCAGAAACTCAACGAGGAGCGAGCCCGAGATGCGCAGGAGGCCAAACGGGCCAAGACGGCGTCTGCCACGACTAATGGAGCCGGCACATCTGCGGCTGATGATCAGTCGCATATCCATCCTAGCCGAAGAGCGAGAGTCCCCGTATAGCTTCTACAAAGCTTACTTCTTCACAAAAAAAAAGTGTTGGTTTGTTTTGGATTGGGATTGGCGTTTAGCAGGCGTCGTGTTCTTGTATTATATTGATATAATGCTGGCCTTGGAAGAGGATAATAGCTGCAATTCTTCGGTTGATGTCAAATCATAATAGAGCGTCTAGCATCATCTATGGATTTATGAACGCTGTGACTTGCAAGTTTTCAACATTGTACCTGCATACGAGGCGAGCTACCTATATGTGTGTGTGAGAGAGCTAGATAGGACCAAAACTGACTGTCATGGCACAGCCACTTTCCATCCAGCCCTGTTGAATCGTTAAAAAGGGAAAAGGACGTAGATAAGAAGCGAAGAGGGCACGGAATAGGTAAAACAGGTAAGAAATTAATTATGTAGGAGCACTAAGAAACAAGCTGAAGCTTTGGTGGTGAAAAAGAAAAGCCAAGGAAAGGGTATTAAAGATCCGATCCAGGGGTAAGAAAGGGGAGGGGGATAAGATAGAATTGAAACCAGGCACAATTAACATGACAGAGAAGACTAAAAAGCCGGGAGGGAAGTTTGAACAGGGATGCAGAGCTCGGGGCGCAGATGTATGGAGTCAGGGTGTAACAGATATTCTCCACAGGCGAGTTTGAAAGGGAAAAGGGGGGGTGTCATCATAAGTAAACAAACGAAGGGAAGGACAGAGAGGGGGACTTTGGTTTCGTGATATCTGGAAATGGTTGTATTTACTTCGTCAAAGTGTGAAGAAAGAGAAGAAGAAGAGAAGATGGATGAAGAGATAACCTTGCAGTACGAGCAGTTGCTCCGTCCCAAATGCAGGAAGGTGGTGGAAAAATGAGAAACGCTCGTCATTAAAAATCGGTAAAGGCGGAAACAAACAGGTAGAAAGAACAGGATGTGGAAGGTTATTGCAGGTTTCGCATCTGGAGGGATGGCTCGGAGTGATGTAGTGGTGTAGTCGTCGGGCCTGCGGCTGTGGCTGGGGGATGGTAGCGGTGAATTTGCGGGAGGGAGATGGTCGAGGAAAGGAGATCTATGTATCTTTCTGCACTTCAAGGTCGTTGATCGCTGGAACGTATCTGCATCTAGAGAACGAATCTAGAGTATCTGGCACTTTCTCTTTGGTTTCTGAGTTGGACGAGGGTTCAATACGGCTCTGGTGATACGTGTTAGTGAGTTGTAGTTGTAGTTGTAGTTGTATATACGGTGTCCAGGAGAACCCTACCGGATGGCCTCATCAAAGACGCTCTTGAGGTTGCGCTGGGTGAGAGCAGAGCACTCGAGGTACTTCTGGGCCTTGATCTCCTTTGCGACTGCGAGGGCCTGCTCGTAGGAGACTGGCTCCATCTTCTTGGACCGGAGAGCGTCTGCGGTGGCCTTGTCCTCTCTGAGGTCGAGCTTGGTGCCAACCAGGATGATCGGTACGTTTGGCGCGTGATGTTCGATCTCGGGATACCACTATAGACGCTGTTTAACAAGCTGTTTTTCTTCTTCATTAAACACCACCACGCGTCGGAGAGCCGTACCTTTGCCTTGACGTTGTCAAACGAGGGGGGGCTGACGATGGAGAAACATATCAGGAACACGTCGGTCTGCGGGTAGGAGAGCGGACGTAGTCTGTCGTAGTCCTCTTGACCAGCAGTGTCCCAGAGCCCGAGACTGATGGGCTTCCCGTCTACCATGACGCTGGCCGAGTAGTTGTCGAACCTGGAGCAGTAGAAATAGCAGTGTGAGCAAAGGGTATGCAAGCTGGCGGCGCTGGTACGCGGTGGTCTCGGGGTCTCTTCACAACATACACGGTGGGGATGTATTCTCCAGGGAACGCATTGGTCGTGTAGGAGATGAGCAGACATGTCTGGAGGCCGTTAGCAGAGGACCAGAAGATGTAGATATTGTAGATGTAGGCGTTGTTGTAGATGTAGGCGTTGTTGTAGATGTTGTTGTTGCTGTAGAGAGAAACGCACCTTGCCCACGGCTCCGTCACCAGTAACGACGCACTGCAGAATAAAACAGTTAGCAACGCCTCGACACAGCTGGCGATATCGCAAGGAAAAACCAACTTTCAGCGACTGGGTAGCTGGACCAGAAGCCATCTTCTGCTGTCCTGTGTGAGTCTGTTGTTGATCTGTGGGAGACGCGGTGGGTGAAGCAGAGGATACAAGAGCAGCTGTGACAAGCAGAGAGAGAGAGTCAGCCAGGAAGAAAGCAGCAGAGGGAGAGACAAAGGCGAGTGAGAGACCTTTTGGCTGGCCTGCAGAGACAAAACAAACAAGCTGACAGCAGAACGGTGGCTGCGTAGACGGTCGAGAGAGCGAGCGAGAGTCAGTCCAGGAGGTTCTTCTTCTTCTTCTGTTGCTCGAAGATATCAAAAAACCAGCTTTGGTGGCGCGTTAGCAAGGACTAGTTAGTTCGCTTTCCAGCGAGAACACCAGCCCACAGGGAGACAGAGACAGACGGCCGCTCGAGACGCCCTTTATTCGAGCAAGCGTGCGAAGGGGGATATAAAAGCTGCGCTATTCGGCCGTGGGAGAGCTTCCTCGTTGTTGCGGTGACGGGGTTGCGAGGGCTGGATGGATGTCCCGCGGTGGGAGGACGGCAAGGGGGCGGCAGCAGCAGCAGCAGCAGCAGCAGGTCCTCAAGACGCAATTGACGGTGGTATTCAAGGCGTGCGGGCTACGTCGACGGACAGGATCAGGATACGATAGAGCTCTTTCTCCTGGCTCTGCGTCGTCTGGTCGTCTGGTCGTCTTGGTCTGTCTCTCTCGTTGCTTCGGTCTGGCGCAAGGATAGGGGATGCCGGCCTTAATTTTTTTATTTTTTTATTTTTTTGAACTAGCTCGGGAGAACGCACTGAAAAAGCGAGCCCTGGACGGTGGGAACAGACAAGAAAAGCCGTCTTAAGGACAGGCCAGGTGCTTACAGGGCGTTAGATCGGGGGATATAGCAGGAGAAAAGGGGGGCAGACGGCGTCAAACTGCTGGCACGGCGTATCACGCTGGAAGATACAGATAGGATGGACATAACAGGAACGCTGCTTGATGCTCTACCACAACCCACCTCTACGGCTTCGACTACAACTCGACTCGACTTCACTCTTCATCTTCTTCCACAGCAGACGATTGGAGATCCAACTCGCTTGGCGGCATGTCTCATCTCCATCGCTGCAGCCAATGGCATCGGTGGCTATCCTCGGGCGCATAACCATGAGTGGAGGAGAGTTTTTGCCCTAGTGCACCTCCTGTTCATCCTGACCCCTGGAACCGCAGTCCACTGGATGGATCACTGACTGGGCCAGGTAGTAGCAGGTTAACCAGGCAGGGAGACGGTACACGAGACGGATGGGCGGACGACACCGAACTCGGCGGCTAAAAAGAAGCTCATGCGGCTGACACCACAGTCGTCATATTCTCTTTGAGAATTTGAATATGAATATTGAACAATCGGCTATCTCTCCAGAGGGCGTTGTTCTTCTCCGTGAGAGATTTAGTTTCGAACCTGGAACCCCGCTAGCATTTACTCCGTACCGGCGTATCTACATTTTGAACCGTCCAGGGGCGAGGGGCGAGGGGCGAGGGAGGGAGGACATGTTCCCGGTGGCACAGCTGTAGCAGCCCTATTCATGCAGTGCAAGGGATTACAGGACCAGCACGGCTCGGGAGAAAAGCTTGAGTGTCACAGCAGTTCTATTTATACAAGGGCTGGCTAAAGGAGTATTCGATTATGTGCAACATGAACTATCGATTATTTTTTTTCTATAGCTTCGACCTGGATTCGAATCCTCCGATCTGGCTTGCATACTTGATCACTGGTGGGCCAGCGAGCAACGGTCCAACAGCCTTGGACCAGGCCTTAAAGTGCTCGGAGCCGCCGTGGACCTTGACGGCGTCCATATTGACGTACCTACAGAGGTACCTTTCGTCAGCCCCTATCCACTGCAATTTTACAGGTACACGCATCTACTCACTTCTCGACGACGATGATTTCATGGGACTTTCGATCCAACAGGCCATAGTAAGTAAGGGCTCCAGGCTCGTTGTCCTTGACCTTCTCAGCCGTCTCAGCGAGGATCCTGGCGACCTAGAGCCGTCAGTCGACTTGAACCAATTTTGGGTATCAAGGGTTAAAAAACTCGTTTTACTTCGTCATGTTTGCCTGGTTTGGGCGTGATGATGGCCACGATGTGCACTGCCGTTGACGCCATGGCTGCTCTGTCTGTGTCTCTCCGTCAATTGAATTCGAGAGAGTTGGTGGCTGCGGTGGCTACTTATATGGCTTGCTCCAGCTATCTGCTAGGATGAAGCTCTTATATATTTAGTCGTCTCCTTGCCACGATAGCCGCGGGACCTCGGCTGATGTCATCTCGACGTTATATTCGTTATTTCCAAGGGGTTGTCCGGATATCTAGATGGCGATGTGATCGTGTGCTGCCTAGTCAGGGGTTGACAATTGATAGATGCCAGCTTGACATTACAGGCTACACGGCAGCAGCTACCATTAACTGCCATGGAGATCATGTATCCCCAGGCTTCAGGCTTCAGGCATCAGCTGCAGCGCTTGACTCGTATCGCCGCGAACCCCTGAACCGACCTGTCAACCGCCAGGACGAAGAAGAAAAGAAGCAGCAAGCCGTCAAACTGCTGTGCCACCTCGAAAGCTGTCTTCCAGCCCCAGTAGCCACCGTCTGTCTATCTAGCTATCAGTTTATCTCGTCTATCTCTGCCGCCGTGACGCAGCTGTGTGGCTTGCCCCCCTAGTAAACACCTAAACAACCGCCCAAAGATGCTGGGAAAAGCCGAACCAATCCGAAATTAGACAGACTGCACATATAAGTGTTTTATCTAGCATCGTCGTCGCATGCAAGGGGCAGAAATAATTGTATCAAGAAAGCCTGCAGTCTGTTCGTGTTGACTTCTGCTTCGTCGTCCTCTCAGTGGCTAGTATAACTAATATTTGGTGTCAACACTGTGAGACTTGAGATCAAACACTCCTCTCCCTCTTCCACTTCGCCTCCCCCTGATAAACGGCCATCTTGAACCACAGCGCAGAGTCGGTTTCAAGACGCGATAGTCGCATTCAGATAGATAGACAGGACGGCCGCTGGTACTTCGGTGCTTCGACAGCCAGACAGCGATTGCAGCCATGGCAGAGCCCGGGTTGGACGTCGCCACATCGCCGCAGTCAGACAGGGAGACGCCGGTGTCCTCGCAGCCAGAGAAGGAGATTGAGAATCCACAGCTCGCAGAGAGCCAGGCACAGGTCGACAGGGTGCTGCAGTCGGATGTGCGTCTCTCTACCTCACCCCCCGTCTGCTGGCTGCTGTCTGTTGATCGGAATCCTAACAGTCTATATAGATCGGAGTCGTGACCCTGCTCACTCGCCTGAAGCAAAGCATCTCCTCTGCCAAAGTACGTACATACCATTGCATGCACTACGATAAAAAAAAAATAAGAAGTTGACTGGAATAGGACCTCGCTACCTTCCTACGCAAACGCTCCGTCCTCGAAGATGAACATGCCCAGGGCCTCAAGAAGCTCGCGCGGGCAATGCACGACTCCGCCATGCGCCAGGACAACCGCCAGGGCAGCTTTGCCCGCAGCTACAACGAAATGAACATGATTCACGACCGCATTTCCGATCATGGAGTCCATTTCTCCCAATCCCTCATGCAAATGGCGGAGGAACTGAACGATCTCGCCGCCAGCATGGAACGCGGGCGTAAACAGTGGAAGCAGAACGGACTGACGGCCGAGAAGAGAGTGCAGGATGCAGAGCTGTTGGCGGAAAAGGCAAAGGCCAAATACGATAGTCTGGCTGAACAGTATGATCGGGCTAGGACGGGCGAAAGACAAGGCGGCAAGTTTGGTCTCAAGGGACCCAAGTCGGCGGCTCAGCAGGAGGAGGATCTGTTGCGGAAACTCCAGCAGGCAGATTCGGATTACTCGACCAAAGTGCAGGCTGCGCAGACACAGAGACAGGAGCTTGTTGCTACGCTGAGACCACAGGCTACCAGGGCATTGCAGGATTTGATCATGGAGTGCGATTCGGGGTGTACCCTTCAATTGCAGAAGCTCGGTAGGTCATCCTCCTCTGTTTACTTTGCTTCTCAATTGCGAACTGCTCCGTTATGCTCCGTTATGCTAATGATGGTATAGCATCGTTTAGTGAGAAGCTGCTGCTCGGAAGTGGGTTGGCTGTCAGTCCCATGAAGACTGGGAGCGCCACTCCCGACAGTCTGAGAGAGGCCGCCAAACGGGTTGACAACGAGCAAGACTTTAGAGACTTCATTATCAGCCAATCCAGCAAAGTCCCTGACACCAAGCCAGCTCTCAAATACGAGAGACATGCTGTATGTGGCCCCATAGCTCACTACAACTGAGACAATATACTAACATATGCAGACGTTAATGCCTGCCTCAAACCCCAATGCCCATCCAAAGAGACAATCTCTCAGTCTAAATGCAAATCCAACTCCTCCGCCTCAGTCTGCGTCTCAGGTATTTAATACAATGTCCCCCATACCCCGAGACTCGTCTGGAGCTCAAGGATCGCCATTATCAATGCAGCAACGGCGAGACTCATGGACCTCCCAGCCTCCGTTCCCGACGTCAACGCCGCAGTATAGCAACCCAGCTTCAATGCAGCCTACCTACTCGCAACAACATTCATACCAGCCTCCGCCTCAACTCGCTCAGCATGCCCAACCACGGCCATCTATAAGTGATATCCCACCCAATTCTCACCCGGAGTTACCACCACTTAACCCCGTGTTTGGTCTGACGTTGGATGAGCTATTCAAGAGAGACGGCACTGCCATTCCCATGGTTGTGTATCAGTGTATCCAGGCCATTGAGCTCTTTGGGCTGAATGTAGAGGGTATCTACCGGCTTTCAGGAAATACTAACCACATAGCTCATATGAAGAGCCTGTTCGATAACGGTATGTCTGGCCCCTTTTTTTTGACGTACAATGAATGCAAGCTGATTACTCTTCTAGATTCATCACAGGTCGACTTCACTAACCCAGAGAACTTCTACCATGATGTCAACAGCGTTGCTGGTCTGCTGAAGCTTTTCTTTAGAGACCTGCCCGATCCACTGTTCACTAACGAGCGGTACTCGGCCTTTATCGACGCAGCGCGTATGTGACTACACCTATTTTACAGCGGGGCATATTTCTAACTCGTAGAATAGGCAAGGATGACGATATCCAGCGTCGAGATGCGCTGCATGCACTGATCAACAGTCTTCCTGACCCCAACTATGCAACTCTTCGAGCACTGATACTGGTAAGAATAAGTATCTGAATGCCAGGCCTCGGCTGTATACTAACGCTTAACAGCATCTTAACCATGTTCAAGAACGGAGCTCCGAGAACAGGATGAATGCCGGCAACATCGCCATCAGCTTTGGGTACGCTTGACATTGCTCTCAAATTCCTCCTATGATCTTCCGTGCTAATTCCCTCCCTCCAGTCTCACTCTCATGGGTACCAACGCAGGCCGCAACATTGCAGACTCAGGCTGGCAAGCCCGAGTAATCGAAACAATACTACAAAACACATTCCAGATCTTCGACGACGATTAAACCAAAAAGCATGCAAATCTACACGGCAATACACGATAAGACGAATATACTCGGATACTGGATGATGACGAGATATAAGCTACCCATGCATGAACGAACGAATGAACAAAGGGTTGGATACTGGATGGGCATATTTCTGGATCTTCTGCCTTATTTCCTCTCGGTTTCATTCAATATGTTCCTGTACATAAGAGGCCCTGTTCTTGTATCTTCTTGGTAGGGTAGATGTGCTGCTATCTAATATCCATCTCTTTAACATATACGATTTTAGCATTGGCTAGTAGTAATGGCATCTGCATCGTCTATATTCACCATAATTGCAGACAACCTGTAGTGTTAAATGTGCGAAATACGAGAGACTTCAAAAGCAACGACCATGGTCCATAATTACTTTTGCCCCAAGAAGCCGCTAAAGACAGACGATTCTTGCTCTCTGCCGAGATTGATCATGAGATGAAAAAATCCCTTCACTTGCTCTCTTTTCATCTCTGGATGCTATCGTTAAATATCATATATCTGTATTTCTCGTTATTTTCTATCTATTTTCAAGCAGTTAGCGAGCATCGACTAGATAACTGGTTACTGCGGCGGGATATCAAAGCTCAGCCATGGGCCAGCCGTCGTTTCAAGCCTCAAACGCCCTGATCTACCTAACCTACGGCGCATTCCTGTATGCCCTACCCCGGCTCAAGATGCATATCACAGCTAAATAACATTTCTATCACAGCGTCGTCGGTCTATATATCGCATGGCGTCTGCGGAATCAGACCAAGGGCGAATTCTTGTCCAGCAACGGGACACAAAAGGGTTAGAAAGAGATATATAACTTATATCCCGGGCCATAACTACTTGCTCTTCTATTATCGCACAAGTTACGGATGCTAATACCTCTTTCCCAGCTATACCGCTTGCCTTGAACTTCATTGCTTCGGGTGAGTTGCATGGAGGAAGCAGAATAATGCGAGGCTTCTACAGTTCTCTCTCATGAGAAGCGGCAGCGTTCGAAGCCAGAGAGTCAGCATCCATCGTCGAGCGGATGTTCGACTATGCGGAAGGATTATCAGAATGACCAGCTATGCATGAGTAAAGCCAGGTTCGTATCAGAGAATTCAAGTTCGGTGCGTGTTGGCTTGGAGACGTCTAGTCTTCGGGACGACATGCACTGCGGCAACACTACGGGTGCTGATTGTCGCACTGGACATACATGCCATCGATCATCCAACGTCGGCCCATTATTCAGGCCGATGAGATCGTTGAATCCAGTGCAGACATGATGCTGAGAATGTACCGTTGAATACTCGATCAAGATAATGCTTGCGTGGGAAACGTGCTGCCGCTTCTTCCCCCTTTCTTCCCCCCTGATATATTATGTTTTTTTGACCGAAATTATGAGATATGCTAATGGGATACAGCTCTTGGATCGGGGATTCTATTTACATATCCTGAGATTGCTACTATTGCGGGTGTCCAGGGACTGGTTGTGTATGGACTTTCGTCTGCACTGCCTCTCCTGGCATTCGCTTTTGTTGGACCGATCATTCGAAGGAAGTTCCCTGAAGTGTTTGTCTTGACTGAATGGACTCGACAGCGTTATGGCGTGGTTGCTGGCATATACCTCAGCATCTTGACGTGAGTTTTGCTATTCTAATTGACGTACGATACATATACTAACAGTAGTACAGGCTGATAACTTTGTTCTTATATATGGTTGCTGAGCTCTCAGCTTTACAGCAAATTGTCACAGCCCTTTCAGGGCTCAATGGGCTCCCGGCAGTCATCGTCCAGGTCGTAGTGACAACTATATATACCTCTCTCGGTGGCTTCCAGGTTTCTTTCTTGACAGACAACGTCCAAGGAGCGATGGTCGTCGGCCTTATCATCATTGCAGTTATCACCGTTGGAGCTAGGACTGATATCGACAAGTCACTCATCGATTCTTCAGGTCTTCTAAAGCCGACTCTTCTAGGATGGCAGCTCATTTACATTCTACCGGTAGCCATCCTGACCAATGACTTCTTCCTGTCAAACCTCTGGCTACGAACCTTTGCCTCCAAGACAGATCGCGATCTACGAATCGGAATCTCAATTGCTAGTTTCGTCGTCCTCTGCATCTTGGTTCTTGTTGGATCTACGGGTCTTCTGGCAGCATGGTCTGGTGTATGGCCTGGAGACCCTCCACAAGCAGGCTCAATCGCATTTTTCTTATTACTGGAGAAGCTACCAAATTGGGTTGTTGGAATCGTCTTGGTGATGACAGTTGCTCTGAGCACGGCTGCATTCGACAGTCTTCAATCCGCCATGGTTAGCACTGCTAGCAACGATGTCTTTCGGAACAAGCTGCCTCTGATATACGTTCGTATCGGTGTCGTGTTATGCATTGTACCGGTTGTTGTTGTTGCCCTTCGATCACCGAGTGTCTTGCGGATATTCTTGATTTCCGACCTTGTTTCAGCATCTGCCATTCCTGTGCTTGTCCTGGGCCTGTCGGATAGAATGTACTGGTGGACTGCCTTTGAGGTCATTGTTGGTGGTCTAGGTGGTATACTGTCCGTGTTCATCTTCGGTACCATCTACTACGGCAATGCCACTGAGGGAGGAAAATTGATTCTTCTACAAAATGGCCTATATGCAAATGATTGGAGTGCATTTGGTATGTCCCGTTTTCATCCATGGTTTAGAACTTGCCTGCTAACTACGAAATAGGAGCCTTTGTTGCTGCCCCTATTGGTGGTTTGATATTTGCCTGTATTGCTCTCGGCCTACGAGTTGGATATGCATTCGTTCTTTCAAAGACAACGGGACGACACTTTGACGTCTTCGACCGCCCACTCCCACGCTCTCATATGGCTGCTGGGCCTATGCATTTGGACCAGCCAGACTTTATTGCTACCGGGACAGATGCAACTATCCGCAATAACGATGAAGAAGGTGCCAAATTCCGGGCACCTCGGTAGACTCGCTATCTATATCTTAGACTGAGGACTGTGAAACTGCAATTTGGGATATTAGATAGCCGTGCATCTTAGGGCCAGCATTGGATATATATCACGGGCAAGAAGCAGAAAATTAGAAATCCCAATATGCTCGTATATCTACAGATTTATAAGGAGACTGTCCAGAAGCTCTTATACTATAAAAATACATTGAAAGAAACGCTTCCAAAAAACCACGACGAATGTTACACTTTATATTAGACTGACCAACATTATCTGCTAGCCGCCATCATTTCAAGTCGGTCTTTCATCGTTATCCCCTTCATAAACATCGGGTTTGTCCGTAGGTCCTCTGTAGTTGTCTCATCCGCTAAGCCCCAGACCTTCCATTCCCCATCTTTACCCCCCAACATAAACCTCTGAAGAACAATGTACTCAGTGCAGTCCTTTTGCTTTTCCTGCTGTTGTTTTTCAATATCTTGGATCTGTTTCTCACTTAGGCGGGCTATAGGCGCAGGTGGGGTGATGAGAGACTGCCGGCTTTGTATTCGTACAACAACTTGTCTGATTCCCATGCCTGTTGCATTGGGTAGAGCTGCGGCACGATCTGACACCACACGAGCACCGGTTATGGTCATGGAATGGGGGAATTTGAGGTATTTATGTAGTTTCCAAATAAGTTCGGGAGAGCTAGCAGGTCGTCGGACAACGCGCTTAAAGAACGATTCGAAGATGCCAAGGCAGCAGTAGGTTTGCAGAGCACCGAGATTACCACTGTGATTTGTATAATTAGCATACCCCTTGCAGTGATATAGCATATGTGCGGAACCTCATACCTGGCAAAATGGTTATACATGCGCTTGTGAAGCTCGATTGCCATCTTCTTCCGTTCTCTAAGGCGCAGAGGTAATTTTTTATTTATGAATTTGCAGTAAGTAAACAAACTACATGCAGCCCTTCGTCAGCATTAACATTCTCTCGACGTACAAAGTGATGGGACGGCCAGGACAGACCTCATGAAGTTCAAAAATTTCATCTTCCAGTGCATCCACTCCATATGCAATCTTGTCTTTGGGTCCGAAAACCACGAGGGGAGGTTCTGCCATACTGGCCGAATAAATGTACCGGGCAGTATTCCGATATCATCTGGCACCATCTCCTTATTAATCCCCCTCATGGTCTCCTGCAGACGGTTCTTCATGCTCATTTGCGCTGGAGGTTTTGGGGCCATGACTTTAGGAGCGGTCATTCCAGCTCTTAAGCTGGACTGTGAGAACGATCGTGCGGCGCATTTCGAGGGCCATTGGAAGACCACTGAGCGGGAGGAAGGGCGGAGGGCAAGGGTGGAGGAGAGTGCCCGTGGTATGGAGGAATTCATATTGGCCGGTCGTTGGTGACTGCAGCGCAGCCCGGACAGGGGTATGATCTGTCAATTAAAGAGCTGATATCTGACGCTTGACTGCCTCTCCGCCCGGGAGGAAAAAGAGTGTATCCTGTCCGTCTCCAGCTTCTTCTCAATTGTCGATTCTTCGCCTTTGGCTTCTTCGTCCTTTTTTTTTTGATCTTCAACTTTCGAGCTTGGACAGAGGAAGGCGCTAGTGCGTTTTGGGTCCGGAAAGCTTAATTGTTTATCCGGTATGGATGTATTTTATTACCATTACATGATATTCTATTGGCTAAATGCTGTACTTTCTGTAAAATTGACCTATATGTGTAAAGGCGTATTAATCAGCATTATTCCTCCACATTCTGGCGAAATATTACTTAGTCATGCCAAGAAGTCACGGGGCACGGATATACCTTAGTTGATGTCGTGTGACCCTTAGTAAGATCTCTTATTAAGCAGTGACGTCGTAAAGTTAAGATTGCGCTTTTATCGTTCCTTTTGTTCTCTTAATTTAACGATTGTTCTCTTCGCCGGCTTCAATATTTCAATTCGATATATTTCTCGGGGTGCCTTGGAGCTTTGGACAGGTTTGTTGAACTCGTTTCTTCTACGGTGCTGATAGCCATGAGTACTGACTGTTATTCAGATACCCATATTCCCCCCCGGTTAACGCCTTACACGTCACCACACGAGACAGATCACAACCAAGGCGCACTTTGACACATTGTACTGCTAAACGAAGGAGGTCGGGAATCGTATAATTTCGGCAACAGCTCAGAACCACAGATAGTCTATCTCGAGCTGCACCGCCGTTGATACCACTTCTACCTCTTCAGCCTGATCCAATTCTACCTGCTTCGACGCTTATCGGTGACTGTGGGGAAACAAAACAAGGTCAACACCACCGTCTTGCTGAAACGCCGCTGGAAGCTGCCACGATATCGCCAGTAGCCGGTGAGCCCTCTGATAGGAGAATCATATATCGCCGTTTGAGGCAGAAAGCATAACGGCTTCTATGCCGTGAATTGAGACTGGCGTCTACTCTCAAAATCCCTTCCTTTCCTCCTCTCCAACCATCACGAACCCGCAGCCGCAATGCTTTCATCCCTGGCCTTCGCAACCGGAACTCTCCCTTTAACCCGCCCTTAGATCCGGAAGCACCTGGAGAAGCGACATCGAACCATTCCCTTCGACCAGCCGCGGTGTCGTCTTCAATTACGTCTTCCGCTGCCCCCTCTTCGACTTCCGCCAGTCTTCCTCCTTCCCCTGGCCTTGCGGGTGATATCCCTGTACCGAGAGACGTTACTTCAAACAGACTACATCCGCGAGTGGCGGTGATACTGGGTGTTGACCGTCGGTGGTATATTCCGCTGCTAGTATGTCGGGCTCTGAGTATTCTCCCAGCTGCGTGGTGGGGGCTCCGCTGTGCGTTCACGTTTCTGGCTGAATTGCTTCGTATTAGCCCACACATATGGCAGGAAGGATGGACGGCGGTTGTCGTTCGGGGGGCAGCTGTGGATTGGAATGTGGACAGGCGGTTTCGGGTGACTGAGGTGGCATTGGCTATTATGTGGGTGCGTAAATGCCCTCATATGGCCTGACTGCAAGAAAAAAGGATGGAAATCATACTAACACCCACGTCATAGTGCTCTGCCTCTGCATATTTATCATACTTCTTCGCCGACTGTATGATGTCAAGATGGTATGCCGCTTCCATTCAACTGCTATCTATATAAATGATCTAACACATCTACAGGCTCGTGAACTATACTCCGCCAGCAGTCATAATCCGGCTTCTCACTATAAACTGCCTCATCGCCTATCTCACATCCTGGATCCTTTATCTCTCTGGTGCCTCTTCTGATCCTCGTCTACTCCTCCCGGCCTGGATATCAATCACCTCAGTCAGTTTTTCATCTTCACTCCACCTCCTCAGAAGGGCCATCACCACTTACCCCTATTTTCTACGTATGCAGATCCTCACATTGCTCTACCACCTTACCCAACGGAAGATAAATATCAAGAAAGAAACCAAGGCTTCGCTGTCGGTTTTCTCCATAGCAAGTTTCATAAGTATGTCATCGTTGTTACTGCAGCTTCACTTGTCGCGTGAGAATGAGCCGGAGATACCCCTTTTTGTCATGATATACAAAGCCTGGAATGCCAGTATGCAGTGGATGATTGAGCGGAGAGTTGGGTCTTGAACTCGATATTGTTTCCTTTCGTTAATACTTACTTTTTGCATCGATCTGCCCTTTTTTCCTCCTTTTTCTTGCTTTCTATATTCCCCCTATTGTTTTCATTTCTTCACCTGGATCTTGATTAGGTACCTGTTGGTTCCGCTTATATATACTATCACTTAAAGGGTTCAACTTTTTTTTTACGTGGAAGTTCATTTACGAGAAGTATGAGAGGTCAAAAAACATAATAATTTGGCATTTTCTGTTTTTCAAAAATTTTATTCGCTATAACCTGATTCCCCTCCCATCCCGATCCCATCCCCAATGCGAGAAAGGGGACAGGGGCGGGAAGCAAAGCAAAACAACGGTGAATAGCAGTTAACGAGAGTCGGACAAGTGCTGTGACAGGCTGCATGCACATAATCGAAGAACGATCCATGAACAAAAAGCAAGCAAGCAAAAGCACGAGTGAAGGGAGCTGGTAAGAATAAGCGTGGAAAAAGAAAAGAAAGATGAAAAATCAAGCAGCCAGCTCACAGAACACCTATGAAGATGAACGTGGTAACTGTTTTTCCCTCCCTGTCCTGTCGTAATCTTCGTTGCTGTCGTTAAAAATATTCGGTTCGAAGCATCGTGACCGTATTTCTTCCCCCCTTTGGTTTTACAGTCGACAGAGGTGGGAGAAAGGGAAGGTCACGTTGCACCCGGGGTATCTTCAAACGGGGATGTGCGTCTAACCCCGACGGGCGGAGGTGACCGGACTTGTAAGGACAGCATCTGATCTGGCGTGGTGCGTCATCGTCCAAAACGGACATCATCAGCTCTACGAAAGTGTAAATTCCGCAGAACACGAGAACGAGAACGATCGGGCACACATGTTAGGGCAAGACGGGTCCTGGGGTACAAGCGCAGCCATCCGAGGGGTCTGTGGGGTAGACGGAAGACGGCGACGGGACAGGGGGTGTGACGCTTCGTTTAGAAACCATGGACCTATAAGCTGAGTTAGATAGGATGACTCTTTATTTAAGACAGAGACATGTGAGTTCTTGTAGGCGAGACATACCTTGATGGTCTTGGCATCAAGCTCAAGTCCCTCCTTCTTGTCGACTAAGAATTCTTGGACATCCTTGCGTTGGTCTCCTTGCAACTGAATAACCTCACCCATCTCGGTGTCGTTCACGATGGTGCCATTGCAAGCTGTCCAACGAGGTCGCGGTTAGCTACTGTATGCTGTGATTTTTTTTCTAAAGTTCACCGGGCAACGACGCGGCGGCGGACATACCGAACTTCTTCTTGATGACCTTGAGGATCTTCTTCTGATCGAACTTCTTCGGGAGACCTTGGACAGTCGTCAGAGTCTTACGACCATTGCGTTCTGAGGCACACAAGAACCGTTAGTCACGAGACGATCACCTTGTTGGGGGCGAAAAGCGAGAGAAGGTAAAAAAAAAAATGACGTACGCTGAATCCGTATATGGATGTAATTTTGCGACTTTTTAGTGTCGCCGGTGTCTTCGTCAGCTTCGGCGAAGGGGTCTATCACGAGAGAAGAAGTAATATTAGCCCAGGCTGCATATTTTTCATTTATTTATTTATTTTTTTTTCTTTCTCCTGCATCGTTGTTGTGTTGTCAAGCCACAGTTGGGAAAAAAAATGATAACCCAACCACCCTACCCCGCCATTTCAGGCTGGGACAAGCAGCTGTGAAACCGGGCGTCGACGAACGACAAAACGACGCTGCGATGCATAGGATGTGATGCAGCGAGGCAGACTGCATGTGCAGCGAGGGGGGAAGAAGCGAGCGACGTACCAAAGGTCTTGAGGTTTTCGATGGACATAAACTCAGCTGTTGACTGAAACTCGTCTAAAGATCGGGTTATAGGGTGGAAAAGGCGGAAGGAAGAGGAAGAACGCAACGGAACTTCTGTCTTCTCTGGAGTGCTAGGCTGTTGTTAGGTCTGAGGCTTGGAGAAAGGGAGTCGTCGAGCGAGACGAAGATATTCTAGAGCTGAGCTGGAGCTGGAGCTGGCAAGAGAATAAGAGTTGAAGTTGAAGTCGAGGATGAAAGTTGAAAGTCGAAGTCGAAGTTGAAGAAGAAGAAGAAAGAATTTCCGCTTTTGGCGGGCGGCAAAAAGTGGCAAAAAGAGGCTTAGTCAGTGATGAGTCAATGATTAGTCATACACGTGATTACCTTCCGGAGGAGGAAAATAGTGGGTCTAGCGAGATAAGATGGAAGATGGTAGAAAAAAGGGGTAAACAGTGACTACGACATTGATATTGATATTGATATCGATGTTGATGTTGATGTTGATGTAGATATGATACAGTGATAGTCATAGAGACAAGTTACAACCGCTCGGAGATGGCCTGGCGCTTGAGGTCGAGATACTTGGCTGCAAAGTCGTTGGCGAGGACCAGGTCGCCCTGCAGGTGCATGATGGTTGCCTTCTTGCCCATCATCTCACACTGGCCCCTGACCTCCTCGATGGACGAGAACTCGGCAAAGGCGCAGTCGATAAACTCGAGGGCGCGGGCGAGAAACTCCTTCTTGCGGCCGGAGTCCCTGCGACTGCTACTCTCGCCCGCCAGCCCCATGCTCGCGTCGGCCAGACAGGCATACATCCGTCCTGCGAGCGCACGGTCTTCGCACTCCAGGACCTGCGGCATCACGCTCTCCAGCAGGTCGAGTGCGGCTGAGAACTCGCGGAAGCTCATCAGGATGACGCACAGCGCGGCGACGGCGTCCCATAGGCTGTGCAGCAGTCGCGAGCGGTGGGCGATTTTGGCGGCGCGCATGGCCAGCGAGAAGCCTCGCTCGGGCTGGCCTGTCTTGTCGAAGATGCGGGCCTTGGCGATAAGGAGGCTGATCTGGGTGGCTATGTCGAAGCTGTCCTGGTGCATGGACTGCGCGACCTGGTCGACGGTCGACAGGGCGTCGTCGTAGTCGCCCTGGCGCATCAGGAGGTCGATCTTGAGCAGGTTGAGCGCCGTCGACACCTCGGGGTCTGGCGGCGAGGCGCCCTCCAGCTGTGTGAGGAGGTGTTGGGAAGCCCGTAGGTCGTCCCTGTTGTGATTCGTTAGCAATCCTGGCATCCCAGCGCTATAGTATAACATTTATACAGCGTCAGCAGCGTTGGAGTTGGAGTGGGTTAACCCGTACCGGTGTAGTTGGCGTGTTAGTTTCAAGAGGCCCATATGGAAGGCCCAGGCTTGTTGGTGTTTTAGAGGCTGCAAGGCATCAGCAGGGAAGCTGTTCATCCGCTTAACTGCGTCATTATGTCGGCCACTCCATGATAGCTTGCCGGGGGGTTAGCCATCTCATTTTACTCACTGTGGACCTGCATAATAAAAGAGAAGGAAGGGGTTCGAACTCACCAGCTGTGCACTGCGGAACGTGGCCCATAGATTATCGTCCATAGGGGAGAAACCGGAGTAGCACTCCAGGAAAGTCTCGTACGTCGACCAGGTGAGATGGCTTAGTCCTGTCAGTAATCAATGTCAACGGCGTTAGTTCTCCGTAGGAAGATGTTGGATAGCATGGCGGACATACCTAGTCTGCCGTAGAGGGAGGCCTGTAGCATCATCTGAGGCCCCATGGAGTCCTGCCTGCCCCTTGTTATGCAGACATGGGAGGCCTTGATAATACTTTCAAACGTCGACGCAATGCTTCCTCCCTACAGAAGCTTTTAGTATATGCATGAACGGAGAGAGAAAAGGTAAAAAAAAGATACATTTGCGAGCTCGAGTCTGCCCTCGCTGAGGAGAGCGGTGCTGAGCATCCCCCACATCTCTGCCTCCTTTGCCTTGGTCTGGAGAAAAGCGAGAGCCTCCTTGTCGGCACCGAGCATGCCGGTGTTGTGTATCTCAGCGAGCTCGTCAGGGGATATCTTGCCGAAGTGGTAGAGCCACGTCATGGCGTAGTTGAGACAGTTCATATCATGGGTCTCGCGCCCGATTGCAATGGTCTCCCGGAAAGCGGAGATGGCCTCTCCATGGCAGCCAAAGTCCGCCTGCAGCAGGGCCAGGTTGAGCAGTGCATATTGGTAGAAAGTGCGGTCTCTGGTCTGGACTGTGTAGTCAAAGTACCGATGGAGATGGTCGAGGGAGGACGGATGGTCCCCGGCCTTCCATGAGTCAAGGAATCTATCACAATCAGTTTTTATTCTTTGCTTCTTGCTTCTTGCTTCTTTGCTTCTTTACTCCTTTTTTTTTTTTCTTCTTTTGTATCGTCCTGTCCATGGCCAAAAGGGGATGCATACCTGACGTAGTGAAAGAGACAAGGCACGGTTGCACCGGCCATGATGACCCTCCTCAGCTGGGCCATCATGTCCGGCGACACTCTGGCAGCCTTGCTCTGCATCTTGGAGATCTGAAACTCCAGCAGGCGCTCGACGTCCCTGACGCTCATGCCGGCACCCTCGTCCGCCCCGTCGTCAGCGAGGTCGCCGTACATCACCCTGGCGAGCGGGCTGTCCAGATCCAGGCCCAGCTCGCACAGGTTCGCGTCCACGGACAGCTGTGCCTCTGCCGGGTTCCGCTTCGCCCAGGCGGCGTAGGTAGGCATCCTGTAGCGGATAAAGGCCTTCCAGAGGCTCGTTGCATCGTGGAACTGCAGCTTCGTATATTCGAGCCGGACTCTGCGTACAAACGCGCCCAGCGGCGAGTGACGGGCCAGCAGCACCCGGCCGTGCTTCTTCTGCTCCTCGTCTGCCTCCTTGGCCCCCTCCGGGTCGAGCAGCCTCTCCTCCCGCGACCGGGCCAGGATATCGGCCAGGCTGGCGAAGAACTCGTCCAGCGTGTCTGCGCAGTCGAACTGCCACAGCCGCTTGAGGAACAGGTCCCATATCGACCGCCCGGGGATGGACGACGCCAGCCCAGCCGTCGCCTCCTTGACCTCCTCTACCGACGGCGTCCCTTGCATTTTGTCTTCTGTTCTTGTTCCCGTAGATGTTGTAGATGTCGTATTTCCTGTAGATGTTGATGCCGCGTCTTTGTTGCTGCTGCTGCTGTCCGGCTGTCCACGTCCGCTCCCACGGCCACAACCAGGTCGACAGCCATGTATACAGCCATGTCCCACCGTCCTGGACGCCTCCAGCGGCAGCAGATGCGAGACGAGGAACGCAAGCACCGGCACGACGGCCGAGTTGGGCACGACGCCCTCTGTGTAGATGGATATCAGCGCCAGCAGCGCAACCTTGGACGGCGTCAGAAACCGCATCGTCCTGCTCGTTTCTTCTTCTTCTTCCTTTTCTTCTCCTTTTCCTTTTCGTCTTCTTGTATTCTCTTCTTCCTCCGCTTCCCTCTTTCGTAGACTCGCCTGTGACTGTCCCCTGGGCCTGCGTGCGCGTTCCGAGACGTCCGCCTGTGTCTTCCCGTCCGCAGTCAATAGCAATGGCGAATCTACCGCGACAGCAGCAAACGGACAGCAAACATCCTGCTGGACGACGTGCAGGCAGCTCGAATAGTAACTTGCTGTGATCGCGCCCGCATTAGTGCTGTGCAGCCGCCCGTCCGCCGCCAGAGGAGCTGGAGGAAGAAGCAAAAACATCCCGGCGTCGCTTTTGCTCTTAAGCCGCCCCGCCATCCTCTACTCTATCTACTTTATCTACATCTACAACTACAACTACAACTACTCTACAACACAACACAACTACTACACTTCTACACCTACAATTACATCTACATCTTCAGCCTACTTTACAGTCAGGATGATGGAACTCGTCGAGGAGACTGACCTGCACGGCGCCCTGCCGCTGGTCTCGCGCGGCAAAGTGCGAGACATCTACCAGGTCGACGACCGCACGCTGCTCTTCATCTCGACGGACCGCATCTCGGCCTACGACGTGCTCATGCAGAATGTGAGTATATCGCCCTCGAGTACAGAGGAGGAGTGCTGACGGCTCTAGGGCATCCCGAACAAAGGGCAGATCCTCACCTCGCTGACGGTCTACTGGCTCAAGTTCCTCACAGGAGCCTTGCCCTCGCTGCGCACGCATCTCGTCTCGCTCGAGATGCCCGGAGACATGCCACAGGCCTGCCGCGACTACGTCAAGAACCGCAGCATGGTCGTCCGCAAGCTCAAGGTCTTCCCCGTCGAGGCCATCGTGCGCGGCTACCTCGCCGGCTCTGCCTGGACCGAGTACCAGAAGACCGGCACCGTCCACGGAATCCCGCTGCCTGCTGGCCTCGTCGAGAGCGACAAGATCCCCGGCGGGCCCTTGTTCACCCCCAGCACCAAGGCCGAGCAGGGCGGCCACGACGAGAACATCCATCCCGACAAAGGTACCTCTACATTCTACTCTAAATAGATATATAGATATATATAGATATACTGACTGGCGAAGTAGCGGCTGACATTGTGGGCGCGGCGTATGCGGAGGACATCAAGGCGGTCTCCATCCGACTGTACGAACTGGCCTCCTTCCACGCCCTGCAGCGAGGCATCATCATTGCAGACACCAAGTTCGAGTTCGGCCACGACGAAGTCACCAACGAGATCGTCCTCATCGACGAAGTCCTCACCCCGGACTCCTCTCGCTTCTGGGCCCTGGACACCTACCAGCCCGGAAAGCCCCAGGACAGCTTCGACAAGCAGTTCCTCCGCGACTGGCTGACCAAGGAAGGCCTCCGGGGCAAGGACGGCACCATCATGCCCAAGGAGATCGTCCAGAAGACAGAGGCAAAGTACATAGAAGCCTTCGAGAGGATCACCGGCGAGACTTTTCGTCCCTAACGAAGCCACTATTACTCCACCCCCGGATTGGAACATGACCTACGGCCGGGTTCTGTATAAAAAATTATAAGGCCACACACACACACACACACACACACACACACACTACTCTCACTCTCTTATCTACGACACCGTCCCCCCTTTTTCACTTCATCACGCCCCCTTGCTTGTTTAGTTATTATTTGGAGATGGGAAGGAGTTAAAAGAGCATGACTACTCCCCGGCAGGATTCTGAGCTCACATCGTAACGGTTAATTACTTTGGTTCTGGAGGAAAAGTTCAGGTATTTTGTGTCAGGTAACTACTAGCTATGTAGTTGTTATTTGTTTACTTAGTTAACGAGTCAAAAGAAAAAAAAAAGCCTGCGTTCTTTTCTACCTATGGTTATACGCCTGTCAAAATCTACTCCTGCATCAGCCATTGTACGACCCAGAAGACAAAAACCTCTTCCATTGGCTGCATAATCTCCGGAAAAGCAGGTTATCATCGACAGCTGGCAGTCTCTTAGCATTTTGGGGGCTTTAAAAGAACTAATGAATGCATCGTTCATTTCTTCTGGAATCCCTTGAGATCCTTAAACCGATCCAAGCCCTTGGACTCCCTTTCCACCAGCGACGAGTGATCGTCGTCATCGACATGGCCAGACTCCGAGTGCTCAGCCGCTGCCTCAACCTTCGCCTGTTTCGAGGCTGGACCGCCCGCCGCCACAGAAGCTGCTGGGCCAGGGCTTGGAGCAGAAGTATAAACCGCGTCTTCTCCACATATCCGCCGTTCTTCTTCCAGCTCCTCGCCGCTTAGTCCGTTGGTCGCCCACATCCGGTGAATGCGCAGATCGTACGGTCCTTCCACTCGATCCGTCAGTCCGATGCCAATTGACTTCACCCGCTGCTGCAACAGGCCTGTCTGTGGCTCGACCACGGTGCCCAGGTTTGTTCGCACAAAGTCCGACCACCGGATCAGTATCGTCTCCCAGCCTGTTGAGCCGGGTTGCGGGTTGGTTATATACGATGATGATGTGGTTGTAGGAGAAGGGGGAGGAGCAAAGTCCGCTAGTGCGGCTGGTATTCGGGACGGTGAAGATGTAGATGTGGATGGGAAGTCGGATTCGGATTCGGGCTCGGACAGCGTTTCTTCGGGAGTAATCGTGGAGGATGTAAGGTGGTCTTCAGAGCGGTTGAGCAGCCGGTGGTGTCGAGTAAACAGCCGGTGCTGATGGATGTCCGACTCAATGATCGAATCCGTCTGCACGTTCACCGTGTACCGTCTTCCGTCTGACTTTACTCGCAGAGCCAGATATGTGTACGGGTCGACGTCCCAGTAGAGTCTGCCCATCAGCCAGAACCCTCGGTCCTGGTTTCTAAACGCCGCATATCCTAAACAAGTAGAGAGCTATAAGCATACCCTCCTAACAACGTCCTGATCAACGCCCTGGCTAACGTAAACGTACCGGTTCTCTGTACCCTCCAGTCCTTCGGCAGTTTCGTCGATATCGAGCCGTGGAATCGGGCGTGGGCTGGCATCTTTGTCTCCGGGTCGGCAGGAACATAATCCAGATTCGCCGTACTGTAACCCCCAACCGCACGATCCGCCATGGTCTTGCATCCTCGCACCGTCTCTTCCTTGGAGAAATCAAGTAGATGGTATTGATCTTTGGCGATGTCCAGACCCTCGAGCTTCCATGCTACATGAGACGAACAGTCAGCATTGATCCACCCACCATCTAGCAACATTCGGATATAAATGAATACACAAATGGAATTACCATACCTATTCGTGTCGCCCGGCTCAGCTCATCTGCCGTCTTGCGGAAGAAGCCTGGCCCTCCCTTGGACATGCGCACTGCAGAGGCGAACATGGCGCCGGTATCTCAGCAGCAACAGCTGGCAAATTTATACTAGCGCGTTCTCAACGGGCTCCGTTCATTGCTATGACGAGCAAGATCACCCTCTCTTGCCTCTGTCCCGCTGTTTGGATCTGGATTGTCTCTGTGTTTCCTTTCTGCGTTGCTTTGAAGCTCTCGAAGCTGCCCCAAATTTATAGCTATCACGTGATATGGCTTATCTCATCAGATAAGATCTTACCCTAAACAGCATTTACTTACTTACCACCTATGTAAAAAAGATCTAAGATATTAGGTAGTTTTGAGGGCAGCTTAATGAATTTATTGTGTACGCTTGATAACCAGTGTTAGCCAGTATATACAATAGATATCCGAAACATATATAAGCGAAGTTGGCAAAAGTGGCAACTGATAAATGCTGGAAGCTCGGAAAAGGGGGGATATCAAAAATGACCGGCAATAACTAGACACAACTTAACAGGCAGAGACGGTTTCAATTTCCGACGTCCGATAATAAATGCAGTCCGTGATACAAACAGGAATGATGGAAAAATATAGGGCAATGAAAAAAAACAATATCCGACGTCCGTCCATCCGTTCACCGCTGAGAGAGCTCCAAACCAAAAGCAATAACAGATGCTCGTTATTATTCGTTAAAAAGATATAGGAAGTGAAAATGGGTAAGCTGGAGATGTTAAAAATAGCGTAGGAGGTAAGTAATATGGTGCAGTCGCTGATAGGAGAAGCAAATTGGTATCCAAGTAAATGCTCACATATCTCATGGAATGATATAAAAACGTTGAAGTATTTGAGGGAAAAGAGAAGAAAAGAAAATGTGGGTGTGATGTCGCCTTGAAGTGAAGGTCGCTAGGTGAGTTTCATGTGGCTGAGTAGATTGGCTATTAATTGCAGGAGGATATCAGTCTTTCACTTTAGTCCTGCTCTGACCAGGCGTGCGCCAAAGTATGAGAGGTTAAGCGGTGTGTCATTTACGCCGACAACAGGAGCGGATTCTTCGATCATTTCCCATGTTCTCGGAGGGCAGGGACCGACGACTCGATTGCCCTGCTGGAATCGGAAATTTTGAACTGGTGAGGTTGTTTCTTCGACAGTGGGGATTGATGGATTGGTTGGGTGAGGAGGTTGGGCAGATGAGCCCTGTGCTGTAGGGCCTTGGGTATTTAGAGGTGATGAGCCGGGAGGTGGCGCGCTGGAGGTTGTGGTGCTAGTAGAAGAGCTGATGGGGCCGGCTTGAGGATCAGGCATGGGGCCAAAAAGATATAGAAGACGGCTATCTTGTTGCTGCTGGAGGAAGAGAGGGGACCGATCACGGAGGAAACGGGCACACTGGATGCGGGCTTCATCCGGGAGGGTATCGACCAAGATATTGGCAACATCAATAGTATATATTCGTAGGCTATTCCAGTTCCCTGGTACCGTTCTTTGCAGGTGGGCATATTTGCCAGTGGGAGCGGGAGGAAGGTTGGTGGTATGCGAGAGTACCTGCATTAAGGCCGGAGTAAATGCCATGTAGCAAATACTGAGCAGGAGGCGAGTTTGGTCAGAGAGATCTGTCTTAGAGGCACGCTCAACATCGAAAGATGAGCGATACAAGGCCACAAGACGAAGAAGAATGTATATCCATATTCCAAGCATGCCGCCTTCATTACACTGAGCCATGATAGTGGTGCCCGAATCTGTAGGCTTGGCCTTTGACAGAAACGCTATCCGCTGAAGCAAGAGATTCATTCTTTCCAACAGGGCGCTGCCGATTGCGGAAGAAATGTTGTCGTTTTCATTTGGTTCTTTGGACACCAGCTCCTCAATTATGCGCAGGTATACCAACCCAAACTCATGAGGTGCCGGTCCATCATCACTATTGCCCGTCGAGGATGAGGAGGCAGATGTAATGAACAACGATAAAAGTTTGTTCTCTGCCTTTTGTTGGAGCTGAAGGATGGTTAGTAGGTGCCTTTTTGCAATATGGAATATCTCGACACTTACCTGTCGTTTTCCTTCGTCATCCAGAACAGTGATAATTTCCACCCATCGGGATAACCCCTTCTTCACATCCATTTCAGCCGCAGAAAAGATAGGATCAAGAACATTCTCCTTTCCGGCTGCATCTGTTTCCGCAAGTAGGAGTTGCAGCTTGATAAGACAGAATGGCAAGGAGAAGTCATCAATGCGACGGATAGTATCTGACGCTTGCTGCTGAACCGACTGGGAGCTGGTCGAAGCACGATTAGGATCTGCGTGCAAATTAGCATCTCCGGCATCATCGCCGTTGGGCAATGGCAGAATCTCAAGATTACCATTGCCTGATTCCACGCCAAGAAGACTGTCCAGCGTTTGGTTAAGGAGGCGTAATCCTGTTGGGAACTTCGCCGTCACCCATTTGACACATTCATCCCTCGCGAGGCTGGAATGTCGAACCATTATCTCGCAAAGAAGTGGGAAAATGGCCTTGTTCCACTGTTCATGAAGAGAGGCGTCGGCGGCAGAATGGTTTGCGGACGCATCCATTACAGCATCGCGGATAGCGCTGACAATGATACAGCAGTGTTTCTGGACGAACTCCTGGCGGGAGATCTTGAAGCGGTAGAATACCTAACGGCGAGTCAGTAGTTGATATTAGGATTACTGGCATGTAAGGTTACTCACGAGGTCTGGGACTGTGTTTTGGTCGGTTGTCCCTAGCCCTAGAACACTCAACATGTCCAACCTGAGGTGCAAAAGATCAGGTATATTATTTTCTCCAGCCTTATCAGCATCAAGAAGAAGCCTCTTCACCAGACCGAAAAATGCCGGAAGAGTGATGCAGCCCACTCCGATGAGCGGTGGTAGAAAGTGGGACAATTTTGGTCTGGGAGAAGTGCGTATCATCCCAACCACACGCTTGATCATAAGCCCATCAAAAGTCTTGGGATTGAACAAACGTAGTTGTGCAAGATACCGCGCTGCCTCGCTGGATGTGATGCTGATATCTGCCTTGCCTGTCTCAAGCTTCTGGATAAGCAAGTCAAATATACGCATAAGCGTAGCATCGTCCATACAGTTTCCCGAGGCAAGAAGCTGGTCAAGCATCCCACCAAAGGTAGGGTTGACAGGGTTGAGGGTGTCAGCCATATGTTCTGATACTGGCGATGAGGCAGCCATGGCTGACTTCTTGTCATAGCGTGCTAGGTCGCGGCGCAAGACAGCAACAGTAGAGGCTTCTGATGGTATGACAATGGCAACGTCAAGCAGAGAGACTATCAAATCTTGAACGTGCGCTTCAGTCTTGCTGAGTTTTGAGTAGGAGATGGCAAAGCTTTGTAGAAGATCCATTGTTGCACCGATGGCAGTGAAAGATGGTAAGTGATAGTTCAAGGTATCTGTCACGGAAGCTAAGACGGTGGGGTTGGATGATTGGGAGAGGAGTTTGAGGACATCAGCGAGGATCGAGACATCACCCATGCGCTCCAGGATGCATCGCAGAAAGTAAAACTGATCTGGCCTTATCATGGAAGCGATTGCTTGAGCGGTTGCATTACTGGAAGGTTGATTTTGGGCTTGAGCCTGGGCTCGAAGTTTCAATGCAACCTGCTCTCGAATCCAATGTGAAATTTCCGACTTGACTGTCCAGGTGAGACTGGCCCAGTCAATGTCACCATCCATCATCTCAGTGTCAGTAGTACCAACATGCCCAACAAAAATGTCAGAATGCTTTTGCAACAGATAAGTCTTGATTTGGCGTATTTGCTTCGCCTCGGCATCGACCGACACGCCCGCTCTAGAGAGCAAAGTGTTGCGTAGATTCCAGATATGTTCCGGAAGTCTACTTGACGGAAGATGTCGTAGAAGCTCTACGTCAGCTGTCAGATATTGACCAGACATATCAGGACTTCTCACCGCGCCTCTTGCCATAAGCCATTCCAAGTACTTGCCAACGGAAAAGGACTGGGACCGTACCAGTTCCGAGACAAGATGGTAGGCATTTTCGAGCTGGCGGGCGCTATATTTGCTGTTCTCGGCCAAGAATGATGATATATGCGCATCAGTATCGATCGAGAGCTTCCTCCAACGACGGAGTAGTCGAGCAGAGGCATAGATTCGTGCACATCCATATCTGAAAGGGGTAGATGACCATTCCAGGAGGCTATGTATCAATGTTCTGTGATCTAGTGGGAGAGCAAGGCATTTTGCAGCAAGAAGAGGGAAACCATTAGATGCACATGGGGCGTCAAGGAGCGATATTAGTTGTTGTGGGGCGGGTCGTGGGATAGACTGAGGAGAGTTTATAGCAGACTGAGGCGAGACTTTGGATAGACGAGCATTTCGTGCAATGAGTTGAGCGAGTATCGCTGTCTCCAGGGGTACGGATGTGTTGAAGCATGCAGTCAAGGCTTTCTGGTGTTGAGACCAAGTCAAGGGAAGAACAAAGGATGATGGATAAGAGGTGATGAACGAACGGATAAGTGACTGGAGGCGTGTGATTAGTGGATTAAGGACTGCAGAACGGTTAACATTCAGAGCCTAGAAGTATCGTTAGTAACATGTTGTTAATACGCGACAACTAAAAGAGGAGTTACATACCCATGCTAGCTTATCAAGTAGGGTCTGTGCCAGACGTCTGCCTCTTTTTCGGTAGCTGGTGAGGTTCTTCCAGTAAACACCAATAGTTGATAACCAGACAGGTAACATATCCAGGTTAGATGCATGCAGAGAGCCGAGAAACCATTCGAGGTAGGCATCCTGGTCAAGCAGTTGTTCCAAGAATAGACGACCAGACAATCTCATGCTATGGTACGTCAGCAACGAATATCAAAAAACGGATGTGAGAGAAATCAGAAAAAAAGAAAAGAAAGCAAACATACGCATAAGCCTGGTTCTCAATCCACCCGGCGTCCTCATGCGATTGCACCACACTTTCCATGAACTGCTGCACACTCCCAGTCCAGTCCTTTACCCATTTCGCTTCAAGCCCGCTCGCAATGGTAGCTGCCGTCCCTTTCCGTTTGAACGCCCGTATTTCATTCGCGCCCACACACTTGGCCAGCCAGATTGCGCGTCCAATAGGTATGTTCTTCCCTAGACACTGGTCCAGCAATATCTTGCCACGAATACCGTGAGGTATGGTTCTGCTAAGCCGCCTGAGGGGTACGGATGGGTTAGCCAGGTCTCGTAGCCAGGCTTCGCGTTTGTTATCGGTGAGTGTAACGCGCGGTGGTGGTTTGAATGTTGAGTTTGGCGTGACTTTCGTCATGGCTTGTCTTCGTTTGAGGGCAGCGGCGAATATATGGGAAAGCGCTTTGAGACCATTGGGGTTCTTAAAGTGTGTGTATAGAGATGGGCGTGCGGTATTACTTTCGTTCTGGGACAGCTGAACACGGTCATAGAAGCCTTGTTTGGCGGTTTGTTCGTTGAGAGCATCTTCTGGATGATTTCCAGTCCACGGGTGGAAGTCGAGGACGGCTGGTGGTTATTAGCATTGCATTGTAAAAACTGTGGAGTAATAATGGATAGGTAATGACGTACTATTATCTGCGAGCCTAGCAGCAGCAGCAGGTTTCTCCATAGTATATGGGGTGGTCTGGACTGTCATATCTTCCTGCTCATCGTCTTCAGGGGCGGTTTCTGATTTGTCCCGCATGAACAGACTCCTTCGCGGTCGAGGGGGCAGAGGTAAAGGAGAGGATGAAGATTGCGGCTGCTGACCACCTCCATCTACCGAGATGTACGCCAGCCGATCTTGAAATGACGCTGGAGGCCTCACACTCTCAACAAACGGTATGTTTGGGTCGGTAACTTCACTACTCTTTCCATCGTTCACATCGTCGCTTGCTCCCTGGATCAAGCGCATGCCAGAACTCAGAATCCTCGCAATCTCATCATGTCCTTTTGTATCAATGCGCAACCTCTTCGCAGGCCGACTAGACTCCAGGTCCTCGTCATCCTCGTTGTCGCTCCCCGTCAGATCAATGACAGGACTCGCATTCGTGCCTGGCCCGGGTCCTCTCCCTAAATCACTCCCCGGTCCTGGTCGAGCTTGTTGTTGCAAGGCCATACGAGCTGTCGGTTGGTCAGAAAGGCCAGTCGGTGGCTGTGAGTACGGATTGCTCATCTGAGGAGGATGGGAGATGGTCATCCAAGCATTGTTTTGTGGGAGGTCCTACATGCCAGCTGCAGTGAACGAGCTACGAGGTCATGGCTCCTCGTCGCGGCTGCAGCAGTCTGATTGTGGTATCGGTCTCGTCGGTTCTCCGCAGTGTCTCTGGCAGTGAATTCGGCTGTGAACAGGCAGACTGGAGGGTGCATGCAGTTTGGCTATAGGAGAATTGAGTTATATATACACGGGTTGTGGTATCTTGGTCGGCCGTGAGAATCGGATGTTTGTTGCAGTAAAGGCGCCTTGCCGCAGCGAGTCCTGACTGCCACACAAGCACTGCCGCTTCTTCGTCTCGTTTCGTCTCTTCTTCAGCCCTTTTGCCAGTCCTTTTGTCTGGCTTCTGCTGCTTCTCGTCGTCGTCCGTTTGTTGTTTTAAGGTCGAAAAAGAAGTTCGGAGGTGGAGGGAAGCCCCGTGATTGGTCAGCAGTGCTGAGTCAGCATGACCGAGGGATATCAAAAAAGCAACGACGAGCAAACGAAGACGAAACGAAGAAAAAGTCGACAACAGCAGACAAGATGGCGACAGCGAGGAGCAACAATAAAGACGAGCAGCGGCGAAAGTCTACGGGCCTACAGGAGAAGTGGGATGCGACTGATCGCCGGGGGGTTACTCAACAGAAGCGACCCAAGTTTTTGACCGGCTATCTCTGAGCAGCGACCCGGTTGGTTGTCCAGGGGCAAAGGAGAGGCAGAGTGACAGCGAGACGGACAGCGAGCGGGCAGGAGGGAGATGCAGGAGCTGCAGGTCACACTCGATGTACCCATGACGGTCAGCCTATATGCACACGGAGAGAAGTGGGCCGGCACTTTTGATTGTTTGTCCACTTTTATGCTGACCCAGGATGGAGTTACAGGCTAGCCTTGCATACGGGTGTTAGTCGAGTGGCACCCTGCGGATGTTCCCATGGTTGAGCATGAGCTAACTATTAAACAACTTTTCAGCTCCCTCGGAAGAAGGTAACTAAAATGAATGCGCGAGTTACATAAGTTGCAGGGTTAAGACTGTGCCCGAAGCGGTCAGCCAGGTTTAAGAGCGAAAAAAAGAGCCAGTTGGGCGCTGGGCTGCAGTCTGGATCTCGCTAAACGGCGTTGGTTCCACCACCAGTGGTCCCTGAGACGGAGGACGGGGAAAGGACATTTGGATAGGGTTGGTCCATTCAAGCTCGGCTCGTACTCTATCGACATCGTATGGCTACTCCGTACTCCGTACTCCAGACATCAACTCCAGGGCATCGACATCAATACCTTCATCTACATAAACTCCGCTTTGAGATGCACAGATACTCATATATCGACAGATCAGGTTCATCAATAGATCTATTGCCAGCAAGATAGAGGATTCCTTGACTCTAATAGTGCGGAGGATCGATTAGTCAGTGATCCCCCCGGTGGCTTGGATAGTAATTATTGGCCACCAACCCCAGGAAACGGTCAAAGAAGAAAGAGTTGGAAATGGACGGGGGAAGATTGTGCAGAGAAATTAATTCTCTGTCCTCTTCAGCTCCAATCTCTTTCTTGATGCCTGTTATTTTGCCAGGCTGCGAAAGGGGTGGTTTCGTTTAGACGCAATATCTTCTTCCTTCAGTCTCTCGTTTTAACCCTGAGAATGGAACTGCCCCTTTCCAGCACCAGCGGCGTCGACGGCGTAGCCGGTGATAGGGAAAAGTACGAGAAGATAACTTGCTACAGCTATGATAGCAAGAGGGAGTATCCGAATTATGTCAAGTGTCCCGACTCGGATTCCTGCTGCGAGACAATTGAGCAGTGCCGTCCGGATCGCCTCTGCACTTCAAAGGAGGACCCCAAGACGCTTATTAGGGCCCCCTGCGCATACAAGCCGTGGACAAACAGCTGCGCCCAGGTATGCCTGTATGGTAGGTCTCCATTGGCTCCCATTCTCCCTGAGCCTTTTCTACATTATCCCTCATGTTTGATGAAAAAGTTTAGACCCTATATATTAATAAGTGTCAACGTAGATAATAAAGACTTGCCTGTCCTGCCTCGAGCAGTGGTGTGTGAACAAACTGGCCCTTCCAGTGGCAGCTATTGCTGCGACGACAACAGAACCTGCTGCATCGACAGAGCGGGCTTCTTCTTGGACGAGAACGGTCTGCTGATCGGCCGTGCGAACGAGACGGACAACTCGACCTTAAGCCCCAAACCTATCGGAGTGTCTGTCACAGCCCTAAGAAGCATGGGATCCGCCAGCGCGACCTCGACGCCCGCACCCTCGCCCATCAAGGACAAGACGGGCTTGTCGACTGTCGACAAGGCAGGTATAGGCGTAGGCGTTGGCGTTGCGGTGCTCCTCGCCATCATTGCAGGGACATTGCTGTTCCTCCGCAGTCAGAGACGAAAGAGACGGACCCGAGCGGACTCTGCCTCCACTGGTGGTAATAATAGTACCGGTCCCGGTACCGCCAATACTGATGCTCCGACGGATACGTGGGGAGACGACAAGGAGCCACTACCCGGCGACGAGCAGCGACGAGAGAAGGAAGAGGAACGAGCATACGAGCTGATGGGCGACGGAGGGACGCCAGAGCTCGAATCGGTTGAGAGTCCCCGACATGAAGCTCCTCCGTCGGAGCTACCGGTTGTAAGAGTGCAGCAGACTGAACCCATCGAGTTACCAGCCGACCAGCCTACCGGAAAGCCCCGTCGGTCTTGATCCAGCCTTTAAGATAAGACATTATTGAAACGAGACAATTGAGGGCGTCGGTTGGCTATCTGGCTTCTTTTCATTTTTCTCTTTGAATCTCACACTCATTCTCTCTTACTTCATCTCTTTTGTTGGACCGGAAAGCAGCATCGTCGTCATCATCATACACAATATTTAATATTCTTCTGTACATATTTGGTATACCCCGGATGGGTGAGGATGGACGTTCGAGGAGTTTGGATTGTCTCTTCGGTGTGATATCAACTACCAAAACAGCCTTAATAACTAAACTGCTATGAATGCATCCACAGACACACACACGCACCTCACTACTCCTCCACAGCCTAATAAACTTATCCAATAGCCATGTCTAGAGCTATTCTTCGCCTCAAGTGGCGGTTGATGCTGACCATTCTGTATTTACATGCTGTGTGATAGGCGATGACGGCTTATGACGTTTTTACCTTGTTTCCTCCCCGGAGAGCTTCTTTGGCTATATATATATATAAGATCCTAACTGCATAGCGCAGCAGGATGGCCCAATTCCTTCAATTCCCAAATCTATAGCTCCTCGATGAATTGTTTGCGAGTTTCAAGGACCGTAATACCGTCTCTGAGGACTGCTGCACCCAGAGGTATCCCGTTATCTCGCTGTCCATCCCTGGCTTACTTCTCTACAACATCCGCCATGCAGAACAAGATCTCAGACGCCGTCAAGACAGACCACCGTGAGCTGGAGCAATACTACCAGATCATCATCAACTCTACCGACCCGGGTGAGAAGACCAAATACCAGAATGCGTTTGTCTGGGAGCTCGCCCGTCACTCCATAGGCGAGGAGCTGGTCCTGTATCCTGCCATGGAGCGTGTCATGGGTGACGAAGGCACCAAGCTGACAGAGAAGGACAGAAAGGAGCACCAGCTCGTAGGTCTACTCCTTGATTTCAGTGACAATGCTAACGGAATGACTAGGTCAAGGAGCAACTGAAAGTGTTTCAGGCAACGGATGCGACGGATCCCAACTTCATGGATCTGATCAAGGGGTTAATGGGCAACCTGTCCGACCACATCAAGGAGGAAGAGAGCATCGACCTAGTCAAGATCGAGGAGCGGCTGGATCCCAAGGAGAGCGACCAAATGGCAGCCTCCTTTGAGCGGACAAAGATGTTTGTCCCTACGCGGTCTCATCCCAGTGCGCCGAACAAGCCACCATTTGAAACCGCTGTGGGACTGCTGACTGCTCCCATTGACAAGGTAGCTGATCTCTTCAGGTCTTTTCCTTAGGGTCTCTCTTCGCTTTCGCATATGATATGATAATAATAATATTAATGTCTGCTGCTCTGATCTATGTATTTTGTGTTTGTGTTTGATGTAATGAGAAATTGGATACCAAATGCTACTTTTATATCACAGTTTTTTAGGCGTAAAGGAAGTATCTCGAAGTCACTCTTATCCACCAAACGACGTAATAGGCTAACCGAGTTCAAGAAGTATCAGTACTTTTATTTCCATGCGTATAAAGTGTTGATATAAGTACCAGTACTTCTCGTGTTGACCACGTATATTGGAGATCTCGTCGATAAGTCGATGCTATCGAGACCAACAACAACCGCCGGTCAAGCAAGCTGTTAATTACACCACGCAACCATCTGCATTCCGATGGTAAAAGAGCCTCCGTCTGCTTGCTGTCCGTTCTCTCTGATGGCGAGGACTCATCCCAGTGCTCGCTAAAAGAACCTCATGGGGCCTTTCAGCGCATTCCTCCTCGTCTACGTTCTTGGTGGGCTTACCTTCATTCCGCTGCTGCTCAGCTTGCTCGTCCTCCATGCATACCTCACTCTCCCCGGCCCGCCAGACAGCGAGTCAAAGACAGAGAATGCAGACCCGGGCGGCCTCGAGCGAAAGGGAGATGACCAGTACAGCCTTCTTAACGCCCGCACGGCGGAGCTGGCGGAGAAGTTCCAGCGAGCTCGCGAGGCAGACGTAGCAGCTGGTTACTTCGCCGTGTGCAGAGAATATGTGCCCGGAGGAGTGAACGGGAAGCCGCCTGAACGAACGACTCCGGCTGGGGAGGTTATTGCTACTGAGAGTCCTAGTGTCTACCAGAGCGTTTATCGAAGCATCTTTGACCGCAAACAGGCGCCGACTCTGGATGCGAACAGGGCCAACGGGAGGAACGTCAGAAAGGCCAGGAATGTATTTTACGTTATACTGCGGTAGGATTGATACTCCTTTTGGCGTGATGACTTGCTAGTAGGGACTCTGCTAATTACTTTCCTAGTCATGGACACCTTATGCTGTACGATGACGCCGAGCAGATCGAGGTTCGATACGTCATATCTCTTGCACACCACAATGTTAGCATATACGGAGGTGGTGAACCGATACCTGAAGGAGAGCTTTGGATAAAGAGGAATGCCATCTGTCTGTCGAGAAAGGACGAGGGTGAAAATATCCCTGGCCCTCGACCCCCTACGCTGCCATTCTACTTGTTTTCTGAGAACTTGTCTGAAAAGGAAGACTTCTACTTTGCCATCCTGAACAATCTGGACAGGGTTCCTGAATCGATTGACTCCCCTCCTACGCCTCGACAGTTTGCTACGCAGGACATGGTGACTCTTGTCCAGCGCTTGCATTCGTCAGAGGAACATCTTCAGACTAGGTGGTTCAATGCCTTGATCGGCAGGCTATTTCTAGCCATGTACAAGACCCCAGAGCTGGAACAGTTTATTCGCAGCAAGATAACCAAAAAGATTTCGAGGGTGAATAAGCCCAATTTCATCACAAAACTCGAGCTCCAGACTATTCATTCGGGTGAAGGTGCACCACTCATCACGAATCCACGCTTGAAAGACCTCACAGTCAACGGTGATTGTTGCATCGAGGCAGATATCAACTACAGCGGAAAATTCCGTGTAGAAATTGCAGCTACAGCTCGAATTGACCTTGGAACGAGATTTAAACCGAGGGAGGTTGATCTTGTTCTCTCGGTGATGCTGAAGAAGCTGAAAGGCCATATATTAGTACGCTTTAAACCACCTCCTAGCAATCGGCTATGGATCTCATTTGATACGATGCCCGCCATGGAGATGGTCATAGAACCAATTGTTAGTTCAAGACAGATCACATATGGCATTATCTTGCGTGCAATTGAAAGCAGAATCAGAGAAGTTGTTGCTGAAACCCTGGTCCAGCCGTTCTGGGACGATATCCCGTTCCTGGATACAGAGGAGCAGTATTTCCGTGGTGGTATATGGGAAGAGACTCGGAAGGCTGAACCACCACGGGCTGCAGTCGATACAGAAGCCACTTCGGACAAGGAATCAGAAAAGCAGCCCGAGAAGCCTCCAGAGAAAGAAGAGCCGGTAGACACCCGCACCCCTGAAACACAAACGGAGTCGAATACGGAAGAGCATGGCACTTCCGCTAGTGTCACCCGTACACCGTCCCAGGAGCCTCTCTACCAAGCCTTTGCAGACTCGTTGGACGAGAAAGAAGCGCCCGAGAAGCCAGAAACCCAGGAAACGGATTTCCGTCCATCCTCGCTTCCAGATATCCCAGAGAAAGCAGCCCATAGCGCTTCTAAACATCGATCTACGCGGTCTCTTTCCTTCTCACCGGCCACCACAGGCTCTTCTATATTCTCACCCTCCATTTCTATCACGCAACAAAGTGAACCCAGGGATGTGCCCTCTCCCACGGCTGATACCAGCAACGCGGCTCCCCCACTATCGAGATCTCTTTCTGATCACGGCACTGATGCAGCTTCTACGAGCGACAGCAGGAGTAATCGAAGCAACTCTATGTTGGCGGAGAGCACCCAGTCGTCTAAGAGTGCGAATGCATCTCCGAGCCTGGCCCCTGGTCCATTCGAGCCACGTCAAGCCATGCTGTCTATTGGAAGTGCTGCTGCAGCTGCTAAAAAATGGGGTCTAAGTGTTCTCACTCGCAACGACCAGGGCCCTAAACCTGGGGAAGTCCCTGACCATCCCGTTGGCCGTGGTCGGCCTCTTCCGCCTCCAGGCACGCCACTTCCGTCCCCTGGAAGATTCAACTTTGGTTCCATAGCAATGCCGAAACGGAAGCCCGTTACCCCGTCTCCAGTACCAGAGCGGTCTCAATCGGTAATTGAACCCACGAGGTCTGAACCCAAGGTGCAGGTGCCAAAGAGACACGATTCAATGTTGGACCAGGACACTAAGAGCCAGGAGATTCTTGTCATCAAGGCGCCGGTTGGGTCAGAACCCAGCAGCCCATCCAAGGAGAGCCATGGTGCCGGAGGCAAAGTAGACGAGAGTGACGACGTGCCAGATGCGTGGTCAAACGAGGTGCTCATGGACTTCCAGGACTCCTCCATGTCGGCTACTGAATCTATATCCTCACCGTCAGAGCTATCTGTACATCGACCGTCAAAACGGCTGGATCATCTGAAATTCGACTAGGTAAGAGCTGTATCACCTATTTGTATGCATCCAGGTACTATTTATATTCTATCAATGCCCCAGAGGCTGGCGTTGCCGTCGTCTATTTGGTGTTAAAGGTGCTTCAATGTATATATATCTCCGGTGTTTGGGCTGGCGTTAAAAAGGGAACTATTTCGATAGACTGTTATATTCAGTTGTCTTTATCTTCATCCATCTACCCGTTAATTCATCTATCCATCCTCATTAAATGTGGTTGCTGTCGATATCTCACCAGCCACTCTGTATTGCGTTGCCCATCAAAACCACCAACTAACTAGGGGTCGTGTGCCAAGACGGTGACGACGAAGGCCCATGGAAACATCGCTGCCTCCTCGAAAGCCAAAAGCCATCGACATCACCAAACACCGCCCAGCAATAACAACAGCAACTGGTCCATTGGACAGATACGCTCTATTTACTCTCGTTCGCAGAGCTTGACTGCTGCCAGGCATCGGCTTTCTCTCAGTTCAACGAGCTCTGCGCCCGTTGCTGACCCCCTCCGTCGCCCGATTGCTACCATAAATGTCCCTTGGTTACGGCCCATCTACAAGAACCGCAGCAATGAGCAGGTGAGCAGCGCCGGTTAGAGCAAGATAGGACTTGTTTGAATATCACTGTTCGCTCAGATGTAGCTCACATATATCTATAGAACCGAAGCAGACCTTACGGTCAACATCCGCAAAGCTACTAGCATCGGTACGACCGCCGCCCTTTCACCTCTCACTTACAGCCTGCATTTTATCTACGTTGCAAACTGGACAGTTACTAATGAGACTTGCGATCGGTGAACAGAGGAAACGGCTCCCAAACGTACGTCCCCGCTGCCTGACCGTTCCGCGTCATACATACTGGAAACATACGGTTTAACAGTGGTTGAATAGGGAAACATGTGCGGAGCTGCATCGTATATACCTGGGACCATAAGTCCTCGGTATCCTTCTGGTCTGGCATGAAAGTGTGAGTTCCGTGGACTTGGACTCCAGTCTTACTACCAGCTCACATCCACCTCACTTACCCCTTAGTTGTTTTTATGCGCATTTACTAACTTTGATAATTGTTACTAGACAACCTATTCTAGCCGATGAAGTCCAGACATTTAAAGCCCTTATTACAATTCATAAAGTCCTGCAGGAGGGCCATCCTGTTACTGTAAGGGAGGCGCAGGAAAATGTTACATGGTTGGACAGTTTGATGAGAGGGGTAACGGGCGAAGGGCTACGAGGTGGGTGAACTCATGCCTAAATACGGGGTGCATGCTCTATTGCTGGAGAAATGCAATTTTATGCGGAGAGAGGAGGCTGATATAGGTGACAGGCTATGGTCCGTTGATTAGAGAATATGTTTTTTTCCTGGAGTCCAAGCTGGCATTCCATCGACAGCATCCAGAATTCAATGGTGAGTGTTCTTTATAGTGTTAGGTATATTTACATACCACGAGTGCTAACCATTAAATACACAGGTCTCTTTGAATATGAGGAATATATCAGTCTTAAGTCGATCAATGATCCGAACGAGGGGTACGGCGGTCTCTTCCAATCCAGTCTGATTGATTCTAACACAATATAGATACGAAACAATTACCGACCTGATGACACTCCAAGACCAAATCGACACTTTCCAGAAACTCATCTTTTCGCACTTCCGAGGCAGCGCAAATAATGAGTGTAGAATATCAGCGTTGGTGCCTCTTGTTCAGGAGAGCTATGGAATTTATAAGTTCATTACCAGCATGCTACGAGCAATGCACTCAAGTAAGGATACCCAATACTCCGTCTTATGTGTTTTTGAGATGCTAATATCTCGATATAGCAACCGGTGATGAAGACGCATTGGAACCTCTTCGAGGCCGATATGATGCTCAGTATTACCGACTGGTTCGCTTTTATTATGAATGTTCAAATTTAAGATACCTTACCAGCTTGATATCTGTCCCGAAACTTGCACCACAGCCACCAAATCTGCTCGCAGGGGAAGAGGATAAGCCCAGTCTTCCGAAGCGTCCAACTAACGAACCCGAGAGGGAGCCTACTCCACCACCGAAGTCCACTATCCCTGATGCTGAACCAATCAACGATTTCTGGTCGACGGAGGCCAAACGACAGCAGGAGGAGTATGAAGCCGAACAGCGTCGACTACAAAGCCAGTGGGAAGAACAGCAGCGCCAACAAATGCTTGCACAGCAACAGGCGCAGCGAGAATTCGAAGAGCAGCAACGACTTCAAGCGGAGCAACAGAGACTAGCCCAGGAACAACTCATGGCGAACCAGTACCAACAACAGACCCAAGGAAGGCTGGCAGAGCTTGAACAAGAGAACCTTAACGCCCGGGCACAGTATGAACGAGATCAGTTGATGCTCCAGCAATATGACAAGCGTGTGAAGGACCTCGAAGAGCAACTAAACCAGATCAACTCAAACTTCAGCTCACAAAACTCTTCGAAGGACGATCTCATTCGATCCCTCCAGGAACAACTCAACACTTGGCGTACAAAATATGAGGCACTGGCTAAGCTGTACTCTCAGCTGCGACAGGAGCATCTGGATCTTCTCCAAACCACCAAGTCTTTGAAGCTAAAGGCGGCATCTGCCCAGGAAGCAATTGACAAGAAGGAACGTCTCGAGCGGGAGATGAAGACAAAGAACTTGGAACTTGCCGATATGATTAGAGAACGTGATAGAGCCCTGCATGAAAAGGATCGTCTCACAGGAGGTAATCGGGAGGAGCTCGAGAAGCTGAAGAGGGAGCTCCGAATGGCTATCGAGCGGGCGGAAAATGCCGAACGTGCGAAGGGATCAGAAATCTCCGCGATGCTTTCTAAGTATAATCGCGAGATGGCCGATCTAGAGGAGGCTCTAAGGGTACGTTTCTCAGTTCTCTCGTGCGATGCTTATGCTAACAAACCCATGCATAGAGTAAAACACGAGCGCTGGAGGAATTCCAATCTAGCAGAGGTGACTTGAATGCAGACCATGAAATCATGCTCCGAGAAAAGGATGAGGAGATCGAGATATACAAGTCTGGAATGGAGCAGGCATTGACTGAACTAGAGGAGCTGAAACTGGTATGTACCACCTTTTCACAGGGTCTGGTATCAGAGCTAACGTTGAACTTACAATTATAGAGCCAAGGAGATGCAGATAAGGCCCTAGACAGTCAAATTGACGATGTTCTGATTGGCTCTATTTCCAAGGTCAACGATATCATCGACTCTGTTCTTCAAAGTGGTGTGCAACGAGTGGACGATGCACTTTACGAGCTGGATTCGACAATGCAAGCTGGAAACCAAAATGCATCGCCTTCTTATGTGCTATCGCAGATTGAAAAAGCATCTGCTAGTGCCACTGAGTTCTCGACCGCTTTCAACAACTTCATCGCTGATGGACCAAACAGTGAACATGCCGAAATCATCCGCACCGTGAGCGTGTTCTCTGGGTCCATCGCTGATGTCCTTAGCAACACCAAGGGTTTGACTCGATTCGCCACTGATGACAAGAAAGCCGATCAGCTCGTAGGTGCTGCAAGGTCTCCTGCCGAGTCCACCATGACATTCTTCCGTGCTCTGCAGTCTTTCCGTCTTCAGGGTTTGGAGCCCACTCAGAAGACTGATGTGGTTATTAATAACAACCATGAAGTCCTCATGAACCTCCAGAAGCTCTCCAAGCTTGTCGATACCTTCGCTCCGAAGAGCAACAAGCTTACCGGTGCCGGCGATCTCGGTGACATCGTCGACCGAGAGCTGACCAATGCCGCTAACGCAATTGAAGCCGCAGCACAGCGACTAGCTAAACTCAAGAAGAAGCCTCGTGACGGCTACTCGACCTACGAACTTCGCATCCATGATTCTATCCTGGAAGCATCTATTGCGGTAACAAATGCAATCGCAGAACTGATCAAGGCTGCCACTGCATCGCAACAAGAAATCGTCAAGGAGGGCCGAGGAAGCTCTTCGCGGACGGCGTTCTACAAGAAAAACAATCGCTGGACAGAGGGATTGATATCTGCTGCAAAGGCCGTGGCAACTTCAACGAACACCTTAATTGAAACCGCCGACGGAGTTATTTCTGGCAGAAACTCGCCTGAACAATTGATCGTTGCTAGTAACGATGTGGCTGCTAGCACTGCCCAGCTTGTGGCGGCCAGTCGAGTCAAGGCTACATTTATGAGCAAGACTCAGGATAGACTCGAGACAGCTAGCAAGGCTGTTGGATCCGCTTGTAGAAGCTTGGTCAGGCAGGTACAGGATATCATTGCTGAGAAGAACCGCAATGAGACCGAAACCATCGATTACACCAAGTTGAGCGGACATGAGTTCAAAGTACGAGAGATGGAGCAACAGGTACGTTTATCAATCCTTACCTCTGTATATATGATATGTCAAGTATCTAACACAGTTTATAGGTTGAAATTCTGCAACTCGAAAATGCGCTCAGTCAAGCCAGAAAGCAACTTGGCGAGATGCGCAAGATATCGTACATGGAGTAACATGCTTGCGCTTCCAGAACAAATTTATATAAACTCATCTCTGCCAAACCCAATATTTCCTCCACTTCGATCACTATGTACGAAAGCGACAAAAGAATACAGACTTCGTCACAACCTGCAACTGAATTTCAACTTGTAGTATTTACTGTTAATTATCAAGGCGCTTTTTGACAATAAGCCAGAGGATTTCCGGGCCGATTCCATACCTACTAATTAGCAAGTTGCAGCGAATGAGTTTTATCGAAAAGTTGGAAGTTAAAGATAAGACATATATTTCTGTTTCAACAATTTCGACCTATTCTACATATGATGTTATACCTCGGGTGTATAAAGCAGCAGGTTTTCCCTCCAAAAACGTTGGTATAACATTGCTTTCGGCGGAATGCGTCCATTAACGATTGGATTTATTGACTGAAAGCGAAATTAAGTGGTCTTGTCCTTGTTGTGGTAGTTGACGTCGGAGTTCCAGCTAAAGTAAACCAAGGTTAGTAATTTCGATGCGCCGTGCTATAATTCACGTAGCCTAAAAAAAGTCGTAATACTAACAAGAGAGTCTATGAATTGTGTCAGCATTGTTAAGTTTTCCACATAGAATATCATTCAACTTCACGTACCTTGTCACCATCTCCCCAGAAGAAGTTCTTGGTTCGGATGTTCTGGTAAGGATATTCGACACGGTCCTCCAAAGCAGGCATATGAGACCAATGCTCCCAATGCTCAGTCCAGAGGTTGTATGCGTTGATGGAACCGAGGATTAGGGTGGGAATCACGGCGCTGCCACACAGTTAGTTATCCGGACGTCGGACATTCGGGTCATCGAGGTAAAACTAACTAGATGGATAGCTTGCGCCATAGATCTGCAAATAAACAATTAGTCCCTGTATCCCTCGTCTGACGGTATTATCTTTCCGCTTACCGCTGGTGGAGGCAGCGTGAGCCTTAACGGCGGCTCTCTCACGGAGGAACTCGTTGTCGTGAGGAGTCGAGCTGTTCAACCGGCGCTGGACGAAGTTGCGGGCGACGGGAGATCGGATGCTGGCCCTCTGGGCAGCGCGCAGGATAGGCTGACGGGAAAGCATGGCTGGTTCAATTGGTACTCTGAAGAGTCTCAATGATTGATCGTGGTGAAGTCAAGGAACGAAGTGAAGTTGAAGTTGAAGTCGCTTGTGGTTCAGAATTAGTGGCTAATGATTATGTAATCACATGGCCTGATCGTCATCGCGACTTCGAACGTGAAAAGGGAAAAGCCATCGAGCATCGACAAACCAGCTGAAGAACAGGAAGAAGAGGGAGAAGGCAGCCGAACGATGTGAGGATGATAGTATGTGGTGAAAGATGGTGCTGCGATTAACAACATGGAACGGTTAGTTTGGTGGCTACATTATTGATTGGCGAAACTGACGACACTGTAGTGAACGGGATAAGGTACCATCGGCGCTAGGCAGCAGCCCTGCAGACAACAAGGGATATACTGATAATTTATTCCCAGGAACCCGTTTTCATACGAACCATGGAGAGGAAACCGGACGTTTGGGGTACGCTCCAACCCGTTGGATGTTGACTGAATACTCTTTTAATGCGTGGTCTACAGGCAATGTTTGATATCCTGGAGGCAGATATCGTGGTTTTCCAGGAAGCAAAGATCCAACGGAAAGACTTGCAAGATGACATGGTTCTTGTGTCAGGTTGGGACTGCTATTTTAGTCTCCCAAGGCAAAAGAAAGGTATATACGTTTTGTATGAGGTTTACCAGTGTTTATGTTGACACTCTCAAGGTTATTCCGGGGTTGTAATATATACCCGCAGTTCGAAATGTGCTGCTATCCGTGCCGAAGAAGGCGTAACTGGCGCACTTTGTCCACCAAGCTCCAGAACCCCTTTTCGCCAGTTATCCGCTTCCGAGCAGATTGGCGGCTATCCCTCTATTGAACAGATGGAGGAGTTATCCGAAGTAGACCCTATTACTGTCGATTCTGAAGGGCGATGTTTGATCCTCGAATTCCCTGCTTTCGTGTTGATAGGAGTTTACTGCCCGGCGGATCGAGACGAAACCCGAGACGATTTTAGGCTTGGTTTTTTTAATTTACTTGAAGTCCGAGTGAGGAACCTTGTCAAGATGGGAAAGCGGGTCATTTTGGCAGGTGACCTTAATACCTGTGCCGGCCCCATTGACTCAGCTCCAGCTCTAGAAAGGATTAGAAAAGGTACTGAAACTGAAGAAGAGTACCTATCTTATCCTGCTAGACGCATTTTCAATAGGCTGGTGCGGCCTGTGGGCTCAACCGGGGATACACATGATACCGAGACACTCCCTGTTCTGCGAGACCTCTGTAGAGAATTTCACCCTAGCCGGACTGGCATGTATACATGCTGGAACCAAAAGGTAAATGCTCGACCAGGCAACTATGGATCCAGGATCGATTATATTCTGTGTAGTGACAATATCAGGTCCTGGTTTGTTGAGTCTAACATTCAAGAGGGGCTTATAGTATGTGTCAAACTTGAACTTATTTACCGATCATTCAAAAACTTACTAATTTCTAACGAACAGGGCTCCGATCATTGTCCTGTTTATGCATCTATAAGTGATAGGGTGCCCTTTGATGGGAAGGATGTTCACATTTTGGACATCATGAATCCTAAGGGGGCATTCGACGACGGGGTAGAACAACCTCGCTCTAACAAAATAGTCCCCTTGGCACTATCTGGAAGATTGATACCAGAGTTTGACCGCCGAAGGAATATCAAGGATATGTTCCGAAATCATTCCCTGTCTCAGAACAATAGCGAAGTAAAGATGTCAACGACAACTGATACTCAGGCTGGGTCGGAAATTCCTGGACCGGCCTCGCAGATCAAGAGTGCACAAGAAAACAAGACTGCACCAGTAACAATGAATCATGCTCCCAAGCGATCACACAGCACAGGAGCTCAGGCCCCTTCATCTAAGAGACCAAAGCAAAAAGGCCGACCATCTGGCGCTCGAAGCAATGGTCAACAAACTCTTGTTGGATTTTTCAAGTCCGAAAAGACCAGTCGTGCCGTCAGCGAGGAGAATGCTACGGCTTCTAGTGACTCGCCACAGGAAGCCCCAGCTGAAGTCAAAATAACTCCCGCCAGTGAGTTGGCATCTACGGCGGAGAACAATGATTCAGTTCCAACTGCAGTGACAGCCTCTCCAGACAACTCAATTGTTCCCTCATGTAGCCCGACGGAATCGTGGTCAAAGGTTTTTACAAGAAAGCCGGTGCCAAAGTGTGAGGGCCATCATGAGGATTGCATCTCTCTTGTCACCAAAAAGCCAGGAATAAATTGTGGACGATCATTTTGGATATGCCCGAGGCCGCTTGGCCCGAGTGGTGATAAAGAGTCGGGAACTCCATGGCGTTGTCCAACTTTCATTTGGAGCAGTGATTGGAGGTCAAGCTGACTAGCATAATGAAGGAATATTAGCCTAACCGTGTCTCTCCTCAAACTCGACATCTACCGTACTCTCCCTTTTGGCGGCGTTTGCCTTCATTTTTGCCCTGACTTTTCTCGAGGACCACTTGCTGTATTAGTCAGCATCTCAACCTCCAACTCAACTATGCTTTGGTATCAACATGTTGACATGGATGTCATGATTGCGATCATGACGGCTGTGAACATGGGCCAAGCTGGAGAATAGATGATAGTTATACCTAGTGCTGAAAATACCTGCATATACCCCCTTGCTTTGTAATGTTCAATTAGATTCTAATTGATAGTTTTTGAGATACAGGTTCTGTTAATATCCTGTAGTTAACAAGGCCATCATCATACATATTTTGGCCGTAGAGTGAACTGGTGCTATTGCTAGTGACTCACTGCTCTATTTACCTGCACAAGATCATATTCACCTATCCTCGAGTATCAGGGCGTATCTCACCGTTTGGGGCGTATACCAGCCTCGTTTTGACCCTGCCGGTGACATAGTATTGCTATCTCCTTTATGTCTGCATACTCGCATCGAATGCCCGCACATAGGTATCCTTCGCGCTAGTGGCCGTTTTGTTTTGATTTCCCCCTTAGGAAACGCGGTGGCATAGCAACCAGAAAAATTTTCATTTCCCCCTTGGAGGCACGAACTTCTCCTTATAAAAACAAACACCAACTCTCTCAAATTCCAACCCTCAACCTCCAAGCTGCAGTTTCTATTCCACAGCCCTTAGGCTCCAATAACCACCTGCAACGACCCAGGATGCTTGAGATTCCACCTCCTCCGCCTCCGAAACCGCGTGTCGTCCTGCCGTGGTCCGAGTATGACCCTGGCTTGCTCAACGGTGAGAATCTAGCACTCACGACTCCTAATGTATCCATATACTAAAAATTTATTACAGGAGACGGCATTGCCGTCCGCAAGTGCAGCACTGACTATCTTGCCTCTATTTACAAGACGTGCTTGGACACATACCGTCCGAATGAAGTCAATCTTTCTCCGGAGGAAACAGAACGCTTGACTGAAAGTGTCCGTCTTGAACTGACTAGGCTTACCTCTTATCCTGATCTTTTCCCCACGCCCACCGCCCATGAACGCTTTTTCAAACTCCTCCAGGAAAGCGTTGCTAGAGTGGTCAAGAAACGTCAGGACAAAGAAAATGAGTCCATTGAAGAGAGTATCCGTCTCCGTGCCAACATTCTTGCTAGAGAGGAGGAAGAGATCTTACAGGAAATCAACCGCCCTTCATTTAAGCCCGGGCTGAAGCCTTGGGAACAATTCCTTTTGAAAGGCAGCCCTGGCAGTGGTGTTGTACTTCCCCCAGACCCTCCAAACGGCTATGTGCAGATGATGCCAATAGGTGGAGTGGCACTCCACTTGAGGTGGTTAAGAGAAAACTATACGGCTTCTAAAGAATATGCGGAGGCAAGTTAAATAACCGAGTTCTTGGTATGACAATCTAACTTTTGTAGTCAAACCCCCCTTCAGCTGACTCTTCTACCGAAGCCCGAGACCCTGAGGAAACAGTAAGTTAGACTTCGCTTGACCCGGTGGCCGATCTTCTCACCTCTCTATAGTACAATATGTTCAAAAGGGCCCTTTATCCTTCACACAACGTTACGCACCAAACCAGCTGGGTACGCTAAGATCTCAATCCCAATACATTTTACCCCATAGCTTACGCTGAACAGATCTCTCTGACACCCAATCCCTATTTCGAGGTACGTATGGTATGCCTAAATATCAGTATCTACTTAGACGACCTGACACCTTTCAAGCGGCGTATGCCCATCCCAAAGCATGATCGTGTTATTGATCGCTTAGAGAGTTTTAATGCTCTGATTGGTGAGATCTCTCTCAACCGTGTTTATGTGACGCCCGCACTAATAATGACAAAGAACGCCTCGAAGGTGAGGAGCCCACGAATTATAATGGTGATCCTTCCGGTGTTAGAGCCATGCTCTACCGCACAATCGTGGAAGATATCTCAGACAATACCGAGGAAAACGTTGCTTAACGAAATAACTGTTGGTCGGAGGGTCAGATGTCGCGTATTTTGATGTTTCACGGTAGCCATGGTGCAGAAGTAATGTGGATTTTTGTACTGATATCCTTCAATCGTCGAGGTTAAAGTACAATCAAGTGTCTACCTGTTATTATCTTTTATATGGTCCGTTGATCGTCTAAGAACTGTATTGTTGGCATAACAGAAACTACTGTTTCTCAGCAGCGTAGCACTCTGATTCGCCCTTTATAGTGCAGGGGGAGATTTTGTCAACTAGCAAAGGGGATTCTATGTACGAGATAGTTCTAATGACTTTCAGGACCTCATAACGCATTAATAGTGATTCATTGTTTGCTAGTGTACAGTTGATCTATCTAGTTACCACCCACGACCCTTCCCATCTCGTATCTAATCCGTAGCGCCCCATCTGTTCATTGAATCATTGAATACAAAGGTCATAATCATTATCCCCACCAAACACCAGTATGAGCATCAATTCCTGTTTTCAATGCAAAGAACCACAAGCCTCACTGAGCAACAAGCCTCACTGAGCATCATCGAGGAAGTATTCATCGAAATCGAAATCAACATCAGTTGTCCAATCATTTTGAGTTGAGTCTTCAGCAGGGGGTTGCGGTGCATTCAGTTGCTGAGGTAATTGCTGAGGCAATGGAGGAATAGGAGCCAGCTGGCTGACTGTAGACATAGAATTTGTAGGTGAATGGCGACGACGACCATAGGACAAGAACTCTCCACCTTGAATACCCATAACAAATTGGTCGCTTTGATTGGCAAGAGCATCATGGAAGGCCGAACTCGTAGTGACTGGAGGAGAAGGGGGCAGTTGCTCACGCTGAGTAGCTGGAGCACTCTCTGTGCTCTCGGGAGACAATCCACTTCCCTCGGCATCGCTTTGGATGAGACCTGAAATGCCATTCTGAGAAAGATGAAGGGAAACTTCGATTCCATCGCCACCTGCGTGTTTCTGAGTAGGAGCTGGTCCATTACGGCGGTTCGTGCAACGACGTTTCTTTTCAGACGGTTTTCTAGGAGCATACTGATAACCTGGATTTTCTTCGGCATGCTTTTTCTTGATTTCTTCAGCAAGTGCCTTGAAGTGTGCTTTCGTCTCAGATGTTTCTGCTTTCCATTTCTTCCCCAAGAGAACAGCTTGTAAAGTCAGTAGAGAGTAGATAAGGTTATATTTTGTTGCTAACTCACAAATGTCATTGTTATGGTACTCAGGATGCGCTGCCTTAATGACAGGGTGATGATGTTGGCGATACAGAATGAAGGCATTTGGCGGGCGAGGGACTTTTGGAGCCTTCACTTGACAAATGATGTCTTGACTGACAAGCTCATTGCCATTTAATGGCTGTGTAGCTATGCTGCGATTATTGGCAGCCAGACTCATTGGCAAAACAGCAGCCCCGATTTGGCGATCAAATGCTGGAGTTGGCATGATGCGATAGACTCTGTTCACGCTGTCCTCGAATGCCACAACTGGCGTGTTCAGTAATTTCCTGTCTATCAGTTAGACACCGAGCTATACATATGAGCTTCAGATTATGACTGGGATCACACACTCTAAACGAGTCTTGATGACTTCGATGCTTGCTCCCCCAACAATGGAGCGAATATCAATTGGGAGAAGAATCTCGTTGTTTGTCTTCTGCAGATGGCTGATAGCATGCTGCCACAGGAGCTCAGTCACAAGCTCAACCGACCCAGATGCTGGCATCGGCATGGTTCCAGAAGTAGTGGCCATGATAATCGACCAGCAGCAATCAGTGCAGCGACAAACAAGGCTGAATATGACAGTTCGATCTGGATATTAAGGCGATATAGTGTATGTAAGAGGCAGATTTGTTGTTGGTAGAAGAGAATGTGAACGAGGAAGAGAGCAAACGAAGAGAAAAGCTCATGCGTTGACGGGCTTGCTTCGAGGGCCTCCAGAATGAGGCAAGTTGATAGTTTCTTTGTTTATCAGTTATCAAGAGGTGAATGAAATTGGAGCGTGGTTGGATACGAAAAATTACCAAACTGGCTGGGGTTGTTACGGGGCTCGTTTAACCATTTACCGTACTGTAATCAAGCTCCACTTAGTTTCATACTATAACTAGTTAACTTAGTTAATCTCACTGCTCCTCTCCTACTTCCTCTGCCAACCACAACATACATCTAAAAGTTCATAAGACAACCCATCAACGACTTGATCCTTGGTACCTTATTGAAATCCGACGGAGGCAAGAGCTTATTGAAAATTCTCATAATGGATACTTTCGAGGCATACGAGACCAACAATCGTGGGATGCATAACGAATTCGCCCGTTATCTCGGTTGCAACCCTTCAGAACCAGAGTCCCCGATGTCAAATACCAGCATGGAGGGCATTACATTTGGGAACGGTGGTAATAATGATCAAGAAGACTCTTTTGGTCATACCCATTTCGAGGTCTTGAACCGACTTCTCGAGTTATACAGGGTCCAGCCGGATGCAAGTGACTTCACTGGCAAATTGCTGAAGTTTTCCGACAAGCTTGAGATTCCCGAGCTGAATGGAGAGATCCTGAGAGAAAATGGGCAGTCAAAGGACCGTCATCGCGAGATCTTCAAGGCCCATGCACAGTTGTTTGAGGACGAAGCAAACTACCGCCTTTGCCAGCACGTCCAGGAGCATGGACCTGCTAGTATCTACTGGAGAGCCTTCCGCGAGTACTTCACTGGGTGAGTCTACTTTCGATCTTGTCTAGCAGAGGCATGTATTTAACTAACAGCTTTCCTGCAGGGAAATAATCAATATGGTTGAGTCGCACTGGCGCCCTGATCCTCGCTGCGCCCAGGTCCGCATTGATGCGCACAGCCTGTCCTACCAGGCTATAAACGAAGTCCCCTTCATGTCTACTGCAGAGAGAAACTTGGTCATCAGAGCTACCGGGAGCTACCCTGAGGACGCTATGTCATTCTGTGAGTTTTCTTCTCCTCAGGTTACATACACTGGACTGGAGCATGGCTGATAGGGATATTATATAGTTACTAGCATGACGAGGAACCGCCTTACATATCTCATGGTAAAGGAGATGTCGGACCTGTTCTTCTTTCGAATCAGAGCTCTGGCTGGACGCGAGATTGACCTCGATATGGAGAGAGAGATGGCCCACATGGCCAACTGGGCTGAACACCAGTAAACTGTGGTGATGGTGTAAGAGGAGATAGTGTACACTGTGAAGGGACATAGGGTCATAAGAATATGAGGAGAAGATGGAAACATGCAAAGGCAAGATGTAAGATAACTAGATGGCTACAGGAACTGATTTCACTTTGCTCTTCATCTATGTTTCAACTATCTCGAGTAACCATCTATCTCTCTGCATATAGATAGGGATGGATAGGGGTGAGGCAGCGAAGTGGGAAGAGTCTCTATGGCAACCTCTCTGAGTCCCCATGGCAACTCACCCATCTCCTAGGATACGCTGCTTTGCAAGTCAGTCTCTATAGCAACTCACCAGCAGCGCATGGAGAGATAGACAAGGCAGATCTATGCTCTGATATCTAGATCAGGACTCAACTTGATGGGACGTAGTAAAAGCAGACCTATCAGCTAGCATGCCATCTTACCGCTGCAAACCTATCTTCTCTCTTTCCCCTTTTGGTGGCATCTCCATCCCTACAATGCCTTCTATCCATGCCCTCTGGCTATGCTGTCTATCCATGTCGTCGCCATGTCAACCCTCCGTTTTGATGACTAATCTTGTCCTGCTCCCTTAGTCAGCAGCCATGCGGGGGCGGGGAGGCCGGAAGGGCGGCCGTTACAAGCGCGATACAAGACGTAACTTACGCCCGCCAGAGTTTTCCCGTCACGCCGTTACCGACGTTACTAGCGCCTCTTTTAGCTTTCTTTCAAGGGGACAAAGTCTTTGTCTGCTTTCCCAAAGCGGAAATGGGGGGGCTGGCGGCAGATTCTTCAGGGAGGCTGGCGGGCGGGGGAAAGAGGGGAAAAGAGGGGGAAGACGGTGCGGAGGCTGGGAGAGAAGCAGCTGGAAAGATCGCGGCGACAGCGAGGGGAGTTGGGGGAAGTTGGGGAAGAAGTCGGGCAGGACATCCTGATAATAGGTGGAATGGAGATAAGGACGGAGTTTTTGGGCCGGGAGATCGACGGGATTAGGTAAGCGGGTGGTCGCTTAACCAGGGGCCACACGGACCAGGAGCCACAGATATTTATAGAACTTAAGCGACGAAGACGGCGAAAAAGTCGACGAAGACGCTGAAGAGAAGCAGAAGAAAACGGGAGAGATGCTAGCCTGGCTTTTATATATATTACTTTACGAGTGGATTCGATGATGAGTGATGTATTTTACCCGGTGCTGTGGTTCTGCTAAGGCAGCCATGGGTCAGGCCTTGTCAGCTGCATGCTGCATCACATCATGCGAGGTGATGGTGACTGCAGGATCGCCCAGCCAATAGACTGACCCTGCTAACCGCCCAACCCTGCCGGTGACAGCGGCCATCGGTGAACAGGAGTTGGCGATGGAGACGGGTTCTAGAACAAGACTCGTCCACGCAGGTGCTGCATCAACCTTGTTCCGTTTGCAGTCGTTGGAAGGCTAATTTGTACGAGGGATTAAAGTTATACAGGACTGACTAGACGGGGGGGTGAAAGTCTAGTGAGTGACAAGATGCGATACAGAGTTCATGGGTCAAGGAGCATGGCATTTTAGCGTAAAATAAGTTTGACATTGCTTCGTTAGGATAAGACAACCACCCGTTTCACAGAGTAGAACAGAAGACTACCGAGTCAAAACATAAAACGCCTGCTCCAGGGATGAAAAAAAAAGGGTGTTTTGTGAATATATTTTTTATTACTTGATTTCTTTTGTTTTTTTACAGCGACTAGATAAACTCTAGTTAGCCATGGCACGGCGGCGGTCACGCTCCTCAGCAATGGTGAGCTAGGTAGATTGGTTAGCACACAGATACCACATGCAAGTAATAAAGAAGGGATAAGAGAACATACCTTGACACCCTTGCCCTTGGGCAAGCTGACCCAGGGCTTCTCCTGGCCGATGACAAAGACGTTGCTCTCACGGGTAGCGAAAGTGTTGTCAATGGCATCCTTGATGTGGACAATGCCGAAACCACCGTCGTGACGCTCACGGTGGGTGATGACACCGACACGACCCATGTTACGACCACCAGTGGCCATGGCAATGACACCAGTGTCGAACTTGACGAAGTCAGTGATCTTGCCAGTGGCAATGTCAATCTTGACAGTGTCGTTGACACGGATGCTTGGGTCTGGGTAGCGGATGCTAGAGATAAGATGTTAGCTCGTAGTCAAAAATAAAAATGGACGAGACAAATGCCATGTTCATAATATATGAACGCCGTTGCCCTTGACAGATCGAAACAGCAAGCAACAGATATTGTTGTTTGTGTCAATCTGACAAGAAATGCCAATGGTATGATATGATGGTATCCCGTCATCCGTCTCGCAAACTTCAACTGCCATCTCCGTTCGCTCCACGCACGACGGGAATCAAACCAAACCTTGGTCCAACGACTGAATGACGCATAAAACAAGAGTGCAAAACTCACGTTCTAGCATCGTGCGTAACCAAGAATGGGATTCCGCCCTTGCCCAGCTGGACACGCTTGACCTTGCCAAGCTTGTACTCGGCCTCCTCGGCCTGGATACGGTGGACGGTGAAACGGCCCTTGGTGTCGTAGATGAGGCGGAAGTTCTCGCCAGTCTTCTCGATGGTGATCACGTCCATGAAGCCAGCAGGGTAGGTTGAGTCGGTGCGGACCTTGCCGTCGACCTTGACCAGGCGCTGCATCAAGATGGAGTTGGTCTCGCGGCCATTGAGGGCGTACTTTAGACTGCTGCGAGTTAGAAATGACCCCGAACAGAAAGCCTGAGGGGAGGGTGAAAGAGGCAACAAACCGGTTACGGAGGAAGACAATGAGGGGCAGACAGTCTCTCAACTTGTGAGGACCGGGGGATGGGCGAGGAGCGTAGGCTCCGGACAATTTGTCCAAGAGCCAGTGCGATGGTGCGCTCAAGCGCTTCTGGTGCTTCTTTCTGTTGTGTCGTTAGCATTTCGTTCGTCTCATTAATTAGTACCATGGAGAGCAGTTTATACGTACGGTCCACGAGCCATTTTGATGTATTTGTCGACGTTGGAGTTGGGCTTGTCGAGAAGTCGTCTGTGTCGCCTGGTCGCTGGAGAAAATGAAAAAACTGTCGATGGAAGTTGAAAATGGGAAGTTGTGGATTCGCTAGCCCTAGCCCTAATTTCCGCTTTGGGTTTGATTATATAATGACATTTTGATTGGTAAGTGAGCTTAGTCATCCGATCCGATTGGTTGTGACCGTCTCAAGGCGAATATTCTTTATCTCCTTTTATCTCCTGCCCCTTGGATCATGTTATAGACGGGACAGAGAGATCAAAAGATGTGGGTGGCCATAAAAGATCTGTAGCAAAACACTGATATTTCCATAATTTTCATGCGATTCATATCTAAATACAGAAAGCCTAACCCAAGCTTTTAGCTTCTAGACAACCTGCCTTGATAATACACGCTATTGAATAACCAGATCAGTTAGCCCCCCTGTAACTAAACGACATAAAACCGACCATATCATGATACTTAATGCCGAAAAAAAATAGATAAAAAGAAAAGTATGAAAAGGTAGGAAGAAGCCGAGAGTTTTCACTTCTTTGATTTCCTTTCATCCTCGCCAGGCACTGCATCGAATATCTTGCCAGGATTCAGCAGCCATAACGGGTCAAGAGATCGCTTGATACTCCGCATGACATTAAGTGTGTCCATGCCTAGCTCCTTAACTAGATATTTCTTCTTTCCTAGGCCAATGCCATGCTCACCCTATGCAATGTTAGTTTTGATACACGGGTTGTAGAGGTTTGAGTCTAACTCACAGTGCAAGATCCATCCATCTCCAAAGCTCTGTCGACCATGTCGTGGACGCATTTTTCGATTCTGGATACTTCCTCGGGATTGTTCCTGTTGTATACTATACCTTCATGGAAATTACCGTCCCCGATGTGACCGACTATACCGGCAAACAAGTCTAGTTCGTCAAGGTCTTTCTTCGAAAGCTCTGCGATAGATACATTAGAGGGTAAGTATATCGGCAAGGAGAAGAGTGAACGTACCAATGATATCAGGAAGTCTAGACAATGGGACAGCAACATCCGTAGACCAGACGTCATCTGAGCCTTCTTTGCGAAGAGCCAGCATGCTCCAGAGGGTTTGCTTTCTGGCAGACCACAGCTCATGGCCCTCCTGGTCTGTCCTTGCAAACTCAAATGACGTGCTATTATGGTCTCTTGCAATTGACTTCGTCCGGCTAATCGAGTCAGCTACCCCATTGCGGGTGCCGGAGAACTTGAAGAAGAGAGTCGTCGCAGGCTTCCAAGTTCTGTTTGTCCCGCCAGCTCTGTTGATAATATCCATATGGACATCATCCAGTATCTCGACGCACTGCACCTGCACGCCCGAACGTATCACCGCCATGGCAACGTTGGCTGCATCTCTTATAGATGGAAACGTAGCAATTCCCACTCGAGTTTCCTCTGGAATGACGGCTAACTTGAGCGTGGCTTCAGTGACTAGCCCGAGCGTGCCCTCTGACCCAACGAATATGCCGGCAAGGTTATACCCTGCCGAGCTTTTCCGAGGCCGGTTGCGTGTCTTGATCACTCGACCGTCGGCTAGCACGACAGTCAAGTTTATAACCCAGTCTTTCATAGTTCCGTATCTAACAGCGTTTGTACCGCTGCAATTGGTACCAATCATACCTCCGATCTTAGCTGACGGGCCCGGATCAATGGGGAAGAACAGACCGGAATGTTTGATCTGTTCGTTAAGTTCCATCCATTGAATCGAAGGCTGCACCACAACGTCAAGATCATCGGAGTGTAGTTTGATTATCTTATCCATATGAGCGAAGTCGATGCTCATGCCACCGAAGGGAGCCGAAAAGTTTCCCTCGAGACTCGACCCGCCGGAGTAGGGAACCATAGGCACCTTGAACTTGTAGCATACTTGAGCTATCTTGGAGACATCGGCGGTTGATTTGGGATAGGCCACGGCAACTGGTAGCTGGTCACAATTGACCGTTGACCATTCAGAGTATCCGTGTAGCCGTAGGTCCTCGTCGTCGGTGCTAATGGCGTCTTCACCTAGCACTTCCCGCAATTCTACTATTGCCTTATCAAGTTGAAAAGGTCAGCCATTGGTGTAAAAAGAACACATATCGAGAGAGGATGGAAGAGTATTAACCCGTTCAAAGTCCTTTATCGAGCCGTAGACAGGTGAAACCTCATGTTTGTAGCTCAACAAGCCGAGAGAGGCAGAACCGGAGTTATAAACACCGAGTGCATACCCGGCACCGATAGCAACAGCCAGAGCACCGACGACCTGGCCTGTCTTCCACGATAAGCCTGGTGACACTTCAGCTCCTCGTCCAGCTGCGGTGCTAGTCCAACAACGCACTATGTTCTGCCCATGGTGTTGGTGCTGCTGTCTTATCGCCCTCAGCCCGCGCGGAATCGCCCTAGCAGAGAGCCGAGGCGCGAAGTTCATAATGGATTTAATATCAGTCTGAAGCCCGGTTTGATAACGTCCGGATGCATGAAGAGCAGCCTTGCGTATTATAGCTTTTCGTGTAGAGTTCTTTCCAGCCTGTCTGCGGTTAGTCCGTCAGTTTCCCGTCGTTATAACACAGCCAGAGACAACACTCGGGCCCTCTGTTGGTTCCATCACCGGTTATCTCGGCGGCACCAAAGATGCCGACCCTTGCGCTTGGACCGGGGGTAAGCCGGCCGAGTTTGATGCCAAGACGTCCAAGCTCGGAACTTAAATAATATGCTTAAAAACATGTTTATGCTAATAATATTGATGACGTTGATGTCTATATGATGTAAAATAAATATACTGCATACGGTAGCCAAATGGGGAGCGTGAAGCAAGCAGTTTTATATAGGGATATCCAAAAAAGCAAGACAACAGGATATAGTGCGAGACATGGAACAAGATTCGTTAAAACACCCCCGAGACCAAGCCGAAGTACATGATAGAAACAAAGAAATAAAAGGCAGATAGGAAGAATATTACTCCACAAAGCCCTTAGTGACGCTGGGCGCTGAAGAGTTTTTGGCAGAAGCAGTCCTGGTCTCGATGTTGAGTAGAGTGCTCTCGACAGCAGCCTGAATATCAATGTGGAAGAAAGGACGGTTGATGCTGTGTACATTTCCGACCCGCCGGGGTAGGGGGTGCGAGGAAGAATTGATCGGGGTGGTTATAACCTGAGTGTGGGCCTTCTCATCCTCGTACTCACCGTCTTCGGAGGATGGTGCCTGGCCAATTTCCAGGTCATCTGAGGGAGCAGTGGGGTTAGACGATGCGTTGGCTCGATGAGATGTACCAGGCTTGTCATTTACGACTTCCTCAGCTCCCACAGCAGCAACACTGAAGATAGGTCGCCAGTTCCCGAGAAGCTCGGGAGACTTGGGAGACGGGTAGCCAAAGCCAGCGGAGGCAAGGGCGCGTTTGGTCCAGCGGTTGGAGATGCAAGCGAAGTGCCATTCTACTATCTCTGGAGCAGCATAGCGGTCGAGCTGGTTACGGACGTCGATTAGGCCCTGGATGGAGGACACGTCGACGTGATTAACGGAGGAGAAATCTAGAATAATGGCCCGGAGAATGGGGCGGGCGTCGTGAACATTAACAACTTCACCACGTCCTGGGCCGGGGTCGTTCCATGGTCGATCCTATTCGAGTTGTTAATTAAGACAGTGATTAAAGGTGAGTGGGAAGGTAGAACATACCCCGAGCTTAGCGAAGGTGTCGAGCTGGGTGCGTCTGGTAACCTTGAAGATGTATTCTGTCAGGTGGTGCAGGTAGCGACCTTCATTAGGATAAGTGAAGCCTTCATTGAACCGGTAGATGAAGACACCTGGATGAGGAGATTGGGCCTCAATCAGAGGGTTCGAGCCGTCCTGGTGTTCGACTGGGAGGAAAGCCTCCCGAGAGTTCAACTTGGCATCTTCACCGAACCTGTCATTCTTCTTTAGGCTGTCGTCCTTGGTGACTCGATAGACCTTGACCTGGCCGAGGAAAGTTCCCTTCGCTTTGGCAATGCGATAGATCAGTAGAGCAGCGGAGGCAGCGATGGTGAGGTAAATGCCATTCTCAATCTCGGTAAAGATGGTGAGCAGCACACCTCCGAAGAAGATAAATACTTCGAGCGGCGAGACTTCCCAGAACTGGTAGACGACGTTGGGGGGCGTGATCAAGTCACCAACAGCGTGGATAATGAGGCCAGATAAACTAGCAAGAGGAATGTAGAAGAAGACAGAGGTAAGGGCATAGAGAGCTAGAAGAACAATAACGGCAGTGAAAATACCAGCAAGAGGAGTGCGGACACCAGCCTTCGATTTAATAGCCGTTCGGGAGAAGGATCCAGTGGCAGGATAGGCACCCAAGAAAGGGCCGAATAGGTTTGTAAAACCTATAGCGACGAGTTCCTGGGATGGGTTGATGACATAGTTGTTGATTCTGCCAAATGACTTGGAGATGGCGATGTGCTCGATGATGAGTACGATGATTGTTGCTGGTAGATCGGGGGCAAAGGCTTTCACTAATCTTGCCTCAATCTCAGGGACACCAGCATGTTGGAAACCTATTCAGTCAGTATATGATTACTACAAAATGTATTAAGATGAGACACACCTTTCGGAACAGGCCCGAGAATCTTGAACTTAGCCTTCTTGTAATCCTTGACATGTCTGTTGACGAGCCAGCTGATCATGGTATAGAGCAAGATGACAAAGGTCATTCTCAGGGTAGAGATGAAGAACCACATCTTGCGTCTATTGGGTTGTCTCTGGGACATATAGTTGCAGAAGAAGCGAATGACATAGAGAACAACGAGAGCGCTCAGGCCCATGGCTGCATCAAGTCTGGTATGGCCCAAATTCTTGAGGACATTGATGAAGACCTTGTACGTTGACTCCCTGTTGTTGACCTCCTTGAGGCCCATCATGGCCGGAATCTGGCCGACACCAATAGAGATGGCGGCACCAGTCATGAAGGAGGTGATGGCAACCAAGGGGATAAACTCGACTATCCAGCCAAGTCTGGTAAGGCCAATGAAGAGCAAGAATCCACCGGCAATGAGGGAGAGGGCTCTGGCAATAGTAGGAGCTGAAATATCAGGCTCCTTCGCCTGGACCTTGGTGACGATGTTGCCGACGATGGTAGACATGACTGCGACGGTCTGGAGTCATGTTAGTTTTTGTTCTGCAATTGATGAACTGGCTCAATCGAGGTGGTTGGGGGTGCGTCTACTTACTCCTATCGTGATATCCTTTGAGGTGGCGAAGGCCCAGTAGAGGATGAAACCGACGAAAGAGGTGTATAGTCCATATTCAGGGGGGAGTCTGGCAAGAAGGGCATAAGCCATGCCCTGAGGCACGACAACAAAGCCGACAGTGACACCTACACCATTAGTATGCCTGAGTGTAGATAGTTCAAAGGAACGGGAGAAAACGGCTTACCGGCGATGATATCGCCCATGAGCCATTGAGTGTTATAGTGGAAGATCCAGTTCCAGAAGGGAAAGAGAGAGTTGAAGTAGTCGACTGTGCCCTTCACCGTAGGCGAATGGTCCCTCAACCACTCCTTTGCCGATGGCTCATCTTCGTCGAAATGCTCCAGCGACCGTATGGACTCGGCAGCTGTGCGCATCGACTCCCGGGGCTCCTTTCTATAGTCAACATCGATCCCCACGGCCTTTGCCAGGGTCCGGCCGAGCTTGCTGGCAGACATGATGACTATATGCTTCTGGATCCGCTGTCCACTGCTACTGCTAGACAGATGGACTCTGGCTGATGGAGAAACACTGCCAGGTGAGGTAACTCTGGCGGTATTTATATCTATACCAGCGGACTATATCTCGCAGCGGGAAACGAGACAGTCGGTTGAGTCGAAACCCTTGGCGAAAGAGCTGTCCATGTGGTAGAAGCCGTATCAAACCACGCGCTACCGGGGAGACGGGAAAGCAAAGGACAAAAGAAAACGTGCTGGCGTTCTGATTCCATATATTTTTTTTTTCCCGCCTCTATAGTTATGGGTGTCTATCTCAGCCGGTTTGTAGTATGTAAGAGATGAAACCCCTGTAGCGTCATACATGGCCGCCCTGTCGTCAGCTGCAACTTGGCAAGCGCGAGAAGCCTCCTGGCGCAAACGCTAAACGAGTGCAAAACCTTGAGTTCAGACCATCGATCTTCGCTCGGGGAGCTTCCACAATATTTCCGAGTCCGTATATAGACACGTACAGGCGTCCATCGTCCAAAAAGACGCCGTGCTGAAGGGGCGGTGTTGCTTTTTCTGCTCCAGCTGTATGGGCATTCCTCGTGGACGTGGTAAACTATTCTTGCGGACTGCCATGTGGAGAGAACCCGAACCTGTCTTCCTTCCCGCCGAAGCAGAGCATGCAAAGCTGGCTGGAAAGGCCAGGATCCTTCGACAGGGGCAGCAGTCGGGACTCAGTCTGGAGCAACATCTCGACTCCCAAAACATTGTGTGCCCGGCGTCTTAGCACACCAAGCTGCTGTATACCCTCCGTCCTAAAGCGCCCAAAGGCCCGCCAGGGCAACCATCTCACGTTCGAAATACGCCACTAGGGAGAAGAAGAAGCCTTGGAAATCTTAAACGAGACGCCTTGGAAACTCTTGTTGAGGTTTGCCTTTCTTCTGTCTGGTCTACTTGATTTGTGTGGCTGCGGATGTCGTGATTCTGATTGAGCTGTGGTGGGCCATAGAGTTGGCCAAGTGTTCCTTATCTTTGGCCACTGTAACGATGCAAAATATCTCATGCCGGCAGCGGCAGCCTTAGCAGCTCTTAGTATAGTTAAGTAGCCTAGGTACTCTGTATACGGAGTCACTAGCAGTGCAGCAGTGCAGCAGAGCAGCTAGTTAGACGACCGCTACTGCGTGGACCCCTGCTGGCCGTCTCGGGGGAAGGTCGGAATGCCTCCTCCTCGCTTTTTATAGACACAGGAGGCAAGGACACGGAACGGCTGAAGATCGCAATGACTGGCCCTCTCTAGTCCTTGGCTGCAACACAAGCTTAAAGAAGAGTAAATAAACCCTTCTGTCCAAGTGGATGGGCTCCGTACGTACCCAATATGTCGAGAAGTATCGCGGAGAGGAGACTAGGAGAGCCACACGGTGGTTCGAGACACGGGGAAACGCCCACAACTGTATACTCCGTATGTTTCCACGATATGGACCGCCTGGAGAATAATATGTATAACCGCCATCCCGCCGCCAGAAGCTCAAACAGCGGTGGAACAGCGTTCCTCGTCTTGGACTGTAGCACATCTCCCATCAGAGTCTGAGGAATGCCCCAAGAGCCGGCCAAGAAAGACTCTTAGATTAATCCTGCGTCCACCGCTCTCAACGCCCTTCTTCCTCGTCTCGTCTTAGCATCTTCCTCCGTCTTCTTATTATTAGTTATCGTGATCATCGTCGACAAGTCACACGGCGTTGCCGGTCTCTCTCTTTCTGCCTCTCCTCCCCTTCTTGTTCCTTTTTCTTCCTGTGGTATTTTTGGTATACGATGGCATGAAGCTTCATCCCTGGCGCAAACCCAACCCGAGACCCCGGGGCGAGTCCGAACATACAGTTTTGAATCCTGCCACAGACGGGGCTCCATGTCTGCATAGCAGACCCCAGAAAATTCCCGCTTGGCCGTTAGACGCTAGGAAATTAGCTACCTAGGCCTTTTCTCAGTGGCTTGACTTCAGCATTTTTGGCTCGCGCGGCTTGACTAGCGGACGGCGCTCGCGAAGCCTTCAGGCCGTCCAAGGCGCTGCCCAGCATCGGCGCAGCTGGCAGAGACACTCACGGCATCGGGAATCGGTAGACATGGATCTGCTCCTCGTCTCCGTTCTCCGTTCTCAGATCTCGGGACGCTTTCGGGACAGACAGAGAGGTTTGGGCAGTCCTGTTTGTCTTCCCCGGCTTTGGCGTCGTTCTGGCTGTCCCGTTCGATCTTGCATCCTTGCTGTGTGGGACACGAACGGAAGCGATAGTCTGATGCAAGGCTCTTCTCCACTGCCATGCCTAGCGGGCTGGAGAGTGATGGTGGGCAACCGATCGCGATGTTTTGCGTGGTGACCGTTAGCTGCTCGATGTTGAAAGCGCCGGACGACGTTGAAATAATATATATCTCCATCTCGTCGTTTCTTTTGGCTAAACAGGGGGTTTAGACGCGGTGCATGGTCATCTCGGACGATAAGCTGTAGCTATACGGGCTGCTCTCCCGGCCGAACCAGGGCATCTTTTCTACGCACATCTAGATGTTCAACGTCGTTGTTGTCGCTGTAGTTAGATGTTTTGTATAGCATTTTTTAGTGCATGGCACTGGATCTCCATCTTCAGGCGGAAGAGAGATGGATGCACCCTTTACCGTCCCCCCCCCCCCCCCCCCCCCCCCACTGGGGCCTTGCTTGGCCTCTTGTTAGGCTTCTAAAGCAGAGGCGAACAAGATTATGGCTTAAGGCCCCTTTTTGCTTGGGCTTGTTTGCTTTTTCATGGCTTGCGAGGCTGATTGTCTGCTGAAGAATTGCTATGCGAGACTGCAGATGCTTGAATACTGAACACACTTTGATTGGATTAAATATTACACTGCAGACACACGATCAGATCCTCAAGTAATCCTTACATACCTTTTTATATGTATGGTCATCCGTTAACTTAGAAGAATCGATGCGCGATCCGCTTTAGGAAAGATGACTGCTTGATCCGGTCTATCTCGCGGTTGTGCTCCTCCCAGTCAATCTCACGGCGGCCAGTGTCGACGTCGATGTCCTCGATTTTTGTCCAGCCCTGTCGCTTCCAGAGCCAGCCGCACAACCAGAAGAAGAGCACTACGGGAAGAGCGAGATAGGCCTTGAAGAAGCCTTCAGCCGATGCCTCACCCTTGAGCGGGGATACTGCGATGTAGAACTATTACCAGGGGTCAGACCATTTCCATCCACACATATTGAAGTCAAAAAAAAGGAACAGGAAAAAGCATAACATACCTGGGCAATGAAGACAATGAAGATGATGAATAGGCCGACCCACGATCCATATACTCCAAAACAGGCCTTGAAGGGAATCTCGTCAAGAGACCGGCCTCGAAGTGTCCATGCGGCTCGGAAGCGAATGTGCGAATAACATATCTACACCAGTCAGCCTAGCAGCTCTTTTGAACAGAAAAAGTGATTCAGAGCACTAGAATGGGGGGACGAGGTTAGTCAACTCACGCTTCCCCAGGTGAACAGGGCAGTCAAGCCAGATAGAGCTTGCAACCAATCAAATATGACTGGCCCCTTCCCAGAAACATTCACGTACGCCAGCCCGCCAAAGACAATGACCAATATGGTGGAGAAAAGCGGCCTGCCCGCTTTGTCGACGTATGAGAATATACGGGGTGCATACCCGTGCTCGGAGATGGCTGTCAAGGTTCGAGATCCGGCATACACAGCAGAGTTTCCAATGGAGAGGACTGAGATAAGGATGATGACGTTAATGAAACTGTCGAAGCCGTACAGCCCTGCATCCTTAGCAGCAATCACAAATGGAGAGGCATTAGAATCCGAGTAGGTGTTGGCGCCAAGTAGCCGTTTATCGTCGCTCCGCACCAACAGGCCAACGAAGAAGAGGCCGAGGATATAGAACAGGATGATTCGCCAGAAGACTTGCTTGATGGCGGACGGGAGAGATCGGAGAGGCGTTCTACTTTCCGCTGCTGCCAGCCCAACTAGCTCCGTGCCAAAGAAGGCAAAGGCAGCCGTCACAAATACGGAACAAAATCCTATTCATCAGTCAGTATCTAGCCTCAACATGTTTGGGGCATAGTCTGTCTCTTGTAGAATTCAGACATGAGCACATTTTATTGTCTGGCAGTGAAAGAACGACATACCCTTGAAGCCGTTGCGGAAGGCCCCTGGATCATACCAAAGTCTTGCACCCCAGTACTGCCCGTAGAGGCCGTCCTTTGGGCCGCCTCCACACGCGAGCACAATGGCGGTTATCATGAAGATGACAATGGCGGTGAGTTTGATCGCACTGGCCCAGAATTCCTCCTCTCCGTATCCGAGCACCCCAAAGATATTGATGATCACAATGGCGATCAAGAAAACTGTTATCCATACCGCGACACTGACATCTACTTTCCAGTACGTTATCGTGAGGGAGGTCACGGTTAGTTCTAGCGGCAGGACCACAAGCCATTGAAACACATAGTTCCAGCCCATCGCAAATCCCCACGCTGGAGAAATGAAGCGGGCAGAGTAAGTATAGAATCCACCAGAGACCGGGAAGAGAATGGCTAGTTCGCCCAACGCATGCACGACATTGAACATCATCTATTTATATCCATGTTAGCTTTCTCCTGAAACCCTGGGGCTCTTACTTAACTACAGACTACATACCACGCCGATGATTGCAAAGTCGAGGACCAACGACGCAGGACCACCCTTTGCCAGCGCAGAGCCTGAACCGACAAATAGACCTGCACCTATGCTTCCGCCGATTGCGATCATATGCAGATGTCGCGACTTGAGAGTCTGGTTGAGCTGATTTCCACCGGTCAATCGCCGTCTCTTGAACGACTCCGGTGTGCATCCCAAACGAGTCCAGAAACCAAGCTCTTCGCCTTTCTCTTCCAACGCCATGTCAGAGCCAGAGGAAGCAAATTTTTGCACCCCCGGGCTCGAATCCTCCATGGAAACGCCTTCAACCTTTTCTGTGGCCATGCTGGATGTGTAGGGGTCAAATGGCCAACCTGGCTAATAGATATCCAGCAGCTGCTCGACGATCAACGGGTAACTCGTCTTGGGAAGCCACAACGTGAGCTTTTTCAAGAGGAAAAGGGGGAAAAGCTCTGGAAGAATAATTGAATCCCTAGAAGTGTGGGGAGGGGAACCAGAGCCCTTTTAAATTCGCCTCTGCGCCCTTGACTCTGTACCCGCACCGGACAAGCGCACACGAGGAATATGGGGAAATTGGACGTACACTCGGCTAAAGTCAGGTCCAAACCCCAGAAATGAACTGAAACGATCTCGGCCTTATCATGCAATTATATGAATTAGTTCGTGTGTGGGGATGGGAGGATTCTGGGCACTGTTTGCCATCCCTTCTCTTCTCTTGCGCAGAATGCAGAAAGACATTCGCGTAACTACGTCACTGGGTGCTGATTCTTGGTACCTGGTTCGGGGGAATGCTACTCGTTTAGATTTCGTCTGCCACCCAGACGCCCATTATTTCTAATTTGTGTATTCCAGCATCGTGGAACTGCGTCTCTCTTCTCCAGGTAAAAAGCATCTGGCCGGCGATATCTTCTCGGCGCCTTGAAAATTGATCAACAATAAGTTGAACCTGCGGGCGAAGTTGAGATAACTAGTTAGGGAAAAAAACTCTATTTTTCTTCTAGAAAACTTTAAAGTTCCTCGGGTATTTTTCGACGACCTTTTCCTTTTTGGGAAGATCCTTGATGTCTTCTCTGCTTCGAATTGTTGATATTTCATTCGCAATGTCGACATCTGGAGAACATCAGAGTGTTCACCGGTTATTTGCTTTAGGACGAGGTTGTATTCACCGAAGATGTGGCTCTAGCCTGTGAAAATGCGATTTCTTGGTGGGTGTTCGGACTTGCTCACACGGCTGATGTCCGTACGGAGTTCACTTGATAGTTAGTATGGTCGGACAACCGGGTCATGGTTGGACAACCGAGAAAAGCAATTCCAACGGCCCTCCCATGAACGACTTCGCAGCAGGCTGTAACATGCCATCACAATAAATAATGGCCGCTCCGTATTGGTCTGCAGCCGAAGTTGAAGATGTGAACATCATACGAGTCATCCTTTGCTCTCTTCAAGGGGCTAATGCCGGCTATCTCGAAGGGCGGAAAGCTGCTCCACTTGCCAAGGTGGGATTTGACGATGGATGACAGAATGCAAGACTGGCTCACATTTCCAGTTGTATTATTACTTTTAACAGGTGGCACTCTATTTGTAGTTTGGCAGGTCGTGCCCAAAGGTGCCACAATAACAGGAAAAAGGTCGATAGGTTGGTTAACAAGCTGGTAAGTTAAAGGATTGCCTTATGCGGATACTTCCGCTCCCCATGGAGAATCTCCAGTTAGAACTCTTGTATGTAGCTCTACCATGAGGAATCATTTATTCACTTCGGAGAAATAGAGGACCTCCCCTGCCCTCTTGGTACGGCCAAGTGCCTGATGGCAAGAGGCCACGAGCCGTAGTTCTCGGGCTTTCTTGGAACCGCCTGTAGAATAGCAAGTTGGTGAGTCATGGAAGCCAGCGGTGTGAAAGACGGAAGTATTTAAAACCTAGTAGTTTTCTCCAAAATGAGTCCGTATTCACCGCGTTTACTTTGTGTAGGATGGCAGAGCTGGTACAAACCATGTCCTCCACATGGCCCAGGCCTGCACAGTGCATGCTAGTAGCCGCCTCTCACACGGTGACTTGGGAGGACAAGCCACACGGATGTCGTTCCTTTGATGTCAACCAATCCGGGTCTTTCATCCCGGCCATCAACAAAACAGCAATAATGATCGACCTCATCACCGAAGTAATGGCGGTATCACCAGCGACGCATTCCTCCTCCCTTCAATTAGTTAGTTATACCCTTCAGTGTTTCTTCATCGTTTGATACATGTCGAGCTGCCATCTTGGTTTCATCCTGGTGAAGAATCCTTGCCCTAAGATCGACTGGCGTCTTGGCAACATAGGCCCCCTTAACTCACGTTTGCCACAAAGGGCGGGTTTTTCACTTCTCGCTGTGTCTTTCGCGATGGTTGCGATGAAACAGCAAACAGCATGAGGATAACCGCGTCCTTTGTCTCTCTTAGATTCTTTTTTTAATCCGGTCGGCTCTGCAGAGCTTTATTCTTATTTTCCGCCCGTCTGCTGCTGGAAAAAATTATACCACGGTACTTTCCGCGCAGTAGCTTTGATACCGCGAATGGGCAAAAGTTTCCGTGGATTTGATATGATGAAGTGTGTCTGGCTGCTGAAATATAATAAATCCCCTTGAGTTTTGCTCTGCTTGATATGATGGCTGGTGAACTTGTGTCTTTTTCCTTCGGGCAGGTTACATTTTAATAAAGCTATCGCCGGCACTGAGACTCGCCTTTTCAGCCAAAACCGGCTGGGAAAGGTTGCTGTTATAGTATAAATATTGAGCTGAATCGAAGGATCTTTGTCTTGGACTGGAGCCAACCTCAACAAAGGCTTAGCAGGCGTGTAAGAGGGCTGCCTTCACTTGCCTGGCAGAGAGAGACAAGCATATAAAATATCTGCAGTGCTTCGTCGTCCTGTTTCCATTCAATCAATTTTATACACAGTGCCCGAGCTGTATCAGGGGACTCAGCTAGCGGTCATATGGACTCCGCGCAGAGCTTCACTCACTGAGACCGAGGTGATAGTCCCCAAGCAAGATGGGCACCGATACTGTAAGGCGTTTCTTTCTTTATTTTTCTTTTCACCCTTTTTTCTGTTGCATTGATATATATTCTCAAATATATATCTGAATGTTTGTCAGTTGTTTGGCTTAAGCAAAGTGCCAAAATAACTGAACTGCTCACCTTCTGTTCCTATCCGCTTCCTGCGCGGTCTATTCTCTCCATCTATCTACTCATAGCCCATTACTCGCCTGGCTAATATCAACTCTCTGTAATACTGTAGCTTTCTGGAGCGGTGGCGCCCGTGTCAGGGCCAACTGATATCCAGGTGAAGAAGACATCCTCAAAGCCGCCTAAGATCAAGGCGAAGAAGGACATCAAGCTTAAGACACCTTCAAAGGCTCCGCTGAAGACAGACATAGGCCCCTCGAAGGCTACCAAGGCAGTCAAAGTGGGAATGTTGAAGACAGCAAGCAAGGAGAAGGAGAAGAAGCAGGCAAAGTTATCTATAACAACAGCAACGTCTCCACCTTTAGCCTCAACCTCAACCTCAGCCTCCGCAACAACACCACAATCTCTACAGAACACCAACAACGACGCCCACCAGCCGAAACCAGGCTCGTCAGACCTGCTGGATAAACAGGCCAAAGCAGTTCAGGCTCGTCTAAAAATGAACCATTACGCCAACCGAGCAAGGTGAGCTGGTTCTATGGCATCTCTGCTGATATCAAACAAAGCACGTCACCTTCTGCTCATTCACTCGCTAACCACCTTTCACTCCCTAGACATCCACCAGCTGGTCGAGGAGGTCCGATGCATTATCTAGGCCCCAATGGACGCGTTCCTGGTGCTTTGCCTCCTGGAATCTACACTCAGAGCCCGCATAAGCCATACCCAACCATGCTGGAACGCGTCAAGCCCTCTCATCTAGCTCCCCACTGGATCTCGTGGGAGTCTCTGGCGGTGACGGTATCAAATTTTCCCCCTAATGTGAATACTTATACCCTTTGGAAGTCGTTCAGTGCTTGTGGGACAGTAGACTTCATCGAGTTATTCGAAGATGTCAGAGGCAAGAGAGAGGGAAGGGGCCGGATTCGGTTTAGGTTAGTAAAAGGCGATTGTGACCAATTTCATTGACTAAACTAACATTGGGAAGACCGCCGCCGAAAGAATCCTTCTGGTTAGATGGACGGCATGTATTAGAACTTGAAGATGGCCAGCGTATCATCATTTCAGTCCGTGTGGATACATTCAGACGCAGAAAGGAGGTCCCTAGTCCAGTGGACCCAAAAATTATGTATCCTCTGTCTCTTGTAGGTGACCTATTTCTTTCCCTGCTCACCCAATGGCACAATGCTAACTGACAATCAAAAGGAAGCTGTGGGTAGATCACTCGACATTGGTTGTCTTTCCGGAGAGAAATCCATGATTATCATGAGAACCATTACTGCTAGCTTCCAGGAATATATCCGTTTTGTTGCTGACTTGCACCGCCGGGAGATCAATATTTTCTTCCAAATGGTAAAAACGGAAACACGATTGCCTCCTGCAATACCCCATACAGTCCATAGCTACCGCATTCGCATCCCCTTTGTTCATCTCTCGCGTATCAACCGCATATCAGAGAATGATGAGCTTTCTTTCATCTTCTCGCTGGACTCTCCGCCTTCATATCACCGGAAATTGCAAGACCTGTCGAACACCTTTTCGGAAGCTGATAACATATGGCGTTCGGATGACACCTGGTACCGTCAAACTGACATTGTTCATAATCCGTTAGACTTAGTTCATTCCAAGACTAGTCTTAAGAAGGCCCACCCTGTGATCAACATAGGTTCGTATTAAAGTGGTATCTGATTAATAGTGATTGATACCCTTGCTAATAAATGTGCAATCAGGACGTTGGACAACCTTTCGAGTCACCTTCCACTTGCCTGATGCAGATAACACCCAAAGCCTTGATACGCTTACAAAGATTCTAAAGGATTTCAATGTCGAAATCCAGAATATCAATAGCTTCACGTTGAAGAGACATCCTCCCACAACAGACTTGGCATGGAGATGGATTGACCCACCTTCTACTCATGCTTCTAAACGCACATCATCCCTTGAGGATCTTGCAGAGAACGAGTACACACATATCTCCTATGCTGTGCGATATCAACTCGAAGTGTGCATTTCTCATGGGTTTCTAAGTGAATACACAATTGACAAGGATTTTGCCAAGAAGCTTGAATCTCTTGGGGAGCGTGATGGTAAGGATTTACTGGAATATGTTGCCCAAGAAAAGACCGTATATCATGACCCGATGGAGATCTTTAACATTCAGTTCTTCTCTGGTGTAACAAATCGGAGGATCCCAAAGTACTGCTGTTACATGCGCTCGGCAACTGTTACTCCCTCCACGATCTACTTCAATACCCCTACGGTTGATACCTCCAATCGGGTGATAAGACATTATATTGAATACGCAGACAGATTTCTTCGCGTCCGGTTCACTGATGAAAAGTATGAAGGAAGAATAAATTCAACCTACAACAACTGCATGGATGAGGTGTTTACTCGCGTGAAGCGGACCATGACCAATGGAATTACCGTAGGAGATAGACACTACGAATTCCTTGCATTTGGCAACTCGCAATTCCGAGAACATGGAGCATACTTTTTCGCATCTCTGCCTAATCTTACAGCTGCAAACATTCGTGCATGGATGGGTCATTTCAGTGACATCAAAATTGTTGCAAAGCATGCCGCTCGATTGGGTCAATGTTTTTCAACCACCAGAGCTGTCACTGGCTGTCCAGTAACCGTCAGAGAAATCGATGAGGTCGAGCGCAACGGATACATATTTTCTGATGGAGTTGGCCGGATCTCTAAATTCCTCGCACAAATGATTATGACCGAGTTTAAACTACAAACTCCTTCAGAAGAACCTCCATCTGTCTTCCAGTTCCGGCTTGGTGGCTGTAAAGGAATTCTGACCGTCTCACCCGAGGCTCAGCGCCGAGAAGTTCACATCAGGAAGAGTCAATACAAATTTGCAGCAATTCACAATGGCCTTGAGATTATCAGATGGTCTCAGTTTGCGGCGGCGCATCTTAATCGCCAGCTCATTGTGGTATTATCAGCCTTAGGTGTCAGTGATAATATTTTCATCGAGAAGTTGCGCTTGATGCTCGAGGATTTGGAGCAGGCGATGACAAGTGAGACGAAGGCGATGTCCATGCTTCAAAAGCGTGTTGATCCAAACCAAATGACGCTTCTACTCGCTCAAATGGTCCACGATGGATTTCAGGGCAGCTGCGATCCATTTGTTAAATCATTACTGGAGTTGTGGCGCGCATGGCAAATCAAATATCTGAAGGAGAAGGCAAAGGTTTTTATCGATCAAGGAGCCTGCTTGTTTGGCTGTCTGGATGAGACGGCGACGTTGAAAGGTTACTATGAGAAAAAGCGACCTTCGATCGAAGCCACTTACGAGGAAAGACTAGAATACCTTCCTGAAATTTTTGTTCAGGTGTTCGACAATGAAGAGGAGAAGAAGTACCGGGTAATTGAAGGCCCTTGTATTCTGGCGAGGAACCCTTCATTGCATCCTGGAGATATCCGTGTGGTGAGAGCTGTCAATGTTCCAGCACTTCATCACCTGAAGGACGTCATTGTCTTCCCCCAAACTGGGGATCGAGATGTTCCAAGTACATGCTCTGGAGGCGATCTAGACGGCGATGACTACATTGTCATCTGGGATCAAGATCTCGTCCCACTTCCCAAAGATTGGTTTCGTGAGCCAATGGACTATACCGCTTCGAACGCCCAAAGCCTCACTCGTGATGTTACTGTAAATGACATTACGTCGTTCTTCGTTACTTATATGAAGAACGATCGCCTTCCTCAAATAGCACATGCCCATCTTGCCTTTGCAGATTATCTAGAGGACGGAGTGAATGATGAGAGATGCATTCAACTAGCCCAGCTTCACTCTGCAGCCGTTGACTACAACAAAAGCGGCATACCGGCCAACATGACAAGAGACTTGGTTCCAAGAAAATGGCCACACTTTATGGAGAAAAAGTACAAGCCGAAAGAAGCGCAGTATCAATCCAAGAAAATACTCGGTCAAATATATGATATTGTTGAGCGCGTTGAGTTTCGACCGAAGCTTGAAGCCCCTTTCGACGAACGTATCCTTAACTGCGATATTTCTGTCAGCGAGGAGATGGTACTGGCTGCAAAGAAATTGAAAGGTCTGTATGATGCTGACATGCGGAGAATCATGGCTCAGCATGAAATCAAAACTGAGTTTGAGGTTTGGTCGACCTTTGTCTTAGGTCATGCGAACATGAGCAAGGACTATAAATTCCACGAAGAGCTGGGCCAGATATCATCTGCTCTGCGTGAAAGATTCTTGTCAATGTGTCAAGATGAGGCTGGTGGAAGAGATTTCCAGCATCTTGCACCATTGGCTGTCGCAATGTATAGAGTGACAGCTCAAGATGTAGCAGAGGCTTTGGGCAAAGAAGACTCCTCCAAGGGACACGATATCGGTAATGCGATTAAGAAGGAATATAAGCACCTCAGAAATGACCAGATACCTCTCATTAGTTTCCCCTGGGTACTCCAGCCCGTTCTTGGAAAAATTGCCAATCGGCACTTTGATGACACAGGAATTATAGAGGGTGCAGGCAAACTTGCAACGTGGTCTTCAGTTGCCTATGAACAATCGAGAATTCGTCGAATCAATGGCATTAGGGGTATTAATGATGCTCCTCGCGACGTTGAGACAGCTGGAGGTATCCAGCATGCAGGAGAAGTGCTTGAACTCTTCCAGGAAGACTTGGGCTTTGATCCCTTCGATGGGCTTGGAGACGCCTTTGACCAACTGGCCTGCCATCCGAATGAAGACGACAAACCCGCCGTTGACCAAGATTCCCGCTCCAAGGCCAAGTGTGCTATTCCACTATTGGACACGGAGCAATCTGATAGCCTAATTGAGGTTGATGACGATATATTCACACCCATTACCCCATGCACAATTGACTCAAGCCGACGCGGGTCAGTTCCAATTGAGGAGCAATCAAGCTTGCTCGATATCAGCAACGAGAACATTGAAACCGAAACTCGGAAAAACGACAACACAGAAACAAAGCGCCCCGTTGCACATTCACAGCCAAAAGAGGGTCAGGAGAATCAACCTCCGCTGCAGAAGAGTGACCTGTTTTCTTCATTCCTCGACGGTTCGACGGGACCCGATGAGATGATCGACGAGGACAAAGAAGAAGTGGAGATGATGGAAGACGACGGGGATGTGGATCCTTCGGCAGTCAATCAACTGGAGATGCTCCTTAACATCTAGCCTAGAAACTTGAACTTCTTTTATGTGATTCATAGCATTTTGAACTTGCGACGGCGTAACGTTCTTATGGGACCAGGGCGGGGACATTTATTGATTTGCAAGATATGGCGGTGCATTACCTTGATTGATACCCAGCTAGATCCCTATTAACTAGTACAACGAGGCTCAAATCCCAAGCTATTCTATAACTACCTTAAGAAATGCTCTAGCTACGTGCTTCTCTCTCCGCCGTGTGTATATTGATAGGCAGTGTCATTGAAAGTAAGGAACCGGGTACCTTTTTACAACATAAGCGTAAAAAAGGCAGCGGTACGGAGTAGTTAAGCTTGCGTAACTAGTTAGGTCTTTATCTTATCTGATGACTGAGTTTGCGAGGAGGAGGCGACCTTGGTTGATCCCCGAGAGGTTAACTAACTACTAGTATTTCCAGCAAACGGAGTTGAAGTCTGATATCTCGCCCACTCCCTGCTTTCTCACTGGCAAGCGGTACAGCACAGCGAGAAACACTTATTCCGCCGTAAAGTCCGCTTATAGAGAGCTCAAGAAGAAGCATGTCTTCGGCAACAGCACCGTTGTTGGCGCCATACACAGCCCCGCCACCGTATCAGTCTCTACATCTCATAACATCAGTCCTCGGGTCAACGAGCAATTGGCTTGTGCTGAGGTGCCTCTGTGATACTCTACAGATACCTTTGCAGAGAAGAGGTAATCTCGACGGCCTGGAAGACACAGCTGATCTCGAAAGAGACGACTCTGTAAAAAGATCCAAAAAACGAAAGGTCGTGCTTGTCAGTTTCCTTCGAGGTTGGGAATTCTGGAGGGCGGAGGCAAGGAGAGTGGTATGGTCACGACCCTCCTTGATAATAACTTGAATTCCGCTATCAAATCATACTGATATTACTCTATATAGGGTCTTGATTTGAATAAATTATCCAAGGAAGGGAGATTCTCGTTCGTTGATGGAGTAACCAACCTCTTTTCCCCCTCCCCTGCTCTTCAAACGCCGAAGTCTGTGGCGCCAGGAGAAGCTCTGGCGGCCTCCACTCGCGCTAGAAAGAGCTCGATATCTTCGCCTTCTTTCCCATTACCTGATAGAACTCCTCCGAAGTCGTCATCACAGGCTGCCCGTGCCCCCAAGCCGGGACCAATCTCATTTTCTGGCCGGGCCAACCCATTACTTGCACGCCCGGCACCCCCAACACCACCTATTTCTTCTGCTCCTCCTACGGCATTTGCTACGCCAGAGACTTCTGCTAGAAATGATAACCGCTATAGCCAGAACATACGGATGCTACACTGGGCACCATCTGCGGGAAATTCTGGTGGCTTGGACGGGGTGGAGAAGGTCATTACCTCTGCTATAGCAGACACCTGCAAGGGGCAGGAAACCCCGGACCAGGTTGGTGATAATGATGTGCTCCTTGTCCTCGACCAGCCGGATTTCCTCCTCGCATCCACGGGCCCCAGCATGCAAGTCGGTTCCACCGAGATGGGCGAATTGATAATGGGATTGAGACGTGTATGTTGGGCTACTCAAATTGTCTGTGTCGTGCTTGATGGTTACTAACTCGATGTACGTAGCTTGTACATTCTACAATTATCACCGTGGCGGCTGATTCGCCGCTTATGCACAGTAGCCAACAACCCACACCACTAGAAATAGAACATTCAGCGTTGGTAGTGTCACTTGCTCACCAGGCACAAATGGTTATGCAGCTGAGAGGACTTGACACTGGCGTGGCAAGAGACGTGAGTGGAGTGTTACGGGTGAGTAAAGGAGGAGCGTTAGCGGATACAGACACCCTTAAGAACGAGGAGAATGGCGATACTTGGGAGGAGAAAGAGGTCTTATACTTTGTCCAAAGTGATGGATCTGTGAAAGTATTTGGACGCGGCGAATAGAGACTTCCCCGAATATACCCATAGCGGAAAATAACGAAGCGCCTTTTGTGTTTCCTCTCTCCTCTCCTTCTTCTTCCGGTTTTTTTTTTTTTTTTTCCCTTGGAATCATTTTCATTGACATCTCTACAGCATAACGCAGCTTTCAACATTTCAAGAGCCGTGAAAACGTTTGTAAAGCCACGAGCTCATTAATCGACAGAAGACTTGATGATAGTTTATTGAAAGCGGGAAGAGAATTCCCATGCAAGCCTGCCATTTTCATTTCCATAGTTTGCTCCAGTCCATGAAATCCGTTAATTTTTGTTATATTATGTTTGGGTATGACACAAGAGAAGTTGATTTTTCCTTCTAATTCCCATTCAACACACATAATAAAATGTCAAATGGTGTCATGGATGAAAAACAAGTCCCATTCCGCTCGCAGGCTACCCTTTTGAAATAAGAGGGTTTCGCCACAACTTATCGAACTCCGGAAGGAAAGAGAGGGGGAGGAAAATAAAGGAGGTGTTTGATTGTCTATGCCTTCTCTGGGCCACGGGCGCCCTTGGGAGCTCCGGTCTGGAAACCGTTCTTGAACTTGCGGTCGACGGACTTAAGGTAACGCATGCGGCCGGTACCGGTGGTTCTTCGTCGAAGGGCCTTCTGACTCCAGTTATCTGCAGAGTAGTATGCCATGTAAGTAAACACTCGCCAATATTACCTCCCGGACGCAACGGAATCCTTGTTTGAGGATATATGATTCCAGTTGGGGATACATACATTTGCGCATCTTGGCAGCTGGGTAACCGCACGAAGCGCATGTGTGCTTCTGGATGTGGAGGGATCGCAGGCCTATATGTTCCATCCGCTGTTAGGTTCTTCTGTTTCCTCATCGTCGCAATCCTAGCATCCCATCCTATTTCCCTGGCGGAAGGTTTGGGCGCCTTAACATTCGTTTGACATTGGGATATCACTAACCGCACCGTCTGCACAGAGTGTGCGACTTGTTGTGGCGCTTTCCGAAGCTGGAGGTTCCCTTAGCTGTTCGAAGTAGTCAGTATCGCACTCATCGTTATCGTCGTCTATTGCATATGGATAATTTTCGAGAATTTTCGGTTCACGCGAGGATGGAGGAAGCCGTACTCATCTTGAATCAGGAACTGTAAAGCCGGTGATATGTTAGCAATTCCTCTGGTCATGGAATATACGCGTAACTGGCAGCAAGAATTCCCATACCTTCAATGGTGCGTCTGGAAGCTCTGATATGTCGTCGTCGCTGGTTTGAGATTGCAGTTCCGCTTTGAAGATTCGACTAAGCGAATTTGTTGTGTGAGGGTTAAAGCCCTCGCACGTGATGCTTAGTAATAACTTTCACGGGAAACGTTAAAACTATAATCCGAGTAATTATGTAATCATTCATAGACTTGAACTCTATCTCTATCTAGGTGTGGAATAATATGAGAGGAATGAACAGAAGAGTATATAGAAGGTAGATGAAGATGCATGCAAATGACATATTCGCTGAAACGCTGGCAATATATAAATACAAATTATTGAATCAACTCATCAGAGAGTTATGAGACCAGCTCGTCTTTGCCAAGAAAAGCTGCCATGGGATCCGCGACAGCAGTTCGAGCCTTCTTGTATGCCTCTAGCTCCTCTTCTGTAACGCCCATTTCAAGCTCATGGCGGCTCCGTTTCTTTTGTGCGTTGGAAGCGGGTTTGTTTCGGCCCTCGTCTGCGCTCTTATCTTCCATTGTATCTTTAGCGGGAGCTTGTTTTTGGTCGTCATCTCCTGCTTCTATCTGAAGCATATTCTGGGCCTGCTCGAACGCCTCTATTCCTTCTTTTCCGGTACAATAGCTGTTCTTCACCGTAGAATGGCAGCAGGCATATCCCCATGTGAAATTTGACCACCAACTGCCCCAGACGGAAGCGTGGTTATTGATGAGTACATTCTCTGCGTACTTCGATTTAGCAGCAGGTTTAGGCTCCCCCTTGATTGCTCCCGTTTCATCGTATTCGACAAATCTTTCGTTTTCAATGACCGCCATGTCACGCAAAGGACCTGCCTGCAAATGTTCTCCCCCACCATATTTCTCCAATAATGCCTTCTTATCCGCCGCCTTCTTAGCATCCATTTCAGCCTTCTGCTTCTTCCTATAGTACTCTCCGGATGTAGGATTGGCTTGCAGATGCTGTCGGTTAGCATCTCCTCGCTCTTGTGTTTCCCAGGCGTATCTCTGTGCTTTTTCAAATTCTTGAGCGTCACCAGAAGCTCGCATAAAGTTCTCTTCCGCGACCAGCGCGGCTGCTTGATCCGACTGTGCACCCATATCAACCATAGATCGAGTCTTCGGGTCGTACTTTGCCGAGTCAAGGTCCAGGTTAAGCAGATACTTCGCTGTATCTTCTCGTATTCGTAGATTCCGGGTTCCTTTGCCCTGCTGTCGACCCATTTCTGACTCTTCAGCATATTTTGCTTCTGATGTGCCATCACCATCGCCGTCAACGTCATCATCGCCATCTTCTCCCGGGGCCTTCTGTTCTTTGGATGCATTGTCCTTTGCTTTCCTCTTCAGGGCCTCCAGCTCTTCATATTCTTCCACGACATTTTGGTACTCCTTTGCGTCGTAGCCGTTCCACCGATCTCGTTTGGCATCCCACCCCAACTCCACCTTCTGTATATGCTCATCTGCTTGAATATCTTTGCCAGTCCATTTAGCACCATGCTTTCTCGGCCTGCTCAAACACTCCTTGGCCTTATGTGTCATTGCGCCGCAGTTTTCACAGGCACCTTTCCGGTATTTGGTGGCTGCTGGGCCGACGCGCTTCCCTCGATCATACCATTTTTGATCTTCCTTTTCCTTGTGGAGACGCTGATGCTCGAGGTAGTCGTTGGCGGAGGAGTCGTCGTCAACGTAGAAGGGCTTTTTAGAGATGAACGATGGGATATATTCGTTGCGCTCCTTATTCGCAACGTCGGTAGGTCGCCGTGACATTTTGATGGTAATATCGTATATGTAACTATCACAAAGGTCAAATAATTGAGTCAAGCAAAAGCGCTCTCACTATTGGATCTGATATCTTGCCTTCTTCAAGCTCAAGCCGTGAAGGAT